GCCGTGGTAAGACACATGCCCATAAGCACCATGAAGTGTTTAATGGGCCATTCTCTTATGGGCGCCAAAGAAAGTTTAAGTCAAGTTTTAAATTATTGCACACAAACCAAAGGGAATATTCGAAGATAGAAGCGGGAGGCACACAAGCACATTTAAATGAGAAAGATATTCACAACAAGAAAACAGTTTCAGGTGAGTATTCTTCAAAAACGAAATAAATGGAAATAGAAGATCAACACGAAGTTTTCTAAATACGAAGCGTTATTTCATATAGGATCTAAAATCGTTCTCTACTTTTCTTCTCTTTTTTTTTCAGTTGCTAACGACCCAAGAACACAAATAGTCTATCCCGTGGAGGATCCAATGAACGAGATCTTGAGCAAAGGATATTCAATAGCGCCTAGATCGTATGGCGTAGACGTTTCACCGGGAATTGCACCATGGCCCTTAACATATAATCCCGTTGTACCACAGCAAATTTTTCGACGCTTTCCATTGCTCGCTTTTCCAAAGGGCCCACCACGATCATTGATGGAACTCTCTCAAGCGGTAGATCAGTTCCCAGACAAAGTCTCAGCCGGTACAAACACTCCATATGATACAAGCCTACAGGCTTCATACACAGGCAATGGTCCTGCAAGGTCGTGGCAAGAAGTCGGAAATCAGCCAAACACTGTCAGTACAACTTTGAATATTCTGCGTAGTCAAGAGGCTTTGGGATCCTCTGAGAAAACCACAGAGGAGATGCCAAGAGACGAAGGGAGTGAGGAAAATGAAACCGGCCAGAAAGGATCTCAGTCTTCAACTTTTTCACTGAACGCGAATGGCTTCCCAGAAATACTCCAACAGTCTATACCGGGGTTTGCAAGCCATAGCTACTCGGAATTTCCAGAAGAAGCTGAACAGGCTACGCCAGAAAACGAGCAGCTCGAAAAAGGCACTCATGGTTTATCTAATGGAGAAGAATCATATTCGGAAGCGGGGAAATCCATTGTTGACGGGGTACGAAATGAGGATGGAGAAAGCGACTCAAATTTCACTCCAGGATTACTTGGCGGCTTAGATACCATGCAGACAGGTTTACTCAAGCAACAGTTTGATAGCACCCCTTCCCCAAAAGGGCGAGTAATGGTTAGTTCTCGTACATTTGGGCCTCACCAGGAGGGAAGGAGACTACATTCTCCTACATCAGCCGAACGAGAAAGCGCTGATTTACGGCAAAATGCTAAGGCACCTCAGAATTCTCTTTTGCAGGAACGGGCTACATTTAGCACTAATCGAGATGTTCACAAAAATGTTCCAGGGGGTGTTCAAGAAAATGGTTTTGATGCGACAGTCCCAGGAAGAAATAGCCACATGCTGAGTCTGCCGAATCTTTCTCTAAACTCCATCGAAAAACTAATCGATTCAGCGGCTGAGGAACAATCGGCAATTGATGACAAAACAGGTACAGGCCATAGTTATGGTTCACGTTGGAGGGGTGAGGCAAATGAACAACTTAATGATGACAATCTAAGTAATCATGGTTATCCTGCTAAATTAGGTCAAGGCGTTCTCAAGAAAAATGGGGAAAACATACACAATTTAGACTGGAAATCGCCTCTCCTAAGTCAGTCACAGGCACCCTTCGATTTCAATTGGAAACTTGAAAGAGCTCTTACACAATGGAAAGGACCAGCCTATTCAAGACCAGATACCGCTAATATGGAAGGGAATTTGGCAGATGATCAGCCTGAAAATGCCTTTTTGAAACCGAAAGGATCAAATGATAACCCCGATGTTGTTCCCGGCTATACATTTGATACTCAGGGACAACGCTCCGTGCCGCTCTTTCTGCCTAACCCACCATCCGACCTTGCTGATGACAGCAATGCAGAAACAGTGTTGATGGTACCTGCACCAGGAAACAAGGCAAAAGAAGAAGCAGATTCTACGAAATCTGGTGCAAAAAAGGAAACCATTTTTAACAAAACGAGCCAAAAGAAAACATTTAAGGGCTAGAGAGAGAATGTTAAAGATTTCTTGTGTCTCTAAGTATTACAAATTTTTAACTATTAGTTTTGAAAATACGTTCTTCATATTCCGCAGCTGAAGAGTCTAAGATTGAAGACACCCATTAATCAACATAGGATATACATTAATTTCGTTTGCTCAGAGTAATTTCCTATTGAGATTCTGCTAGCGCAACAATAGCATAAAAGTATATTAAATAAATATTATATATAAGTGAAGGAATCAAAGACGACGCATCGATTCTCTGTTACTCTGAGTTTCGCGCCTAAGCGCTCGTCAGACAGAACTTTATTCATTGAAGAACATACCTCCCTATATACAAATTAAATGAGTAGCTAATTAATTCACTAGTGTGATGATCTGATCTATGTGAGAAATAAAGATTCTATAGAGCTTTTGTTATCGGCTTGTGAAATTTGCCAAGTAAAACTTGTTCTCGTGGCGGCATTTAGAAATGAGTTCTGTTCTTTTGTTTAATAAAGACGGTTTCTTAGCTCTAACTAAATAAAGTTTTTCTGTAAGGCACAAGTGGCACCGCTTGCTTTTGTTGCTGTAGGCCGGGGCGGTCGCTAAAACACTCAGTTTATTGTAAAATTGGCGTTGCTGTCTTTGAGTGTCCAGATATGCTTTGATAGTTCCGTGCTGTTTGAATAGTTTCTGTTCCGAAAAGAAAGTTTGTGTTGTGTGTAACGTTGCTTAAAAGTTCTTTCAGTAAGTCCAATGTAATTATTTCCGGTTGTGTCATTTTCTGTTGTTACGTTGGCGTTGTAGACGACGCTTGAAGTGAGGCAGTTGTTTTTCAGAGGGCAGTCGTTTTTTTTCCTGCAGTTGCATTTGTTTTCCGTGGAGGGTGTCTTGCTTGTTTCGAGGATTTTTCTGTTGTGCCTCTTAATTATGGTTTGTAGGTTGTCTGTGCAGCTATAACTAACTTTTATGTTGTTTTTGTTGAAAATTTTGCTGTACCGATGATTTTTCGGGAAATGTTTACTGACGAGGTTCAGAAACTCTCTGCCGATGTTTGTTTGTACATTCATGCTGAAGGGCGGATTAAACCAAATTATGTTTCTTTGTCTGTTCTTGCGGCTGTTTTGTACGGTGTGGGTTACAGGTTTCTTGCGTTTTCTTTGCGTTTCTTATAAATTTCCAACTTCAAGACTTTGGCCATATTGAGAAGTTCTGTATAGCCTTCTAACCTGTTTGTCAGCTCGTGAATCAGCGCACTGCCGACTCTTCTAGTCCTCAGAATTCAATATCAGTTTTCCCTTAGTTTTTCACTGTTTGTAGGAATACGAGTAAAAAATTTGCGGAGAAGACACAACTTCCACTAGCATTTTTCCTACCTTTTCTTCCTTAAGCTTTGCAAAGGCCTGCATGGTTTGAAATTACGATAACTATTACGTAGTCATATCTGTAACAGCATTGCAACTGTTAGTATCTCAAGTCGGCACAATCTCAATACAAACAATAACATATTTACTAATAACGAGTTTGTTCGCTATACTAGAGGTTTATCTGGCTGGGGTTTATTTTGGTTTCCGCAGCATAAAGTGGCTAGGGATGTTGTCACTTCCCTCGAATGTGATGCTAGTTAATCGCTGGTTTTCCACAAGCATTTTCTCTTCTCAAGAGCGCAACTAGGGGGGGAAGGGGGGGACTTTCTGTCGTGCCCGTAACCTCCCCTTTGTAAGCCTTTTTTAAGCAAACAACCTACAATATTCAGACGGCGATAACTGGTGAGTGCCCTCTGTTTGACATATTGTGCCCCTCCCCGCCTCTTAGGAAAGCAACACATAAACCCGACCAGGGCTCAAAACCTAACCTTTCGGCCCCAAATTCAGAGTGCTAGTCACCAGGTCACCACCTTTTTCACGAAAAAGAAGAAAATTATTGATATTTGTTTTTACAGTGGGCGTGAGTTAACTGTCATTATGTTGTTATCTAAACTTAGGAGCTTACAAGAGTACTCCGAGTGAACTATCTAACAGACTCCGCGGCATCCCTTTGACTGGAAGCTTTATAGCTTTTTTGAAATATTCTTAAAAAAGGCACCTTTAGGCACTGGTCACATTTGAGCACAATTGGGTAATAGTGTTGTCGGTGCGTTACGCGAGGTACATTCGAAAATATTGGTATTTCAGTTTACAAAAAAATTTACCGTAAAATCCATACCCAATCGTGGAAATTCGTGGAAGTCCTTTGTATTTTGAAACCGAGATAGTTGTGGTTGAACATCCATTTCTAATTCCTAAAATGTATCAGAATCGACCAGACAGGTGCTTCACTTCAAAACCTCGCTTAGAGAGAAAACACAGTTCTCCGCCTTCATTAAACATAGGTAATGTTTTATCACATAGAGACAAGCTTTAGGCGCTACTTACGAAACAAGCTCTAAATAGACACTTAAACGTTTAAACAAACAATTACAAACCACCGTTTAATTTTACTAAAGTGCCGACGACTAATTAATTAAGCTTACGGCACACACTTACCTACACTCTAACTGTAAAAATATCAAATCACGTCTTTCCTACAATCCTGCTGAAATAGTCTCGTTTCGTATTGGGAAAAAGTGTTGAGGAAAATTTTACGTACTTTTCAGATTTTTTCTGCAACACACTTACTGGTCAACATGTCAATGAAAACGAATTTTAAACTTTTTTTACCTTACAAAACGTTAGTCCTGTGACCACCTTACGGGTACGTTCAGCTTTATGTTTTCCTCAGATTTTTTTGGTACTACCTGAATATAAAGTAGGCCTAATTGTCTTGGGACTGCTGCATCTTCAAATTCCGTTGTCCATTTAACGTGCATGTTGAACGCAGCGTAAGCAACGGCACAATTAGATATACACAAACCCTTTACATCTCTTGTTTTTACGTTGCAAGATGGCAAAATTTGAAGCAGCACATTTACGAATCTATACAAAAGAATATGGTTGAATTTGTATTTACAAAATATATTTTTTACTTATCTCACAGGTTGCTTGAAGTTACGAACTATTCAAGACATCTCTGGCAAATGAAACAGGCTCTAGAGTAACAAGGGTGAACAACACGCCTCCAGAATGTGCGAAACATTGCGTAATATTTTATCATGTCCTTTCCTTCCCATTGATTGATCATACGATGTATTTTTTCGTACTTATAGTCGGGAGAGTGTGCATATAAAAGAGGAACAAATGAACGAACATTATAATGCTCGTTATCATCGTACCGACCATCGCTATCGGCTTTGTGATGTCTGTGGCGAGACCCTTTATGTTGTCTTTTACCTGGACGTGTGTTTTGACTGGCAACTTTTCTTGCCGCCTTTATCAGGGCGTTAGCTAAAGCCTTTCCAACTGTATTCACAGAATACTCATTTCTACTTGCGTTGGACCTTGAAGCCCGAGGGGGAGCGTCTTGTCTCGTCACAGTGGGAACCACTTGATATAGCGGCACTGGAGGACCGGAACGTTGTGGTGGGTTTGGTGGCGGTGGTAACGAAGAGGCGGGAGGTGCAGGGGCAGGAGCAGGGTTGGGGATCTGCCGCATGCTAGGTGGAGCCTGTGACAGTGCTTGCGACAACGCTTGCACTAATCTATCATTACTGATTGGTTGAATACCTTGCTGCATGTCTTGTGCCAAGGCTTGTACAAGAGCAGCTGTTAAAAGGTCTGGCGGCTGGTTTCGCGCCTGAGCTTGAGTTGCAGCGAGAGCCAAGGCAGATGCAAGGGCATTCGGCTGAGACTGGGTCATGGAAGAGCGAATGGCATTGGCAAACATTCCGATTAAACCATTATACAGAAGGGGATCATAGCCTGTTTGGCCAATAGAGGAGAGGACATTAGGGAACTGTTGGATACCAGGTAGCGAAAGAGGGGAGGGATACATGAGTGATGAAGGGTATTGTAATTGTTGGTTGAGTGGGGAAGCGTACGAAGGCAAAGGTAAGCCTAAAGATTGCATTAATGGTGACTGCAAACTGCCCATGCCTCCGGGATATAAAGACCCTCCCTGTGTCATAAGCCTGTTGTTTAAGAGAAGAGGAGAAACTGGATTTAACGAAGGTAGTCCCATAACAGGGTTGGACATTAACATGTTATTTAGTCCTCCCATTGGTGCCGCAGGTGCTGACGAGGACACCGTTATTGCTGCCGGCGGTGATGCGGCTATAGTCACTTGTCCAGGTGGAGCAGCAAAATTTTGTGACGAAGGTGTGGCAATAACGGTTCTGGGTGGCGAAGCTTCAGCCAAATACACTGCAGGGGCGTAAACGGGGGCTGGAGGTGATTGCACCATTGGTTGTTGATACATTATAGGAGCCGGTGGTGGTGCAGGAACAATTACGGGAGCTGGAGCTGGAGCCGGTTGAGGCTCTGGTGGAGATGCAATTATGTATTGTGGTGGGGGAGCTGGCACTGGGGGTGGAGGAGCAATAATGTATTGTGGTTGTGGCGGTGGTGAAGGAGCAGGTGCAAGGGCATACTGGGGTTGAGATTGTGCTTGAGCAGGTTGTGCCATTACTATTTGAGGTTGTTGACCGGCTGGTGACGCTTCCGAGGCGGCAGGCATTTGTGCAATGATTATTTGGGGAGAAGGCTGTGGAGTAGATTCTGCGGGAGCGGGCAAGGTTTGAGCATAAATCACGCGTGGTGTTGGTGACATCGGTACATTTTCATGTTGTTCAGCCTCAGCCGTTTCGCCGTTATCCCCAATCTCAAGATTTAGATTGATGTTGGCAGGAACTGGTGGTGTCCCTCTTTTAAGTAAAGGGTTTTCAGACTGGATGTCTATGATTTGTGGCCGTGCAGGCGGCGGTGGGATAGGTCGTGGGGTTGGTGGCGCGGGCTGCGGTGTCGGAGGAGTGGTTGGTGGGGTTGTTGGCAGAGGGGTTGTTATCGGGGGTAGGGTAGTTGGAGTTGTTAACGGTGTCGTGAGCGTCGTAGGTGTTGTTGTGGGTGTAGTAGGCGTTGTTGGTGTCGTAGGCGTTGTAGGTGTCGTGGTAGGTATCTTCTTTGCCGTTGGTGCCGCAGTTTCAGCTTCCTCGTCCAGTTTGAAAGCCTCATCTTTAGTGTTTATTGTGTTATCAGGTGGCAAAACAATGAAAGGCTCATCGTCTACCACTGGTTCATTGTTGGAAATCTGTTTTTTATACAAGTTTGGGTCGTACCAAGGATGTAGGCCTAGGAAATGTCCCCAATAGGGCTTTCTCGCTGATGGTAGGTAAGTTCTTTTCCAAGTGAAATCTGTTAGTAGAAAAAAAAAACAAAACAAAAATTAGTTGTGATTACTTTTGGTTCCTATGGCCTGAGATGAGCTAGGGTATTGCTTGTTATCCAATCGAGGATACCCATCAGCCTCCGGTCTTTTTGACAGGTGTCCTTAACGTTACTCACCCGGTTGGACAGAAGCAGCATCATGTACCTTCGCCCTAAACATAAAAATACTGTGACACAAAGAATTTTTATACATTGCAGTACAGACGGTATACCTTAAATTGGCTATAGCGGTCTGAATTTTACCTTATCGGCCTTATAAATGCGAATTTTCTGGTTCTGACACAATAATATGGCGTCGATTAGTCGGATTGTTCATGTCGACAATAGTGTATCAGGTGAAACATACATAGACTGGCCCCGTGAGTAGCATAAAACAATTTTTTTAAATTAGAAACGAATATAATCGTCTTTGTGTGACCTCGATCGGTTTACGTGTAACATGAATATGTTGGTCACATGTGATTAAAAATGTAATTCCTTGATTATATGCACCTTACCATTGGATCTTCTTGGCTTTGTTTCACCAGTGTGCAAGGAAGCAATTAGATTCCTTTTGTGATTTAAAACTGTCGTAATGAAATAGCCATTTGTATCTTTCATGGGTCTGACATTTTCATTGTCTATGGCTCTTTTGAGTTGCGGGTCACCATCTCCGTGTGAAGCTCCGGCCCACTTGTCCGTTCTCCGTTTTAAAGTGATTGTCTTTAGGTGTGCGGTCTTCCTGTTATGAAAAGCAGTTCCTTCATGTATCGTTACCATGAAGATGAAAATAGAGACACATAGCATCACAAACTCTCTCACATGGAGGGCATATAAACGTTTCATGTTGCCCCTGGCGAATTCTTGGCCCTTTTCGCAATCATTTCGTCCCAAATAAGGCAAACAACATCCTCACCACAGGTCCTTGATATTTAAGATATACAGAGAAGTAAAATATCTATCTTAAAACGATAAACATCACTGGACTGTTACTAATTTTTCCATCGGAGTCTTGTTTTACTTAGAGTACATAATTAACCAACTTTTCGTTTAAATATTTATGTCACGAAGCAGAAAACTAGTGTTTGAAAGACTAGCAGGTTTAATCAGGTGCTAAGTTACCATACGCGCAGGATTTTTATCCAAAAACGCTAATTTTAGAGGTTATCGTAAATGCAGTTTTTTTCTCGGAAATAGGTACCTTGATAACAATGATAACTTCACTTTTGAGATCGTATTTAACTTAAGTAAAGACATGCTAACTTATCATCATAACTCAAAAAGTTGAGTCGACTTTCCCGATCGTGAGTTATAGGGAATAAAAAAAAAAACTCCTCTACAGGTTGAATCATCAGCCTCCCTCCAGGTTCGCCACGGACTTTAAAACGCCTTCTCCGTATTGTTATAATAACGGAAAAAAGGTGTAATTAAACGAGCCTAATTAAGCTACCCAGTGTGATATTATTGTTCGTATTTGGTATGTAAGCATGCAGACAAAAGGAATTGTTAACTTTTATTTAAGTAAATATTTGTTCGACTCTTGGAGTCCTGGATAACACATTCACTCCATTAAGAGAATTCCGAAGCTCCTAGTTGACAGTTTTATGAACAAAAGCTTAACTACAGAAAGTATTACTAATAGCGCGGGGTGACCTAATCGTAAACGACCAAAACTCTCACAGTGATTTTATCGCCCAGGAGATGAAAACCTAAAATTGCAGGGGGGAAGTTCAAATGGTTAATTCGGTCACACCTGCCCAATTCGGACAATAAAGCGACCAGCATGGAAACGGGTGGTGCTGAATATTAAATTTTGCCGTTCTTCTATGTAGAAGTAACCACAAACAAGATACTCTTTCTTTCTTTCTTATTCGTTTAAGTCTCGATATATTTAAGCGATGAGATTTGCCTTGTTTTGCGTGTCCATACATTTGCTTTTTCTGGGTCATGTGATAGCAAGGGCAGCACAATCAGTGAGACTTCAAAGCCGCCGATTTAAGTCGTCACATCGAATTCATTCAAGGTTATACAGTCATGGAAAGAATCAAATTGACAAGAACAACAAGCATGGTATGTAAGGCGATGTAAAAGTTAACAATAATACATTCGTATGTTTAGTCAGTGACATCATGAACTATTGAGTGTATTTTTATTGTTTTTGAACTTAAGAATAAATAAATCTTATATTAAAAGACAGCTCACTCTTGACAAGAGTCTGCATTCCGTTAGGTAGCGATCTCAAGACGATATTTCTATTTTTGCACTCCAAATGTGATTTGCCTTTATAAGCATGACTGTTAAGAATAATTGCGACTGATAATCGCAGAGTTTCTTTTTTTTTTTTTTTAATTTTAGATGACCCCGTTACACCAACATTGTCTTTTGTTTTTTTACTTAAAAAAAGGGGTCCATGTTGTTATTCTGATCCAAAAAGAGCCGTCATTATCCTTTCATTATTAATTCCCCTGTGGTTCCAAACGACTGGCAAAGATAGGTTTGAAATACATTGAACTTAGTTAAACTTCTTTCCCACCCGTATAAATTTCTTTAAAATTTCATTTGTTTCCTCAGGATTAAAAAGAATCTCTCCTTTGAGGCGACAGTGCTAATCACATGTTTTTAAGACCGACCTATTATACATGGCTTGAGATAAGCTGACTTATCCCTTTTTTTTTACAGGACCAGGAAGTGTACCAATGAATGTGAGGCATAGACATCTTTTTCATTCGATATTTAAGCACCGTAAAAAGTTCTTAAATGCTAAAGGTTCCCCAAAAGAAGTGATCGTCAGGGTGAATGGACAAAATGTTTATTCCAGCAAAGCTCAAGGATCAAACTTCTCCATCAATGCTAGCGTACCAACGACTTCTCCTCCTCCTCCTCCTCCTTCGCCTCAAACACACAATATCAACCTCCACATTAACCTTACTAGACCAGTAAGCCCCCCTGGGAGACCAAGTAACCAGCCGATTATTATAGCTCCCCCACCAAGGCCACAGCCAGTTGTAGCTATAGTTCCTCCGATGGCATCACAACCTGCGCCAGTACAAGTTCAACCCATGGTGGTTCCTCAAGTACAACCTCAAGTACTACCACTTCCTGCTCCCACCACTGCACCAGCGCCCCCTGAAAAGAAGGGCCAATCAAGTCTCAGTAAAATATTACTTACGGCTGCTTTGTTGAAGACTCTATCGGGAGGAGACTCTTCTGAAAGCGCAACACAAGGATTTCCATCATTGATGCAAAACCCACTTGCCTCTAATGGCTATTCTCTTAATTCTCTGCTCCCGGGTACTTCAGGTGTTGCTGCTTTGCCATCAATAGGGAATCTTCCTCTGGGCTATCCTCAGATTGCGACTCAGCCCGTCGGAAATCCCTCACTGGGATATCCTCAAGGTAATCTCCCAGTATTAGGATACCCAGCGCAAACTGTTCCACAAACAGGGTCACAAGCCTTGGGATATCCAGCAACGTTAGGCGTCCTAGGAGGCCTTAATGCGGCAAAACCTGGCGTCATGGGATATCCAGCCATTGGCACAAACATGGGATATCCAGCCGTTGGCACAAACATGGGATATCCAGCCGTTGGCACAAACATGGGATATCCATCGACGGGAAATCCAGGCATGGGATATCCCGCTGTAGGGAATCCAAGCTTGGGATATCCTGCCGTTGGGAACCCTAATGTGGGAAATCCTGTTGTAGGAAACCCATATTTGGGCTACCCTGCAAGGGGTGTCCTGCCGGGCGGTGTAAACCAGAACGTAAGGTATCCTGCCAATTGGAATCCAAATAACAGGTATTTAGACGGCAATAAGCAAAACAGTAGAGATCCTATTAGTGGGAATCAAAACTTGGGCTACCCAGGAGGAGCTAATCAAAACGTAGGGAATCCATCCGGAACCAGCCAGAACTTGGGTTTTCCTGCTGCTGCGAGCCAAAATATGGATGCTGAACCAACGATACCAAACTTTCTGAGTGGGCTAGCTTCTGAGCCTTCTGCTAGCCCTCTTGAGGCTAACAATCCACCATTACCTGGTCCATCACCTGGTGTACAATCAAATGCACCAACCGCTACTGTGCCTCCTCCAATATCTTATAATGCCCTATTGCCTGCGAATGCGTCGCCTGTTGGTACCGCTGGTGGGAACCCTAACCTTGCTCAAGGTCAGGGCCAGACTGACACTTCAGAAACACCCGTTGTGCAGCCTAATGTAGGAGTAGCAGGGACACCTGGAGTAGTGACAGGTCTCTCTCAAGCTCAAGGACAGGGCACTGGCACAGTTCTGCCTGCAACAACATCAGCAGGTGTTCCAGGATTTGATCCCAGTTTGTGTTGGTGTGGTTGCGAGCCGACGTGTGCTAATCCGTGTGACCTGTGCAATAGTAGCAGAGAGAATAGTTATGGCAACATTTTAAATCAGTACAATACTGGCTCAATAAATCCTTCCAATGGACGGAAGAAATAATCGTTCGTAATCAGCAGAGGTTTCCTCGCAATTTTTCTAAGAGAGTTAGAGAGAGGTCTTCGTTTTCTTATATTGTATTATTCTTCATTGTCAGCAAGGCTGAAATGATAAGTAGTGGAGACCTCAACATGAAAGTGTGTTGTTAATCTCACTGGCATTTCTGAAAATTGACTTGATATATTGGTATGCCGTATGTATTGGTGCTTGGTTAGTAGCTCGAAGTTAAATTGTCTTTGAGAGAAAAAGACCAGATTGGCGCCAGATTTCCTCTCATGAAAGATGGAAATAAATAGTAGCTCAGAATATTTCATTCCATTTTACGACAGCTATGAGGTTTTAAAATGGCTAGGATAAAATTGAATCAATGTACGGTTCAACTTAGTGTAGTTTGAGGGTCCCCTATCAGAGTAGACTGCTCTTGTGGTTACTGAAGTTTGAAAAGCTTGTTACTTAGCAACTCACTTTCCCACTTACTTAGTCAGAGAACGAAGTGAGCCGTGCTGAATGGGATGGCAAAATATATCACGTCGGGCTAAGATGATGGGTCTTCATTGGCACATTTCAAGTTTCTTCGTTCACAGACTTTGGTGCTAGATAATCCTTTTGCATAGAGATACATTTTAAACAATTTATATTAAAAAGGTTTTTTATTCAACGTTCATGTTGTTCTGTGATAATTGTCCTTGTACATTCTGTTTCAACAATTATCGTCGATAACAATGACAAAAGTCTCGACAACTTGATCTGCAATTGTTATCGAAGTCAATGATGACTTCCGTTCCGGTTGGTAAATGTCACTCACCGGTACTGGTATGGGGTGATGGCTGTTACAACAAACGATCAGCGTGTTTCCATTGTTATCACCAGAATTATTTTTACGGTTAATTTTATTCACCACTAATGATTATAATTTGTCAATTTTTACGACGAAGGCTAACGGTTAACCGCATTGATACCCCTGTTACCGAAATTAGTCCCCCTCAAAACTAGCCTCGCCCTGAAGATCATATGATGCACTAGACTGTTGCTCCCACCCTCAGAATACTTACTAGGTTTGAACTGCACTGCACGAAAGTGCTTGAACCTGCCCTGGGCTGAAATTCTTATCACTCGCCGAAAATAGTCCATAAAGTTATCCAGGACAGAGGCTTTTCATTCACTAGACTTTTGCAATTCCATAAAATATTTTTTAATGCATTAGCAATTACTTTCCTCCGCAAAATGCTTGTGAATGGTTTCCTCCAACTAATTTGAAAATCTTTCAAAATAACAGTCAGTTAAGTGTATTTTCAAGACATCAGAACTATTCTTGAAGTATTCAATTCTAATCTACATCTTTTCCTCAATTTGCATTTCTTGCCACGCAAGTAGCTCAGGATATTTCAGACGAAGATGAAGTAATTCTAGAAGCGTTCAAATGCTATGACGAATTGATTGCATGTAGGGGAAGAACTAATTTGTAGATGATCTTATGGACTAAGACCATTTTTATGGCCATTGATTTGTGCTGATTTTTTTTTGTTCAATTTCCTCCTTTCTTGTTGAACAAATGAGCATTATCGAAGCGCCTGTAACAGTCAACGGGTAATTCGTTACCCTGCTTTCTTTTCGTAGTCGTAAGAGGAAGTAGGATTCCATAACAATGGAAGTTTTGGTTTAAGAAACTTCCATCACGACTCATCTAACGTCTTAAAGAACCCCAAGCTGAATCCAACAGTTTAAGTTATAAACTTTATTTTATGAGTCACGAAAGAAAGAAAGATTACTTGTAAGCAGTCAAACTAATCTTCCCATATCTAAAAAAAATGAAGAAAGGATCACTCAGGAACAATGCAAAACCAGTTTTGTCGACTGGTGTTTATAAATATTTGATTCATGGCGTTCGAGTTAAACGGGGCATTTACAGCACTTTAGTGCTAGGTAATAAAACATGGAAAGAAATAAGGTTTGTGACCCATAACTCATAGTATGAAAATCAAGGGAGAGGTTCTTCTGCTATGGCAAGTTCTGTGTGTACATTGGGTGATCACTCTGGCTGGATATCATAGAAAAAACGGCCAAAGGTCACGAACAGAATCTGACGTGAAGGATAGAAGACACAAATTAAACAACTACTTTCTCCAAAGGAGGATAAATGGTAAGAGTTGAGTGGAAATGTTATCATGAACTATCTTTTTTTCTGTTAGTTGAAGTGTAACGGGAGTGGATATAGGATCTGAGTGAGACAAGGATGACCTAACATTAAGTATTAGGAAACTTAATCTTCCCATCCTTTACTTGACAATGAAATTGAACCGTGAAGTGAATGTGCCCGAATGTGAATGTGCCCAGCCGTGGTTGACGTGACAAAAAGTTGCCGAAAAATGAAAACAGATCATACGAAAACGCTGTTTGTAAAAATTTGAAAAGTGAAAAATGGTCGTTTCCTGTTGACGAGGTATCGGGTTTCAATATCAGTAACAAAATCAATGTTTGCACAAATTTGGTTGGAACTTCAATTCAGATATGCCTTTTGTATCGAAATGACGGCTGAAATCTGCTACAGCGCATGCTGTTACACTGCGCTTTAACGTGATTTGATATTAAAGCGCTCGACCTTTAAACTTAGAAGAGACAGTCATATGAACTACATGCCACCAATCAACCTGACTTTAAGATCATACTAAGGATGAAAAATGTATTCATTTATTATTTCGTACAATTCATTGGTACATTAATTGAAATTCAAAAAGAGTGCTCACGATATAAATAAGAGGAAATATGTTAGATTACAAGTAGCATAGTACAAGTTAGAAAACTGCCTTCAAATGAGAAAAAAAAGTAGACGGAGATCGTAGTTTTAAAAATGACTCAGCAACCTGACTGGACACGTGAAACGAACGTGTAATTAACGAGCATCCGCTAGGAAAGCCTTCGAATAGAAAAAAAATAATTTGAGTCATATATGCATTGTTTGTAGCTTCTAGTAGTTTAAAAAAGATCGCGATGAGATTGAAAAGAAGGCTGCGGGATTTCGTTATGTCAGGGTAGAGAGATTGAACATGGAATCGTCTTTGGTCCAATAGTTTTCTTAGAGTTGAAAATTAAGTAATGATTTCAAGATAATTTTCAAAGGATGATATAGGAATCATTTGGCTTTCGGATCTTTTACTTCTGCCATAAAATGCGTGGATTAGTGACGTTCTGAATGACCAGGATTGTATTTTCAATCATTTATAAGAATGAACTAAGGTACCTCCTAATATGAGTAGTGCTCAAGTGTATTGTGGAGTTTTTACATCAAGTGATCTAACACTTGGGGGATGACCGTGGAAACTCTTTAGATCATTATAGTACACTACTCTGAACTACAATCGTGTGGTCCCTTTTATTCGTGGTAGTCTGAGAAAATGCAAAGGACAATTGAGTATAAACTTTCAAAATGTAGTGGTGCATGGTTTTTTTCCTCTCTACAACAATTTGGTGCATCCAACCCCGCATTTATAATCTTCTCAATTAGTAAAGGATTTTGCATCAAGGCTGTGAAGTGTCGCTCGGAGTGATTCAAAACCTATATCAATTGTTTGTCAAAAATGACCAAATAAATATATGTATTGATGTTACCATTTTACTACCAGAAAACAGTAAGAATTGTGGTTCAGGAAATTGAGCTGGAGAGTGTAAGGGTAAGATAGAATTAGGACTAGAGCCACGTGTTTCAGAGCAACATTTTACACCGAGAACATGTGCAGTAAAGGTGAAAGAATTCTAACTCTATTTTAGGATCTCTTCACCATCCGCTTAATCATCTAGGATCCATCAGGCGATCTTTTATCGGGCGTAAGGTACACATTAAGGGTGCACCAAAAGGTGTTATCGTGACCATAAATGGGCAAAGAGTTGACCCAAATACTGGCAGCACAATATTACCCATACAGCCACCTCAGCCAGCACCCCAGCCAGTACCACTACCAGGTCGGAATGTTCCCATTAATGTTCATGTTCACGTAAATAAAAAATACAACGATGCCAACATCATTGGTCAACGTAAGCAACCCATTATAATCACTGCAACCAATCCTTATCAAGCTGTGAGACCAATTGTGATTCCGATGCCAGCACAAGTGCAAGCTCCACAGCCCATTATATTACCTGCTCCATTACCTCCTCGTCCGCCTCCGGCTGTCCTTCCAGCGCCTGTTCCATTACCTTTACCAGCACCTCTACCACCACCAGTTGCCATTCCAGTTCCAGCTCCAGCTCCAGCTCCACCTCCAGATAAAGAAGACTCAAACTTTGCAGAAATTCTTCAAACAGCTGCATTGCTTAACACTCTAAACAAAAAAGAGGAAAGTCGCCCAAAAGTTATACCAGTTGTTCAGCCAGTAATTACTCCAATGGCTTATCAGCCTGGCAGAAATCCAGCGCAGGGATATCCAGCGCATGGAAATCCGAATCAAGGATATCCGCCGGATGAAAATCCAAATCAGGGATATCCAGCAGGTGAAAATCCAAATCAGGGGTATCCGGCGGGTGAAAATCCGAATCAGGGGTATCCAGCGGGTGAAAATCATAACCAGGGATATCCAGCCGGTGGTGGGAATCAAAATCAAGGATATCCAGCAGGTGGAAGCCAAAACCAAGCCACAGCTGGAAAAGCTCCAGTAGGAGGTACAAATACTCTTTCTGGACTATCTGGAATCCTGCCTTTGTTGCTTCCCTTCAATTGTAGATGTGGATGCGAAAGAAGGTGCCCGGACCTTTGCAACCTTTGCAAAGACGTCGACGAGGAAATAATTGACACATTAGACTGTTGTAAGTCAATGCCATGTCCCTGTGTAAATGCCGCAGCAGGCACACAGCCTGTAGGGGCAACTGCAACAGGAACTGTGTCAGCTCCCAGTGGGGGTGCCGTAGTTCCTCAGCTGCAACAAGGTGTTGTGCAGCCGGCACCAGCATCAACCGTAAACCAGATACAACCTATGCAAATCTCTAACGGTGCTACTGCCCTTGCAGCTCCCCCCCAACCTGGTCTGGTGCCACCATCGCAGCCAGCTTCAGCTCCACCTCTCCCTTCATTATCTGTATTACCTGGACCTCAGGCTCCCGGTGTATCATCGCAACTTGCATCAGCACCACCTCTGCCAGCCTCAGCGCCTCCTCTCACTTCATCATCTGCATTACCTGGAACTCAGCCACCTGGTCCAGCATTACAGCCAGCTTCAGCGCCCCCACTTCTGCCACTTGTTCCTACATTACCACAAGCCCCTAATTCTCCTGTTGTTTCATCGCCTGGAACTCAGTCTTCTGGCACAGCATCTCAGCCGTCCGCTCAAGCACTTAAACCTTCATCATCTGGTTCTGCTCTAGCGCCTGCTGTTCCACCCCCACTCCCACCCAAACCAGAAATTTCTCCTCCAAAAACAACCTCATCAAAGCCAGGTCGGGTCCCGGCTCCTGTATCCCCTGAAGCTGTTCCATCACCTGAGCCAGAAATTCCAGCTCCAGGTCCTCCTGGTTCGACTGTCCCACCTAAGCCGGAGATTCCAGGAAAAGGGATAAGTACTGGAACGAGTACTGAACCGCCTGGGAGCGAAAATACTGCACCTGAATTAGAGCCACCTCCCACTGATACAGGCTCTCCAGGTCCTGATAATTCAAAGACTCAAGGTGAGTTAGTTGCTCCTCCTCCGGACAACTACGGACCCATCGAGATACCAACAGTTCCAGTCTTACCGGGTGAATCACCAACCACTGGTGAGTATCACGTTTAGAGAAATTATAAGTAAAACCGTCTTTGGAGCAGGCACGTTTCTTAAACATAATTTTAAAACCGTTGGGACGTAAAGAATGTTATATTTGCAGTATCCTTTTTGAAGAAAACTGCGTTGAAAGATAATGAAGGAAAATTTTAGTAGACGTAACTTCATTTTATTGAATGGAAATGAGGAAAGGGTCGAGTTTAACGCGTGAAATGTTACAAAGAAGAAAAAAAGCATAGTTGGATCTAATGATCTACTATCCTTTTGAGTTGATGAGTGATCAAAATGGAATGCTCTCCAAACTCTTATCTGTTGGATGGTTATTTCTACAATAGACTCCTTGAGAAGTTTACTGACAGCTTTTCGTACTTTTTGAAAATATGTTGTTGCTTATTTGTAGGTCTCTATATAAAAATGTTCTCTTTGCGCTGATTTGAATATATTTATGTAGAAATGCTGGAATGCTTTGTTAAGTGTTTCCATTATCTTTTAGCGATTTTCACTGTAAACTTCAAACCTGAGCATATCACCTTTAAAGTCTAAATCAAGCTGATGGTGTGCTTGGCTGGAAGCAGTTTCGAGATATTATTCTCTTCCCTTATGTGACATTCAAATCTATTCTTCCCATTTCCAGGTCCTTCTCAAACTACAAGTTATCCTGTTGGTCCAGGGCCACCTGGCGCGAATCCAGCACCTCCTAGTTCATCTACCTCTTCCACAAATCCTTCGCCCCCTCTTCCGTCATTGCCACTCATGAAGAATGCATATCCAGTACCTCCTCCAGCCCCTCAGGTATTTATCATAAAGGAAAATAGCAATCCAACAAGAGGCCCAGAGGACAGTAAAAGTGCTGAGGCACTCAATAGTTTAAGCGAATCATTTGAAAGTGCTTTTAAAGAAGCGCTTAAATCAGAACGAAGGAAAATAGGAAAATATAGGAGTCATGCTAAAGGGCATTTTAGTATTAAACCCGAGGAAGAAGACAATTGGAATACAAACGACAGCGAAACAGATGATCAAGAGGAGGAGGAGGACGAGGAGAAGGTGCAGTCTCATGGCGGCTCTCGGAGAGATTTCACTGACGGGGAAGACAGTAAACTCAACGAGGATTTTTCTAACGATGACATAAATGATAATGGCAATGAAGATGACAGTAATGATGATGATGGTATTGATGATAATCATGATAATAATGCTGATTCTAATACTGATGAAATAGATGATGATGATCATAGCGATGATAATAGTGATGACGATGGCAATAATATTGATATCAAGGCGGAAAAAGAGCCGCCATACGACTTGGACCAACCTCGTCATTCTCATGCTCTATCATACTTCAGAGGAAATGAGCAAAGATACGAGGGAAGACGCAAAATGCATCCGACAAATAAAGGAAGGAAGTATCTAAGACTTCATGATCGGCATCGAAATGGAAAACAACGCAATGAAGAAACGAGAGAGAGTGAGCTGTTGTATGATCGTTCAGTCAACGGTGCTCTCAAACGTGATCGTAACAATGTTCATTCTCGCTATCACAGAAAGAAATTTCCATTATCTAAAACAGAAGAGGACAAGGAAATGTCACCAGAACATGATTCCAATTCAATCCATGTAGAAAATGTTCAATACAATCCATTGGAAAATACTGAAATTTCCCGCCTTCGTCATGGAGGTGCAAGTAGGACTTTCAAGAGCCCAAAGCATAGTTTAAAATCTCCAGAATCCCCTAAGGAAAAGCACCATGTGCCTTATAATCATGATAGAATCAAATTTCGTCATTTTCAGGACAAAGGCTCAGACAAGCATGCAGGCCACGATAAAGAGGGTGACCACACCTTCATCAAGGAACATCATGGTCATCATTTGAGCCATTCAAAAACTGCAATGTTACCTGAAGATGAAATCACTGAAGAGTCAGCCTCAACGATTGAAGAAACTAGTTATTCAGGGCATAATGAGAAGGTTAAATCCTTAAAGTCATTGAAGAATTTCTTAACTTATACACACTACGCGAAAGATGCGTCTCATCACCTTGTAGAAGACACTCGCACTAAAGACAAAAAAACTCCTCTTGGTACTGTGGAGTCATTTAAATCAGGCAATCATAGGCATTCTAGCAAACATAGCAAATCAAAACAGGAAAAGGACATTGCAGAGGATTATAGTGAGAGTTCGGGTAATGAATCTGGTCAAAATTATAACAGTGGCGATTATGAAGATATTGGCAGTTAGGCAAATTTAAGCACATCGTTTAAAAATAAGGTTTCTTGTAATAATCTAGACAACTGTCACTTTAAATCAAAAAAAAATTTTTTCTTTCTTTCTCTGGCTGAATTTATTTTGTCTCATTTTAGTCATGGGAGGGCTTTTTTATGATGTGAATCGCAAAATGCACATGTATGTTTATCCTTAGCTTTCGATTAGGTTTGCTTTTTCTGCGAGAATATTACAGCTGACTGTTTTCAACAGTTGTGGGCTTTCAAAGGATATTTATATCGACCTTGCAATTACGTTATATGTCTTTTTAGACGGGACACGTATCGAGTGAAGAGAGTTCACATGGAGGTAGAGGACCTCAGGTAGGTGAGGTAACCCGCCAAGCCGAGGTGGAAAAATAGCCCGCGTTTACATACAATCTTACAACCCCGGGATCCCTGGTTGAAGTTACTTTAGAGGTTACTGGCGCACTTGTAAGTGCAACCTGAGCGTAACCCCGGCTTGGCGGTTACCCCACCTTGACACGTTTACATTGCAAATCGTGACCCTAGCTGTCAGGGTTATCCTACCCAGCAGACCAGGCAACCCGCCTGGCTGGGTCACCCCACTTATCATGTAAACGTGATCAAGATAAAATAAGAGATTGTATGGACAGGCGGGTTACCCCAACTAGGCGAGTCACCTCATTTACCAGGGGTCTCCCACCTCCTTTAAAACAGGCCCTTAACAAATTTGTACTTTACGGGGTCATTGGTCATTTGCCTGTTGAATGCGGAGAACGAGGTATGCGCAGTTCGAAGGAGGGAGAGGATTTACAGTACCGACTTTTAGTTAACTTTGAGTTAAGTTGTGCTGTTTTCCTGATAAAAGTAAACATGACGATTGTATTTTTTTTTCTCAGAGGGCACGGTAACGAATCCTGCAATCTGATTGGTTCTTAGCGCGGTCCGTATTTTCCTATCTCTGCCACGGGCAACGATAACTCTTTCGTGAGTCGCCGAGTACATCCCTTCCTTTGTTGCTATTTTTCATAAATGTATCTCGCTTTTCTGGCTAGGTAGTATTTTTAAGCAAAGACGTTCGTTGGTCACTACTTCAAGCCGATAAATAACTTATTCCCTCGGTCTTGAGTACGGCCCTCGGCCTTCGTCCTTGGGCGGTACTCAAGACCTCGGGCACAGTTTTTCCTAATACGGACCTCCCGGCTGGCGAATAGCATATGCGGTTGCTTTTTTGCGGTTTTTCTCGCGTACGAGCCGTACACCAATGGATATAAAAAACTTCACAAAAGCAAGAAATACACGAACAGTGCATGCGCTTTTTAAACTTCTTTTCTCTTTTTTACCAGGTTCTTGAAAAAAATCACCTTCTGACGCTAAATCGTCGTCGGTAGAAGTTTTGTTGCAATTTTGAACGCTTTGCAAAATGTTCTTGAGTCTTTCCTTTGTACTTATCATGTTATACAATGAATACAGCTAACGGTTTATTTTTTGGAAGAATGTGATATAAAAAAATTGAATTGCCGTCTTGTACCTAGTTATACTTCCAGCATTGACCTATCAGGGTTAGGATTTAGGGTTGGAAGGAAGGAATGGCAAAGGAAGGAATGACCACTTCTTTTTAAACAAAAATATATTTTATTTCCGAAGTAGGCCTCTTTACAGCTCACATGCCATCGTCACAATTAGGTTATGAGCGGTAATTAAAGATGAGATGAACGAATGATGAATGAATTTTTCTTAATACAAGGTTCTTAGTTTTGATACAAAATGAACACAAAAGGAAATTTTTATGGTTTAACTCGATACAAGCCAATAAGTGTGGCTTTGAGATTTTCCCATTCATAACGAAGAATTTGTAAATGAAGGAAAATTATAAGTAACAATTGTTATGTAATTATGATATGAAACGTCCTATTTGTACCATATACTTAAAGATTATTTCATTCTCGTAACAGATGACTCTAGTAAATTTTTTTTTTCCTTTTGAAACCTTTTGAGTCAATTTTCTTAACATTGCTATAAACAAGTTTATGATGAATCAGGCGATCATTTTTCCTATTGTTTTTCTCTTTTCTATCCTGAAGCATGATTTTACGTTGTCAGATATTTCAAACATTGCCTCTTCTTTTCAAAGTAGATTGATCAATTTACATTTTCCGAGTTACACGTATGGTTATAGCAGAAGAGAAATAAAACTTCCGTCTTCCCTCTCTTATCTGGCATTTGGCCGAGTTCTGCGATAAAATAAAGAACACAGAGCTCTTTATTTCGCAGAGTTTTCTTCCTTCTTTCTCCCTTATGAAAACATCTTATAAGTTGTTTAAAAAACTTCTCAGTTTCCTACAAACTGTATTGCTCTACGTTGGTAAGCTGCATTCCTGAAGTGTAGATGAAAACTTGTACAAATTTTTCTCTCCTCATTGCCGAGTTAAATTTGCGAGCTATCATCTGTTCGGTAGCGCCAACAGAGCGAGTGCCTTTGCTAGTTCTCTTTCGTCGTTCATTCTTTGACTCTGTCGCTGTGTCTGTGGAGGTAACCTTCTGCGTTCCGCCTGGGCTTGTTGGTAAGGTGTCGGTGTGCTTGCTGTAAATGGCCTGCGAGATGAGCCGTAGGGGACTCTCGCCGATGGCGGTATTGTCTTCATGGGTACTATATGTTGCTGAATATGTATTAAAAAGGAAGCTTAATAATAAATGACAAAGAAATCGTAAAAAAGTCACAGAAAACAATGCCGCAGCATGATTAGAAATATTCCCAACTAACTACTCCTTTTTCATATTGCTTGGTTTCATCAAATGAGTTGATGATGTAAATGAGCCACCAAAATGAATTTCTAAAGACGACGTTTTTAAGCGTTAACCTGTCGCTCGAAATGTTGATTTTACAGCATTGCCATGCTTCATCTTTTATCATCATTGTCATGATTATAATTTCTATCTGTCATTGCTATTCGTTTTGTGAATTACTATCGTTAACAGAAATTGGTCAGAGATGATTGGTGAGTCACCTTCTGTGTTAGTGCAGTCTTAATCACAAGAAACAGGCATTTAATGAAAATTGTTCTTTTAACTCGTTAGAAAGCAGTCGAATGGTTATAAGATAGAAGCCGCAAAGCTAATTGGTGAAGATAAGACGAAGAAAACAGCGTTAGAGTATGAAACTTACTGTGTGCCCCTTTGATTTAATAGTTGCAAGAGAAGTCTTAAGTTATCGTTATGTAGCAGACTTACGTCAGAGGAGGTGTCCACGCATCATGCCTTCTATACACGTTGTCACGTTGTAGTCATCAAATATCGTCATAGTTTCATTAATTAATGACGATTTATGCGTAAGTTAACGAAAGCTAAGCTGCAGAAATGTTGATGCATTCATGCCTCATTGCAACATGCTGATGCATAACAGAATTCAGAGCCTAAGTCCAAAAACCACTGGGAACTCACGTAGTCCTAAGGAGTTATATTTGGCAGTCCAATGCAAATGAAAATTCCGATTGAAATACCTTCTCATGTAAGAGCACACAAAGGAAATGGGATTGCAGCAGTTTATGCATCATTTTGTCTGTAGTCCTCTTTAAATAATTTGGATTTTATGGTTGAATAATTTCGTTAAGGGAATAAATGATCCAAAATTTCCACTAACTGTCACCAAAAGTGATTGGGAAGAGGACAGCTAACTCTTTCTGAGACGAAGTCTCGCTATTTCTGTTATTGCACGAATACAGTACGTTTTCGTCCCGTTATTTTTGCCTCAGTTTTGTTGTCAGGCAACAAATTACCAATATTATGGTACCCTTTTACGGTTAACAGAGGCTTTAAGTATTAACATAAGATATTAGCTTATTAGAAAGTATCAACCTGTTGATATATTATCTATTTGCCGTGATTTTTTTTATTTCATTATCTTTAGATAATTTCCCGCTTCAAAATTATATTTAATAAGTTAACTGATGAGCAAATTGCGTTATGAACCAACTTTTTTTGTTACATCACTTCTATTTACATCATTTTTACATACTAAAAATCGTCCAAAAAATACTGTTAGATATTTCCCTCCTACTATCATTGTTCAGAGCTCAATTTTAAAAATGTTCAAAGCCTTAGACCGACTCGTAGAGTTGCTTTGTTGCTCTTACATAGCATTTTGCAGAAATATGCAATTTGCATATACGATATTTGTTTTGATCTTTTCTGTATCATGGTTATGGGTGAGCTGATTCACAGATATTCTTTTTATGAATTGGTGGTGGTCGTATTTTTTTTTTCGTACGTCCAAAATCGTGGTTGGTGTAGGTAGACGAAGGAACGTCGTTATCGGTCTGCTTATTGCATCGTGAGTATGGGTGAGCTGTTGCTCACTTCGTTTTTGGAGCTGGTAGTGTTGCATAACTGATCTAAGTTTCTGTTTGGTCTACACTCAGACGAATCTCCTCCCTGAGAAAAATTATTCGCGAGTGTGGATCAAAATGGGACTACCTATGAAAATATTTTCAATTGAGAATTGCATAGCCAAATTTCAAGTTATCAAAACTGCCAGCTACGGCAAACATCACACCAATGAACGACTTTAAAAACGGAAAAAGGCAAGATGCTGAGCCGTGATTGGTTTTGAATTATGCAGCTGATTGCGTGAGAGGCTGGGAGCATTTTCTGTACCAATCAAGTAGCATTGTGAGGTGCAACAGTGTATTGCTGTTGCTTCTCATTTGCAGAAAATGGCCCCTTCTGATCCAGTAGTTAGCCTGGACGAATGTCTTTCATTACGTTCCTTTCACACCTTTTATGCTGTTTTTACTTTGGTGCAGCGTAGTTTTCTCTTTAGCACCACGTTTTTTCTTTTTCTTTTTACGCTTACCATATCTTAACCTGAGAATATCATTTAATACCCTTTGTAAATATTGCTGTGTGCTAGACTGTGTGTTAAGAGAAGGTAGTCTTTGAAGTTGGTAGTATAGTTGGTACGGTACAGTCTCTATGTAGATAGGTCGGTTGGAAAGTCCGTTTGCTAGTTGTGACTTTCTGCTTCCCAAAGCAGAAACTTGTGGGTAAATCGTCTTTTGTGCCTGTGCAATCGAGTTTAGTGATGTCATGAGCGGAAGAGAGCTCGGCCCTCCTTTATTTTGCCTTGGTTGAGGAAGTGAAAGAGGAGCTTGTACCTGTTGCCTTCCATATGCATTTGTAGTTAAAGGGGCCGCTGGTGTCTTCAATAAGCTTGTTAGAAGTCGGTAATATGGAGTATAAAGGGTCTGTGAGAGTTGTTTTGGATTAACCTGGGTGACCATGTTGGTTTGTTCTGTTGAAATCCTCCCTCCGGTTTTTCCTGTCATTGTAGGATTTGTATATGTCGTAACTTCCCCCGGTTTGTTGTTAAAGGCAGCACTGGAAATCTGTTTCGTTAACGATTGTAAGAAGTTTGTATTCCCTTCTTCTCCTTTGATGTTTGCTACTTTTGTTAGCGCCTTGCTAATTGTCTTAGGATAAAAATAATAGTAGAGCAATACCTGGGGTGACATTGTGTATGGAGAAGATTGCAGACTGGGTGAAAGACCAACTTTTGGAGCATATGCTGGAGGTTTGTTACCATGAGCTTGAGGACGTAAGGGGGAGAAAGACCGACTTGAAGCTGGTGCCATAGGCAAGACACGACTTCTCCAAGCAACCCAGGGCCAAGACGCTTGCCCATAAATCAAATGTGGCCTGAATGGAGAAATTTTAGGCTGTGCAATCCCTGTGGCACCCTTCCGTGTAGTTGACGAAAGCGGACCCTTTAAACTTGACTGCGTCCTTAAGGCAGGCATAAGGAGTCTTTGCTGTAGTTTTGAAGAATATGGCGCCTTTGGATAATAGCTGGCATAATACGGGTGACCAGAAGGCAATTGTTTTTTAATTGGTGGGACCATCTTTCTCGGCCATGGTATGGTCGTCAAAGTGTTGCTCGTCAAGACATGATTGGGTTGTTCAAGCATGGCCATCTTATATGCAAGTGATTGTTGTCGACTGGGAGCTGTTGCTAGCTGGGCCTTAACTCCCCCAAACTGAGTTTTCACGTTACTCGGAACCCGAAGGGGAGGCATGAAGTTTACTTTCTGCCTTTGCTGGCTTAACGCAGAATTTCGTATCGATCCACCGGAAGGATTTTGAATGCCTACTGTCTTGTTCTGCAAGGGCATACCCTGACCGATGCTTATCGGCCTTGATTGTCCTAACAGTCGTTGACCTGTCGAAAGAGCAGGATAAAAGGGCTTCTGACCTCCAGGAAGTCCTTGCCTAATGCCACCTACGGGAATGTGCCATATGATTGGTTTCTGGAATCGTGCGTCATTATTCACTCTATTGGGAGACATGTTCGGCTGAGTTGTTATTGATTCTTGTTTAGCATATTGCTCTTGAAATCCTCCTGGTAGTCCTTGCCTCGTACCTCCCAAGGGAATGTGCCATATAATTGGTTTCTGGAATTGTGCATCAGTATTCATCCTATTCAAAGACATGTTGGGCTGTGTTATCTTAGATTCTTGTTTTGCATATTGTCCATTAAGTCCATCTTGAACATTAAGAGTATTTAATCTTTGAGGCTTTCCGGCGCCATTTTGCACATAAGGAGCCCGTTGGCTTCCTGGTGTATTCATTTCCATCACACTCGGAAGTGAATTTATATTCACTTGTTGCTTATTAAACAAAGCTTGCGATGAAAATGATGGCTGATGGTTGTTATTTACCCTCTGGGCAGTAACTGGAGTATCGTGCCTTATTGAAGCTTGTGTTGCATATGGAGTAGTCACACCAGGCGGATGGTTGTTCCACATATTACCAGACAAGAGATGAGGCACTGGCAGTGAGCTACCTGCTGCTGGCTTTATTTTCGCGTTATATGCAGGTTTGTAAAATGTTTGTGGTTTTTTCTGTTGTGGAGGTAGCGAATACCCCTGAGGTGGTCTATAGAGCATTGGCAGCTGCACATCATAACGAGGAGGCACACCAACATTCAGACTGGCCAGTATTTGCTGCAAATTATTGGCGACGTAATCCTTTATGGGAGGTGTTTTTTGATAAGCTGATGATATTGCATTCATACTCTGAGGCTGAGGCCTGTAAAAAGCGGCTGGTCCATTCTTTCGTAGCCCATTTACGGGCGGTGTCATGATTGCGGTAGAGCCTCGTGTGGTCGATGACTCCTCTGTCACTTTCTTTGGTTTATGTGCTGGGTAAAGATAAATAAAACTGTGTTAAATAGGCTGTAAAGTCTCCTACCGACTCCAGAGAATGAAGGCTGGACTTGTCATCTTGTGGCCCTGGGTTCAAGTCCTCCACCTTACTACTCAATAGACTTGTTCTCGGTTGTCCCGAGTTTAAATTTTTGGCTGTGCTTTGCATATAGCCAACTAGTATGCTACGTGTCTGTTGGGGTCCTGAGCATTAAGGGCCACAAGCTTGTCAGTTTGTAACTATATAGGTTTACCTTAAGTAAATAAAGTCTCATTACTATATGTTATTATTATTATTATTATTATCATTATTATCATTATTATTATTATTATTATTATTGTTATCATCATCACTATTATTAGATTAGCAGACTTGGAAACTTACTGAAGTAGACGCGGCAGTGTCTCATCAACACAAGTATTTCCAGGCGTGGCAGCTCACAGGGGAAAATGTAGAACTCGTCAATCATTCCTCGTAACAGGCGATTTCCAAATTGATGTTTATGACGACCTGTGGGTAGTACGAGCAAACATAAACAATTGGGCTTACTTTAAAACTTTTAGCTATAATATGTTCAGAGCCATGATAATTCTCAAAGCGCAAGGAAAACCTAACGGCTCAAAAAGCCTTCAGGCATGATTTATTTTTGTATCCAAGGAACACATACCTATTCCGGCCTTGCCTCCCCAATCTTGAGACAAAAAACCTTGCCCTTTCTCCTCCTGAACCATATCTCCATTAACAAAAACCTTGAAGAGAAGCGTTCACTTGAGATAAATGTTACATAGGGGAAATGTTTCTAATATTGTTGTATGTGAGAGCACTGATTTTTTAGTTGAAGTAGAATGTAGTTATAATTAGAAAGAAAACCCAGTTTTGAAGAAGAAGGGTTAGTAAAAGCAAATGAACAAACGCAATGGTTGCGGAATGATCATGGAATTAAGCACTACGCGAGTGATTGCAGGATTAAGAATGTTGCGTTCAGAACACGACCTCGTTTATTTGCTGTTAAATTACAACGCCAAAATTGAGTGACGAACGACAGCCAAGGCAGTAAAAGGTACGACATCATATTCAACGACGGTGCCGACTTCTTTAACTCGATGAATTATGAAAAAAGTTGAAGTAAGCATTAGGGCAAAATTAATTTTAAATCAGAAAATGATAGGAACAGAACAGGGAGATCTTTAAATGCATGTAATTCGTGCTTTCTCGGCCATCATTATGCTGCTTCTGCCAATGAGAATTCAGAATTTCTCACAGTGAGAGAAGTTTGGGTCTCTGATCTGTGTAAATAATCAGCATAAGCTTCATAGCTATTGGTTATTTTAGAAATTTGCACGCGTCTGAATAATGTTTAAAGCGCGTTATGTATGTTTTGAATAAAATAGTAAATAAATAATTTTACTTGTTAGTGCGTTAACTTCTTGTCATTCTTCAGTTTTATTTCAGTACTCACTCTTGCCCGCTGTTTCTTTGCACTGTAAGTCGCTGTGATTTGTGTCCAGACTCCTTCTCTCACTACGGGCCGCGACAGTAGACTGAATATGGTGTCATGGTTTTCGTTTCTGTGAAACCAACGCACTTTTCCATTTTCAATCTCAAAGTGGTACTGACCATCTTTGTGCCTAGAATGGCTCCCAACAGTGTCAAATATTGATTGTATGCCTTTGTTTGTGTCAAGTTTAACCCAAGTTGATATGGTAATTCCTGCCCTGGGGATTTGATGAAAGTGTACGCCATCCAGTAAAACATCTCCACCTGTTGTGATAATAAGATACAAAATAAAACATGATGGAAAGTGTTCATCGTTGTCGAAAAAAACGGCATCGCAACAAGTTTTAGTTTAACATAAACTGCCTGTTGACGAGGGAAATTATGATTTGGTTGGCTCCAGAACCGGACAGGATGACGGGAATCCTTGGTTAGACACATAATAGACTCCGTAACTTTAAGGCATATTTTTTGTAAAATTAAAACAGTTCACCGTCGTTTTAGCGATCACTGCTTTAAAAACACGTCTTGGACATAAAAAAGGTCAAGAAGAATTGTGAGAATCCTTTGAGTAATTATTAGCTGTAGTCTTTGTACCACATCATAAATCCACCGGGTGACATGGAAACGGTAGCAACGATGGTAAAAGACAAGGTTAAAAGAGTTCAGAAACTCTTCAAGTCGTCTTAACTTACCTAGTAAGTTTGCTGCATTACCACATTTCCCACCATGTGGAACGATTTGTGCCCCGTTGGCGAGGAAACCTCTGTTTTCACTTCCAGAATCATCTAACAACGCACTCTGGGAATACTTGTCAAAACTCAGATGGACTGAGGGTGGGCAATGGGCTGGAAGTAAAAAAAAGTTGCCTCGTTTGAAAAACTCCTTAAGCATCAGATGAAGAAATTTGAATAAGGAAATATATACCTATCTAGCTCTCCATGATTAGTTTCCGAGAAGATTTATATTACTAACAAAGGATACTTCCTAGAATAAATCTGCTTGTCTTTTTATGATAGTATTTTTCAATTCTTTTGCAATTTTATTAATCCTTGTTTCTTTGTAAGTGCTTCTCCTTTATTGTTTAATAAGTCGAATTATACTTTCATTTTGATCAATTCTTACTTACGATCTATTGGAGGACAGACGCATAGATGGCGTCACCATTTAACAAATTTTGCTTCTTTATTCTTTATTTTTATTTATTAAAGAAAAAAGTAGATTCCATACCGCCTTGAGTCTGTATGGTTATTGATCGCAGAAGACACCAAAACAAGGAGGGAGAACATCGGTGACAAACTCGGCTGCGCTTCATTTTGCCAATTTTTTTTGTTTTTAGCACATTTTGACGTGATCTGTGATCTATAACTGAACAGACTTTTAATTTTTTTCTCATTTTAAAAATAAATGAGCGTCTGCAGTTCGAGTGCATGCTAATGAATCTCACATTCACAGTAGTCCCCAACGTATCCCAGCCGGCACACGCATTTAGATATGCCTGGTTTGCATGTTCCACCATTCTGGCACGGAGACGCCAGACAGGTCCAGTCCTTGTCCCTTGGGGTTTCCACTGAAAGGTACACAACAACCAAGGTATTAAGAAATGGTCTTTAATGCTGACTCATATTTAAGGCTCATTCAACTTCAAACAACGGTGCTTTTAAATGGAGTAAGAAAGATGATGAACTTTGAGCTCCCGTTGACTCAGAAAATTTTCTTTGTCCCACGCTCGTGACAAGACGGAAAAACTGACATATTTCGTAATGGTGCGTCATCTATGGCGGAAAGGGACTTGCCCACAAAACCCTTCGACAAAGCTCACGGTGATCGGAAGAACTTTTAGCTTGACAAACTGACTGAATTAGGGATTGTAAATGGACATTTGGAACAAAGTAGTTTTCACAGAGGTAGGTAAAAAAAGCAGTTACAACGCTGTGGTTATGTAGCCAAACGGACGCTTGCAGGGGCTGAATGAAACGATTACCGTACTTGTGGAACTACTACTGTTTAAATAATTCTTTCATTCGAAATTTTTCATTTACCGCTTTGATAATGAGAAAAACGCTAAGGGATAGAAACTGTAGTCTAAATCGCAATTGTGTTCTTTTTATTATGAAAACTAGAGGATAACTTATGTCTCGAGTTGTCCCCTATCTCACCCCAGCATTCCAAGCCGTCTCCAACAAAGCCATGCTTGCAGATACAATGTCCTCCCACACAGTGCGCGTTAAGGTCACAATGCTGGCATTCCTCTGTTTAAACGAATAAGTTCAATTCATAGGTTCAATTTTAATGCGAAACATTTGGTTAAAGGTAGATAGAAAGCGGAAGGAAAAAAGGAAAAAAAATCCACAAAGATGTGAAAAATTGAACGATAAACAGACACAAAATTGCAAAAAAAAAAATGCGTTGCGTACAATCTTCTACGGACTGATAAATTATACCTCTTAACAATTTCATAGATTTGCTACTCACCGCCTCTTCCGGGAAAGAATTTAGGAGCTGAAGAGTAGGTGTATGCTCCAATATCTAAGAAACAAAGTACAAACCGAAGTTAAGAGTGAGTCTGAGACATAGAGAGTTAAAAGGCGCCCTACGAAGTCTTATGCTCGACTGCGTGCTGTCGCTGGTCTTCATCCTTAAACTTACAAGATCTGATTGTTAGTTCTTGCCTTTACCTACCATGCAATTCTCTCTCATTGCTTATGAGAGTTTGATGTTAGATCAAGATAGCAACCTACGCCTGATAAGTTTGATAATTATTCTCATTACCTGTTTGCTGGATAATGTATGGATAAGATAAGGAGAATTTACACGTTAATCACATCTTGGAGTTAGGAGTTGAGGTAGGATGTTAGTAGTAACAGAATTTACGTTCTCGTGTAGATACGTAACTCTCGTTACGTTGAGTAAACTTCTTTGTATTCAATGGGAGAGGGACATAACTTGGGGTCTAACACTCCTCGACCCTCGTCAATCACATGAATTATGAGAGACTTATTTGTCATGTTATTTGCTGTGTAAAAGTGAAGTACGTTCAGTCAACAGTCAGTCAAACCTTCGCATCTTGGTCCGGAAAAGTCACCTCGGCAAAAGCACTCGAAGTCATCGTCAATCGTCTCGAGGCACACAGCAGAGTTGCGGCAAGGATTTGCAGAGCAAGCGTTGACTAACATTTGTTAAATAGAAATGTCATGTCACTGTTTGTCACAGATGGGTACGTTGTCATTATCTTTTGAAATTACTGTATTTTCTCACTGGTAATACGTTATCGTCAGTCGTAAAGGATCTTCTGTCTTCAGTGTTTAGCTCAATGTAGGTGTCAAAGCAACTACAGACCTACCCCTCTCCTAACCCAACATTAACCCTGACTTGTTTTCACGTGGCTATTGTTGGGTATGGGAAGGAGTTGGTGCGCAATTACCCAGACGCTGAAAATGATCGTAATTTGTTGCGTTTTGGACCTACGTACCTCTTTTTGCATTATAATTGGTGCAGTGAATTCTCAATGGTTTTATTTTATTATTAGGTGCTATTTTAAGGTACATGTTAAAACAGAGGTGAAGTGACAATGTTTTCAAACCACTTGCACTAAGTACCGTTAAAGATCACTTAGTTACTCTATTTCTTATTGTAAATTGCTACGCCGTTATGCACAGAAACGATCTAAGTCGTTCGAAGGAAGATATTAAAGAGAAAAGTGTCTCCCACTTAATGGGTATGAATAATTGTCACTTGAGTCATTTGTTCCTACAGATTTCATGGTGCAACATCCCCCACAGATAGCAATTCTCACCTTTGAAGTGTTGCGTTGTCTTACGCACAGGGGATATCGCCGTCATGAAATTGGCTGAAGGTACGGGAGGTGGTGGAGAGGCCAAAGCTTTTTGTGGAATGAGAACTATAGGAAAATAAAGAGATGGATACCGTCAATTATTCCTACAAGATCATAAAGGCATTTTGAAATTGGAGGCTTCAAACGGAATTTACTCGAATAGCGTCCTGAGCTTATCTCGATTACTCTATTATAAAGGTACTAAGAGTATTGTCACTTCCTCTGGATGCCAGTGGTAGTAATCCATCGTTAGTTATTGACTTAAGATTCGGAAGAGGCGCGATAAGTTAAAAATGTGCACCGAAGACAACAGCTCTATGACTGACGTTCGAGCATAGGCATATTCTGATCTAGTATTTGGCACACCGAAATATTGAAATTTATATACATACATGAAAAAAATGCACTAAATGAAGGTTCAGAGTAACCATTGACTAATGCATATATCAACACTGAAAGTCAACACTCGATCAACACTTAATTTCATACATTTATCGGAAAACAGAGATATGTAAAAGCCATTTTGTTAATTTACCCAAGCTAATGTGGTCTCTTTTCGTGCCCCATGCAACAGTTGTATACAATATATGTAACGACAAGGTGATGAATTCAGCACTTACTATTGCATCGTGTTCCTCTGTAAGCCGTTGGACATTTACAAAGGTACACAGTGTAAAAGACCAGGCAACTGCCACCGTTATTACAAGGGTTTGGATAACATGGATTGCCTAAAATATGGAAAGCTCGGAGTTTATAATGGTTTAATAAATCACAGCTTGACCTACACCCTCGTACTCAGCATTTAAACTACTGCTGCCAGATTCTTTTACATTTTCTGTGTTTTTTTCGCTCGTAAAAATTAATCTAGAACCAAAAACATCATGTGACAGCTCTCAAACCTTTTAAGATGGTGAAAAGAGCAAGGAACTTACTCTCACAGTGCGGTCCGTTGAATCCATCTCGACACTTGCATTGGTAACCCTTTCCACGAACAGTGACACATAATCCGTCATTTTTGCAAGGGTTGGGGAGGCAAGAATTTACTGAAGAAACAGGATAAGTCAAAATAACATTATACAGTTCTCGTATTTGACTTAACAAACAATCTTTAAACTTCAAAATTTGACTCGCCTCTAAAAGTGGTATCGTGTTTCTTGTATCAATCACAGTTTTTTGAAGAATTTCTTTTATATATCATTAACAAAAAGTCCTTTCCTTCAACAAATGAAGTGAAATGTTAATTATATCATGATATATGTTAATGATACCGCAGATGCGCAATCCATATGTAAAGAATAATGTGTGATATGCTCAGATTTGTCACAGACACAGTGAAGATATCATCTTTAATATATTTTATCCGATTATCTTGTCAATATTTTGCGAGATTTAAGCCCCCTCCCCACCCTCCTTTAGGAGTCCTTTAGTGTCTCAGGCCTACTTTATTTTCACAGTCATTTAGGGAAAATAATCAATAATTTACGCCACTTACCTTGACAGTTGCGCCCCAAAAAGCCATTATGGCAGTTGCACTTGTAATGACTGGCTTTATCCCGTGCACATAGCCCTTGGTTCTTGCACGGATTAGGGTTACAGTGGTCCACTGGAGAGATCGAAACATACTTATTAGTTCTTAAGAAATCTGATATGATTAGTTGTATTCACCATATACATCTCCGTTAGAGATTCATTAGCCGTCTGACAAACTCGGTTCCATCTGGCCAGCTTATTGCGTAGTTATGCCAACTTTTCAAAGATTGGTTCTCAGAAAGTCTTTCCTCGTCAGGTCCAATAACGTCTATTTTTTTCCCGGGAGTTAGCTAACAAAACCTTATTTATGACTTACAGCATGCTGTGTCCGAGCAAAGAAGTCGGGAAATATATGTGATCCGTAACACAAAAATTAAAAAGATATTTTAAGAATAATAATCACAATAAAAACGCTTTGCGACGAAGCCCACTTCGGTTAACCATGAACTTGAACATGAAGCCAATTACCTTGACAGTGGAAACCGGTGAATCCCGGCTCACACGAGCAACTATATCCTTTTCCTTCCTCTACGACACAAATGCCTTTGTTTTTGCACGGGTTGGGAGTGCAGTAGTCAACTATGAGTGGGATTGAAACTTTGTTAATTTGGATTTAAGTACTGGCTCAGTTTTATCACTTTACTAATGTCGTCTTGTTACGGCAACTGATGTTAGGTATTGCAATCGTCGACTATGAGTGAGATTAAAACTTTGGTTATGTAGATTGCAAAACGGGGTCAGCAATGTTCTTTCACTGTTTCCGTCTTTATATATGATATTATATTTTGTTAGAAATGTTTATCATTTTTAATGGTTCAATATTTTGGAAAGACTAAGTCTCTCCGAAAAGACCAACCCAGTAGGAAGTAAATGGTCTTTCTAAAGTCTGATTTGAGTATTGTTGAGTTAGTAAAATGTGCAAACGTGAGACAATGTGAATATGATCATAAATGGATGAACACGTCTATGATTCCTGTGAGCCATAAGTTGCCAGTCGTACTTATTTGCTTCTCTTACAGTCGTCTTCCAATCGCTATACCAAGAGAACCTATCACATCACGCCCATGCTACACACTTTAATAACCTCACTGCGAACAGAAACTAAGCGAGTTGAAAAATGCACTTGGTCGACTTACTATGAGGCTTCAGACGAAGTCTTTGCGCCTTTGATGCTTCTGCAATACCAAGGTCTGGTTAGAAGCTTGCATAAGTTGTATCATTCATTTGGAAATGTCTGGGGCTGTTTACGTTTCAATTTCGCGATGGTGAAGACGAAATATCAAGGTATTTTTTTGTATTTTTAAGCACATTTTGATTACTAAAATTAGAACATCTTCTTGCTAGATTTTTATCGAAAATAATTTTTGTGAAAAGGAGTGAAGTCCATTGAATTTTATCATTGATCTACTGTCAAAATGTTAATCTTCTTTATTCCTTTTGCTGGCTCTTCACTGGCATTTACTTTATTACTTTGAAGACTTCTTTCTATCCATTACTCTTTATGCCTTTTACACATGTTGAAGCAATTGTAAACATTTATCTTAAAGCTGACAACTCATTGGCTTTTCATGGTTAATGCTAGTGTAAGGTGAACTTGATTAAATGATGATGAGTGTTATGACGAGAGAAATGATCTATCTAAGATTTCAGCAGTGTGATTAACCCTTGTTATATAATCATTTGGCCATCTAACGAGCTGACTGTGTTGTGCTGAGTCTGCTTTGCTTCCCGTCAAGTAATACGATCTTGGAAATGAACTCTTTTAAGTGATAAATGGGGGTGGGGGAGGGGGAGGGGGAGAAGGAAAAGGGGGTGGAATGGGGTAGAGGGAGATGGGGGGGGGGAGAGGGAGGAAGAGGAAGAGGGGGAGAGGGGGCATAGGGGCCATACAGAAGGGGATTGAACTTAAACATTTTTAGTAGTTTGCCTCGCCTCTTTGATCTGCAAATTAAACAGACGCACGCAAGCACGTGTAGACGGCAAATGATGATTTTTCTAGGTATAAAAGATATTGCTCATGGATAGTACGATATTACCGCTGCGGATGAAGCTCAAGGCTTTTTAATGATTTGCGTTGGAGCTTACCGTAATGCACACTACAGAAGGGGTTAATATTTACTGACTATATGCTTTGTTATATAAGTATCCGTCGTGTGGCAAACTTTAAACGCTCTTGCAGTTAGTTACTTTTTTGTTTATGGGTGATAAATCAGATGTTATAGACCGGCAATTATCTCGATTGTTCTTTCAACGCGGTTTTAAATTTTTTTCTTCAAATGGGACTTGCCTTCACACAACGCGCCTGTAAACCTTGCAGGACAGCGGCAAACGAAGTTGCCTTCCTCTCCCAAAAGACACGTACCGCCATTATTGCATGGATTTGGGATGCAAGAGTTCTCTGTGAGCGAGCGCGGAAAATATGGCGGGTACAAGTGAAAAAAAATCATTAATTTTCCACTAGATATAAAAAGGTTGCATGGACATACTTACTACCATCCAACACCTCAGAGTATCTTCACTACGCTTCTAACACAAAATGACATGAATGAGCGAGCTCCTTTTTATAATTTTTTTAGTAATCGTAACAAACTCCATGAAAACATTTCTGTTGGTTGGTGTCTGTAAATTTTTACTAATCGGTCTTGATCTTTTTTCCATTTAAAGTTCAGAAATGAAAAACCTTCGAAATTAATTGGACATGAGGTCTCGATATTTAGCACAATGGAGATGGCATAATCCGAATGGAGGATTACAACTTACTTATCTGGCAACGGCGACCTTTAAAACCCTTTGGACACGAGCAACCAAATGAATCTCCGTTCCTGGCACAAGTTCCTCCATTCTGACATGGGTTTGGACTGCAAACCACTACAAAGCGAGACAAAGAATACATATATTTAGATCGTAGCCGAAAAATACAGCTATTTAGATTAGTTACAAGCCCCTCAAGAGGAATCACCAGAAGATACGTTTGTCCCAAACGTGCCACTAAAAAGCAATGTGACTTGTAGTACTACTATGTAACAAGGTATTTATTGCATACTCAGTCCATAAGTCTGAATTTTTTCTTCGCTCTTGGTGTAGGAGAATGTTAACGGTATGCATCTGAGAATAACTAAGGTATACTTGAATATCAAATTAAATAATACTTTCATTAGCTGAGGTCATAACGGGTACTCACATGCGCTTGTTTTCCTATTTCCTTGCACATCCATACTTGAGACAGCTTGTGTTGGAGATGTAACTTTCAAGTTGTTTGTAAGCGACGTTGAGTGAAAAATGGGAACTTTGTGTCTGCCGTCTGCGTTTACTTGGTTTTCAAACACTAGGAATAATGGAACGAAAAATAAATTACAAATTTAATTTTGAAGGTTTTATACCGAAATTCATTGTAATGCTGTACTTGAAATTTTCAAGTCATGTAAAGGAAATTATAGATCGAAAGAAATGCTTCAAATTCCGTCTCTCAGGATTAAGACACAGGGAACAGCTGTCGAAGTTTGTCACATAGTAACAAGCGATGTATAGAAGGACTGACGGGAGAGTAAGCTATTTACCCGGGTATTTCTTTCACTATCCCACCCCGATTGTGAACATCCTTCCCTCAACTGCAAATCTAAAATATGTTCGGATTATATGCTTTTTGTTAGCCATAACAGCTCCACATCTATCAAAAAGGCTAAAAAAACGTCTGCTTAAGGATACCATAGGATCTTCTGTTGTGAATTAGCGCAGTTTTGAAGATGCGGAATAGATGTGATGTTTTCCGTTGTAGTCACGACGGAGGTCTAATAATTAAGTATCTCAAGTATCTCCTAGCAATTCAGAGGCTTGTGCTCAGCTTACTTGGAATATCATGTGGCTATGGTAGTCAATACGCCTTCTAAACATAAAACCCGTTTTTGCAGGCCTTCATATATCTTCTAGCGAAGCTGAGTGAGATCAATCTATATAAGCTGCAGTTTACCACTCATTTCTGGTCTACCACTTGTTACAGAAGTTTATGTCGTTGTTAGTCACCTGTACAGTTCGGCCCATTATATCCTGGTGTGCAAGCGCACTTAAAACCGCCAAAGTCTGTCCTGGAACATGTTCCACCATTCATGCAGGGGTTTGGGTAACATAAGTCTAGCTCTTTGTAATACAAAGTTAACGTTGTGTTAGTAAACAATCCTTCTGTTACTCCTAATTATAATTTGGCTATTATGTTATTATTTGGTACATTAGTTACATTTCATCTTTAACCCAGACAGGATAAGTTATGTAGGTAGGGCTACGGGGCATAAAAGAGAACCTAAGTCTTCTTATACAAAAGCAAACAGGCATAAAGTACTTTGAAATTCAAACAATGGGATAGGCGTAAAATCACATCCTCTGTTTATTCTCTGGTTAGTTACCTATTTTTATAAGATGTTTTAAACATTTTGTCATCGGAGGCTTTTTTGCCAAAACCCTCGGTAATGTTCCAAGAATCAATCAATTAGAAATAATCTAGAATTTTTAAGTTACTTCCATCTTTTAGGTGTGCGAAATTTGTGGTGGCAAAAATTATATCGCTGTGATATTAGTTGAAGGAGTGTCTTGGTAACATGTCGAGGGTATTAGCGAGATTTATTTTTTCTTAAAGATAGGAAGCAATGCAGGTTTGAATCTGCTGTCATATTTTGGACGGAGCGGCAAGTCAGTAGAAGTGTGTCAGTGGTCAGTTCTTTGTCAAATTGTTTGTAAAGGCTTCCTAGTGTTCTTTAACCCTCTATATCCAAGGATTGGTTTTCATAATCTCCGCAATGTTCTCTTTAAATCCTCTTTTGTAAGGACAAGGAGAATTTGTTTGACAACCAGGAGCTTTTTCCTTAATTCTCATGAACTTTACTTTTGATTCAAGGACGATGATATAAAGAAGAATTATAAGCCAGTAATTCTTAGGGGTTAAAGGGTTTAAGCTGACTGTTCTTTCACGGAGAAACATCTATAAACTTCATCAAATTTGAAAGCCTAACGTTTCGCTGTGAATTGCAACTTTTCCTTTCAGAACTTACCATGACAATTCTTTCCTCTAAAGCCTTGCTTACACGCACACAGGTAATCTTCATCATTGACCTCAATGCACCGTCCATCATGCATACAAGGACTGGGGTTACAAAGGTTCTTCACGCACTGATAACTGTCCACTCCTGTTTGGTGACATTTGTTGCCAAATTGGCAAGGATTGGGTTTGCAGAGATCTCGTTCTGAAAATGATTGATTCGATGTTACGTCTGTTACTTACTGGAATCAATCCATAATCTTATGGCCATGGTTTTTAAGTATGACTCATGTCCCGCATCTTTTTTTAAAAAAAAACTCCTATTCCCAGGTATGCCAGTTAGAACTGTCAGCTCCATAATAGTAGCCAATCAGAACTAAGGTGGAAAGATAGTAAGAAACTGATACCTTGGCAGTGTCTTCCTTTGTATCCTCTTGAACAATTGCAGACAAAACCATCATCCGTGTGAAGACAGGCACCGGAGTTCAAACATGGATTAGGACGGCAGGGATCCAAATCTGTAAAAAGCAATGGATTCAAATTCTAACCATATCAATGAAGAACATCATCAGGATAGATTTAAGCATTAATAAAAAATTGCTCCAAACCTAGCTGAAAGTTTCTCTCCTACACTTACCTGTTTCGGTGGTTGTCAGTCATCCTTTTTAGTGCCGAAGATATCGTCATTAGGTATTAATTAAGATGCAAGTGTGCAACACTTAAAGTAAAGATTGTGGGCGTTTGAATGTTAAGACTTGCCTAGCTCTCTTAGACTAGCATATCACAAGAAACACCATTAGACGATATATTAGCTTTTGCAAAATGGCTGACAGTTACAGCTATCAATAACAATTGAACAACGTCCGCTGGGGATAACAACAACAACAATTTAAACAGAGTGAACTAATATAACGTTGGTGTGCTGCCATCAGGAGTTACCATGGATTCATGGAAATTGGCGTGGCCTACCTTGACAGTGTGTGCCACGATATCCCGCTGTGCAATTGCATAAAAAACCCAGTTCGTCGTTGATCTCCATACACATGCCATCATGCAGGCAAGGATTAGGGTGACATCTGTCTTTTTCTGTGGAACAGAAATGCACAATAACTGTTCCGCTTCTATTTCACATTTCATATCAAAGCCAGGGAATCCTGATCTCTGTCATCCACCAAATGAAAGAACAAATGTCTATCCTGATATTTTCAAAATCTTTACAAATATATTTAATGAAATTCAATTTATTTACTTCCCCTGATTATTTTGACTTCCCATCATTTTCTAAGATTTCCTATTATTTTTCAAGGGCCTTTGCAAGATTTTCCGGAAACGTTTTCCTTTACAAGCGTATTAGTTACTTCTTATAAATTATTAGGTGTAAATGATCGTTGACAAAGAGGGAGTCGTGTGCGCGCTGAAAATCTCTTTCTTCACCTCGGCGTTGATCATTTCCCTAGGCCCCAAGAAGCAATCCACCGCTCATCCTCGTCAAAGCGATTTACCACGAGCAATACTTACGATGAATGTCTAAAATTCATCTCATTTTAGCGAAAGTATTGCTTGCAAAGGAACACTCACCGCCACACTGCATGCCTTTATATCCAGAGATGCACTGACAAGCAAACCCGGGCCCTCCTACAACTTCCCGGCAAACACCACCATGTCCGCATGGATTTGGATGACACTTATCGATATCTAGGGCCAAAGAATAAGTTTCTTTCAGAGATGCAGTAATTTGGAACTAGTTTTTCCTTGAGGAAGATTCTCAAAAGTATTCTGAAAAAACCGTGTGGGAAATTATAGACCAACCTCTTAACCAATCAAATGTAAGAAACTGAAGCTCATGGTGACTTGGTGACTTAATTTCTCCCAATTCTTTTCTTCACTACTCTTCAATTTACCAGACTTGACCCAAAAACGCTCTGAAACATACATTACTAAACATACTTTCTTAGTACGAACTAATCAGCCATTTTCTTACCTTGGCAAGTGGGTCCTTTGAACCCCAGAGTACAATTGCAGGCAAAACCTCCGCCGATTTCTGTACAAAACCCGCCATGACCACACGGATCAGGTCTGCAAGGATCTTTGTCTAAATTTTCATGAAAGAGAAGTTTAAATTCCAACTTGACATATAAGATGAATTCAAAATAGCTGTGATATGGATAAAAATCCTATTGCCTGATACGAAACAAGGGCTTTTGGCTTATCAGCAAAGGTTTCCTTTTTTTCTTTGTTGAACAATTTGAGTCACAGAAACAAAGTCTGTCCCAGCCGAGAGACAAGGCCCTCAATTTCAGGGGTGAGCTAGTAATTTTGAGCCTGAGCCTTGCCAAATTACTCACTAAACGTACTCTTATTCACAACCCTTGTCATCTGGCAATGCTTGGCACAAAATTGTTTCCTACTGGGAGAAGGGCAGTCTATTCATTCCTCTATCCGTTGATGAAATTAAAATTTGGCAAACTGAAATTAAGCTGACCTTGACAAGTGGTCCCTCTGAATCCCATGGGACATTCACAATCGAAACCACCACCAAAGTAATGTGCCATGCATCTTCCACCGTTTTGACATGGATTTGGCTGACATTCATCTTCCTCTGAGGATCGAAACAAGACAGTTGAAACACTATATCTTCGAGTGCCGCAGGAGCACTGATCAGAAACCGGTTGTCAGGGCACAAGGGGGGGAGGTGGTATGGAGGACTGGTACGTCAGGGAGGTAGCGTGACATAGTGAGATGTCTGGGGTGTGTCAAGGAGTTCGGTCAGTTACTCGCACGAACATTTGTTTTTGGACTGAATTCTTTTTTCCGTTTTCCAAGTTTCCAGTGATGTATAATTTAACTTTTGTTTGGAAGCATAGTACAGCTAAATTAGGAACCAAACCTGAACAGTATTTTTTGTGTGTGGCATACCAGGCGTAGCTCGGAATATTTTTCGCAAATCTCCCCGAAAGTAAGTTTGTTTTTATCCAAAAATGGACTGCAATCGTTAATTTCGAGTTGATTGCTTTTTTCGGTGTGTATACAATTTCTCTTTTCCTTTGAGAGTTAGAGAAAGCGGATGGATAGAGGACTGTATAATAACTTGCTTATTACACACCCATAACAACTGACCTGTGCATGTCTCTCCTCTGTATCCTGTCGCACATCTGCAAACGAACCCTTCAGATGTTGACAAACATCTTCCTCCGTTGTGGCATGGGTTTGGATGACATGGTTCCCTCTCTGTTTTGAAAGGAAAGAAAATTGTTAAAAGAGGGTTTGATTTTATATGGAGGGATGATCGACTCTAATATGATCGATCTGCTGTTCAAATATTCTTTGAAAATACCTCCATACGGCTTAAAATAAAAAAAGTATATTGTGCGTTACGAGTACCAACCGTTGCAAAATGTCCCCCTGTGGCTGGCAGGACAGGAACAGACAAAGCCTCCTTCCTCCGCCTTACAGCTACCGCCATGTTGACAGGGATTGGACAAACAGCTGTCAACGGCTGAAGATGTAAAACAAAAAAAAAATGGTTAGGTTTAGATTATATCATACTGCCTTGAAAAGCATCCTCGCAAGTTATGAAAGGTGGAAATAGAGCAGCATTTGGATGGTTTTTTTTTGTTTGTTTGTTTGTTTTTATGTATCTATTTTAGATGCTACTCTATTCGTCTGTTTATTAGTTAGTTTTTTTATGCGACATCTTAAGCAAAGTGTTTGTATTTATTACACACAGAGTGACTTTTTCGAGCATTATGAGGGCAAGATATATGTGCATCGTTTTATGGAAGTTTCTCGACAAAGCCATTTTACAAAAATACAAGACATTTTTGGCCTTCTTGTTGTCTATAGCCAATGAGATGGATGTTATTTCGTTAGTATTACTTCAAAAATAGTTTCGTTTTAGCATAAATGAATGGTGGATTTATTTTTTATTCCAGATGCAAAGCTGAGCTTACTTTTACACTGTTCGCCTGTGTATCCCCGTCTACAAGAGCACGTGTAGTGTTCTCCTTGTTTTGTACACGCTCCTCCATTGTGGCAGGGGTTGGGTTCGCACGGGTTCTTTTCTGAAAGAAGAAAGTCACTCTCTGGTTAGAATCCGTTTCATTTGTCACTTGAGCAGTTCCTCCAAATACAGTAATTGTCTATGTTGCATTTACATCAGCAAGTTTTGCAATGCAGTTTCATATAGTTTTTGAACAAGAAGACTTGGCATTAAAATAACTGTCACGGACGGAATTTGGTGACTTGACGTGGAATGTCCTTTTCAATGATAGTGAAGAATACTTTGTAGGGTCACAAGAACATCGGAATCCCTCAAGTTCTCTTTGATAAGTATCAATGATAATGTGTGATTCACAGTTTACGTGCCATGGAATAATTGGCGATGCGAATACGGCTTTTATGAAAGACGACCTGAATTCTTTATCATTAAGTTGTTATCGCGAGCAATAAATTAATATTTGGTCTCGTTTGTCGCTATGAAATCAATTCAAATTTTGAATTGCTGAGAGTGAAGAGGGACATCGCACTATCATATGTGGCCTGAGAAAAAAAAAATGCCATTTACCAGCCCAGCTAGACGAAGCAGTCACGCTTGTTCATTTGGAAAACATACACTTGTAACTAAGGTCGACTTGCTCATCTCTGCCATTTCACTTTAGGAGAGGCATTTCCAGTTTAGTTTAAAGTTTTTAGTGGCCGCAAAATGCCATCAAATGCTGATATTGCTCTGCTTATTAATCAGAGTTTTACACCCAACCTTGACCTTAGTTAGTGGCAACCATTTAAGAGCCCATTTTTATCCCACGAAGTCATTTCATCGCACGTTATACCACTTTGTCCTTTGACTTCTTTAACAGATTCTTCGCGTATCTAAACGGCGCGACCAAGACTCTTCGCTTAATTTCCGTTTTGTTTTAGCGCACGAAGTGAATGTTGGTATTTTGTAGCCTCATGAATCAAAAGACAAGGAAAAATCTGACCCATAAAGTCCACCAGTAGAAGACATGAATTTTTTAATGTTAACAAAAATACTTTCAGTGAAGAAAAAAAAGATGTGGAACTTGTTTATTAATGGTTAAATTTTTTCTGGGAAGTTAACACGAATGGTGAAACGACGATTAAAATGATTTTTGGGAGAGAGAAGAGGAGAATCAGAGTTTCTTTTTTTATCAGACTCAGGCGATACCTGCAGTTGTGATCTAAATATTCCCTGGTACCAGCAAATGCAACATACGTAATACCACTCTGTGAGATCTAGGTTTTCATCAACGAAGTTATTTGACAGTCTGTTAAGGTACATTTGCCGAAACTGACCCGTAGGCTTACTTAAAGTATATAATATAGATCCTTTTATACTGAAATGCATAGTAAATTTTTAGGCTAATAAACAAGTGCATGGGAATTTGCTTTCGTTCAAATCAGGATTTTTTAAACGAATTATTTTGTCAGTTAAATTAATGATAGTTTAGTCTTTAGTAGAGTTTAAGGCTCAATTCCTATAAACTAAGAAGTAGATCATTAAAAAAAATAAAAAGCGGGATTCTTGGGCGGTACAGTTTCTACATGTCACATAAAACAATGTTAGATACCTCATTATTCGGGGATTAATGAATGCCTGATTCTTTCGTTGGCCTGCTTAACAAGAATTCCTTAAAGTCCGTAAAATAGCTTACGTTTGGCGTAAAAATGTGGACAAATACTGATTCAAACATAAAAACTACTTTTCGCTCTTTGCTCTCGTTTATCCTCACCCCTGCTGGGCTCGAACAAATACTACGCCACTTGCAAAATATCCGCCCGTATCCCTCCATCGAAAAAGATGTATTTATTTGACATTAGTAAGCGGTAATGAAGATATCCTAAAATTAAACATTTCATAAAATAGGGATAGATTTGTGATAGTTGATCTGCTAGAAATTGTTGTTTATTAGGTTTGCCTTGCTCGGCTTAGAGTTCTTTAAGGATCTGGCTAGAAAGCTTTTTATGCCTGGAATTATGTAGTTGATAAGGCAAATAAAGAGGAAAATCTCACCGTCGCAGTTTTCTCCTTTGTAACCAGGAAGACAAATACATTTGTGACCACCTTCGTATCCTAAACACTGTCCGCCGTTCTTGCAGGGGTTTGGTATACACATATTAAGTTCTAAAGATAAAGAGGGAAAGTTCTTGTAACTGTAAAGAATTGCTGGGTGAAATGATGCGGGACTCGCCATTTTTAAAATACAAGGGTGCTTTGCCGAGACATTCATAAATATCACGATCAGCTATCGGCTTACTTTTTGTAGTGCACTATTTGAAAAATATCGGGCTCTGCTGACAAATGATCGCAAGGGAATAGATTCCCAAGTTGATTTTAAAACGAAATTTAAAATAAAGATCGATCAATTATTTTTTACCTTAGTTTTTCGCCAGCTTACCTTCGCAACGTAATCCCTGATACTGTGCTTGGCAGTGACATTTAAAACCGTTTTCTGTTTCTACGCAGTCTCCGCCATGTTGGCAAGGATTGGGGCGACAGTGGTCTATTTCTAGGAATTTTAAATCGCAAAGAAACCGTCGGTAAGACGTAACATATTATTGAGTGATTCAATATCAAGTAAATAAATAATAATAATAATAAACGCAAAGTCTCCAAAGGCAAGTGACTCAAACCTACCCGATCATGTCTCAATTTATGTGTATTAAACTACTAAGAGCATTCACTCCCCCTGGATTGGACGCAAATCCACTGTAGGTAACCCCACCATGTGTTAGATTTCCTAAACAACTCATGGGTATTCACTGATACTCAAGTGGATGTCCCTAAAAATTATCTTTCCCAAAAAAAGAAATGATAACATCAGATTAAACTGAATGAAAGCTATCAGTTTCTTTTGCATTTAATTCGAAATCGAGGAGGCTAAAATGTTTCCTATCGTGAAAGTACAGCCAAAGAGCAATCTTAGGGAAATGATAGCCTGTTACAAATACTCGTATTTTGGTATTTGATTTAATTGTCTACTTGACTGTATTATTCGCAATTATGATAATGATAATAATGATAATTTTAAAATCTCAATTTACAGCAAACTGGTATTTTGTGAAAAACACCACAAGGTATTTCCGGGCAATAAGTGGTCGAGTTAGGTTCTTCTAAACATATAAACTTCCTTAGCGAGTTATCTTGCACAATAGGGTAAGTTAGTATCATCACCTGAGTCGAAATCGTTAATTGGCAACCGTAAAGAGTTCAAAAGCTGACGTTCCGAGTATTAGCCCTTCGTCGGAGTGATTAGAGGAATCGTGGGTCGTGTGTGTGTTAATATGCAGAAATATCTTGCACATTGTATGACTTGTTATTATCTTGCAGTATACATTTCTTTTTCGAGGGAAGAATGAGAGCATATGAAGGTTGCTGTCTCATTTCACGTGACTTACCATCGCAATAAGAGCCTTTGTATCCGGAAGGACAAATACATCGAAAGCCACTGTCATGCTCAATACACTTGGCGCCATTCTTACAAACGTCTGGTTGACAGCTATGCCGCACTGGATATACAGATCAAAATGTTTATCATATAAGTTAAAAAGGAGAGAAACGCATGTGTAGTGAATAATTAAACTTCCAAAAGTGTTTGCTGACTTCAGATACACTGCACACAGACATACTTGTATATTTTTAGCCAAAGGCTTTCAAGTCTCTCTCGTATTATGTTCATAGATTTCCCTGCTCTTTTGAAAATACGTTTGGCGTTTAAATCATTCGTTTTTTTGCATCAGGATTGATATCTGGGTGTATACTCACTACTAGCTTTTAGAGTGATTTTTTTCACTTCTGGAGAAATTTATAACAAGATCTGAAATAGCTCAAGCTGAGACTGATAACAGATAACCTTAGTAAAATTCTTTATCTGAAAGCAAATTCTGTTTTTTTAGCATTAAGAAGTCCCAACGAGTATTTTCGGGAGATCTATTGAATACGATACGCCACATGTACTTCTTAGGTATTACCTGAACACGTTTTTCCACTATAACCCGCACGACACAGACATCTAAAGCCACTCTCTGTTTCGAAACAAGTACCACCGTTTTCACAAGTGTCCGGTTGGCATGGACTTCTTTCTGTTAACGGAAAAGAAAAATGCAAATTTTAAACAGAGATCCACAATTTCAGTTGGATATCGATTGTAACTGTTTCCTTATTCAATGGGAAAAATTTCCAAGGACAGGAGAATATTTCCTTCTGCTTAAGAAGAGATTGGTCGCATAGGGACAACATATTTTTAGAATCCAATATATGATGTGCGAAAGAAGCAGCAGCCAGTAGCAATTTAGAAGCTACAAATAATGTGCTGTTCTGTACATTGGAAGGCTGCGTGCGGATGTGAGAGAAGCGCGCAATCAATAGCTCAGTTTTACGTGAATTCGTCAATTCTAGTAAGAGGTCGTTGTCCGCTTTCGAGAAAGCAACGACGTTTGCCTTTACCTGCGCAGTTGACTCCTTTGTATCCGTTTGGACAACGACACTCATATCCCACCCCACCCAGAGAATCAATGCAAGTCCCTCCGTTTTCGCATGGGTTTTGTAAACACTTGTTCTGAGTCACTGGAACGTAATGATATAATACATTTGTCAACAACAAGACAATGCGGAAAAAGCATCAAAAGTGACGCTCCGATAAGACTCCATCTGTAGAGCATCAAGTTTCTGAAAAGTTCACTATCCCTTTTCCGTTCCCCTAGAGAAAAACTTTTAAGTGGGAATCCTACTAAAAAATCAATAGGTTTATAATGTGCTCTTGTGCTGTGATGGTAACTTTTTGCTTTGAAAAAAAAAAAAAAAGGTGATGGATTCTCAAATGATGATTAAAATTTGTATAATACGATTAGTGGGGCTGAAAATAGGAATTTTGGTTGTATTTACCCTTCAAAATTAAAAGTTAACTTAATTGTTTTTACCCCCATAAACCTAAAGTTTATATGATCAGTTTCCTTATTCCAAGACTTTCTTGTCAGCTTATTTGGAGTCGTTAAGAAAAAATTTCCGTAGTAACATATACTTTTAAGTCTCTACTTGCAGAGAAGACATGACAGAGTAATAGCAGCTTCAGAGGATGCCTTCTGCCTGATCATAGAGAGAAAAATAAAAGATTGATGTGTACCTGCGCATGTCACTCCCGAAAAGCCCGACCTACAAACACACTCAAAGTTTCCTGATGATGTTTCGATGCAGTGTCCATCGTTATGACAAGGGTTTTCAGAACAACCGGACCGTTTCTCTACAAAAAATTGTAAATTTCTATATTAGAAATTTCTTCACTTGAAGGTATATCATTTTCGAAGATCGTTGCATCGAAGAATACTCATCTACGACCTGAGATAAATCTAACTAGTTTAGAACTGTGCAACAGTACGCGAACCAGAAACGGCATGCCGAGAAAGACATATCAAAAAGCCCTGGTTTATCTTCTTTTACTACAGCTTGTAGGATTGATAGCAAGTTTCAAGTTTGAGATTTTCTCTCTACTTGTCAGTATAGTCAAACAGAATGCTTAATTCGAGGAAAGAACAATTACTAAGATCATGCAGTACCCTAAAACGACGGCATCAAACGGATCAGACTCTCTCGCCAAATGAGTCTGGCAAGTATGTAAAATCATCTAATATTTTTAATTGAGGAAATACTTCAATTTTCGTTTGCAGAGGAATTATTTTAGAAAATGAAAAATGTTAAAAACGTGACCCAGTTCTCGGAGGGGTGGATAACGCTATCGGTTATCCACCGGATAGCGTAGTACGTTTGGTAAGACTTATCCACTGGATAGCGATTTATGCGCCCTATGAACAACTGGGCTCTGAAATGGTTAATGTTTTTTTGGAGGACGCTAGTTGAACTATAATTCAAAGACAATTTTACCTTCACAGTTTTTCCCACGAAATCCATGTGGACAGGTGCATTCATAATCAAACTGCAACGCTGTGCAAGACCCTCCGTTCATGCACGGATTAGGATGGCATTTGTTGGGCTCTGTGAAAAAAAACAAAAATGCATTCTCTTTAGCTGATTTGCAAAGCTTGCGTCTTAAGTAACTATTTATCGTAACGTAGATCTTGTGTAATGTTTTATATGGGCCAATAACATAGCTGGTTTGGTTTTTGGTGTAAAGGTGTGTTCCGGTCATGTGGTGAACGTCTTACCAGTTTATTGAGCTGTAACTCCTCGCGTAAAATTAAGCTTGGTTACCGGACTTATTCTTAAAGATAAATTTTTACCTTATTTACCGAGATTTCAGTCGCTAAAATGGAGATTTAGACAACCTTAAAAAATATTAACAATGGACGCTATGTATTGGCTCTATATTTCCAAAAACCGACTGGACTGATTCTCGAGATATAAGCCAGGTTAAACGGAATTTTACAGAAAGATTTGTGTGGAAATTAAAAAAAGATTGCTTTAAGTGATCTACGTGGATTTTATCGACTACCGGTGAGTACAAGTTTCAAAGAACCTGAAAATAGCGAACGCTGATATCTATAGCTTCTTTCGTGAGTTGAACAATTTAGCGTTGAATAACCTCCGTGATCAAGTGATCCATCTGTGAACCTCCACCTGTAATCCCTTACAAAAACCAGGTGATTGGAAAGACCTGATTACGACGCCCGATCCGCTAAACAATCAAAAACAAAAGGATAAACAATAGGTGGTGCACTTGTTCTGTCTATGCTATCGTCCCTGATCCTTTAAATGCTACATAATCAACAAGGACGATTCAAATTGTTTTGACACGAAAAATGTGCTTGATGCAAAATAGGCGGTGGCATTTCCTCTCCTTAAGCGTAAATTCATCCAGTGAAGAGAAAAATCTAGTTCATTTAGCATTATCGAAAATTCTGGTTTTGGCGAAAAATAAAAGTATGTTCTTTATTGAGAAATACCGCACTCAAGTCGTACCTACCTTCACATCTTTCCCCTTTCCAGCCAATGGAACAAGAACAGTCGAAGCTTGAGCCTGAAACTGCACACTGTCCCTCATTTTGGCAAGGATTAGGCAAACATGGATTCCGCTCTGAATCATCATGAGAAGAAAATGCCAAAGAAAATTGAGCAGGCACCAACACTACCTCCGTAAGCAGAAAAATGCCTACGAGAAACATTGATTTTCCTACATATGTCCTTGGGCAAGACAAAACCTAATAGAAACCTTTGAAGCATGTAATTTCCTTAAGGATGGTAGGATTTGTCGATACGGAGTTCTAAACACTTGCCATGCCACATGTATGTTCACTGATTTTCTTTCATTACATCAGGAGCTAGGAACGACCCTTCTGTTTTACGAAGACGGGTGAGTAAACGCCTTGCTAATTAAAAGTCGTCGCCTGGGCGGAGACACATGCAGGTGGAGATATTCAGGACGTGTCCTTAGTGCTGACAGTTTGTGATCTTTGGCAATCGGATTGGATCAATCCGCTTTGCCATGTAATCACGAAACCTCTGCACGTTTTGACTTTCAGATCTTGCTTCTTCGAACTTCATCGTTATTTTCAAGCGTGAAATTATCTTCCCATGCCTTGTATAACTATTAAAATTTCTAGTTTACCGCGAAAAACGTACTGGTGATCACCAAAAACTCTTCGAGAGTGACTATCCTTAAAAGAAATTGATTGAAATTGCGTCCTTCAAAAAGCAACTCAGAAATATATTTCCTATGATGTACAAGTTTCACAAGGTTCGATATGGATGATAAACCGTTTTATGTTTGCACTTAGAACGCTTAGGAAAACATAACCGATGAACCATAAAAGTGCCAATTACTGTGATAGGTGTGAAATTTTGACTTCTTTCAAGTGAAATTTTCATAAGTAATAAGGTGTAAGTCTAAACATGAATAACGTAAATTGAAATAAAGGCCGCCTGAATCTATGATCTTGAAATATATCCATAATCTTTGTTTCACGCTCGTCTTAGCTATATTTATTCCTGTTACCGAACATTTACTACCAATTCATAGTGTTTACTGATGCTCATAACCCCATGTAATTTTCTTACAATTTTCAGTTTATATTATATTAAAGGCAGTAATCCAATTTATGTTTTATTGGAAAAATTTAGTTGTTTCTACGAAACAAAAAAGGTTACTCTTTGTTCAAAGCGTAATGATTTCTCACTGCGCACAATTATATTCTCTTAATTTTAAAATGTGGTTCCAGAACAAGTTATGGATTATTAATTAAGTGGATTTTGGCCATAGAGGTTAGCAAATGTCAAACATAAAAATATGGTGGATTCTTATTTTCAATTTGATCAGGATTTGCTATCAAGTAAGCTTACAAAGGTAAAGTTAGGAAATAAATTAATTCACTGGCGAAATTATTCGGTAGTACAGCACGCAAAAGCTGTCAAGCATCTGTTCTGCTAAGCTAGGCCAACTATTGTACTTATTCCCTCATAAAGAGTTATTTTGAAAAAGGGAGCTTGAAATTCCTCAATCACTTTTAAAAACAAATCTTAGGTCCTACGAAAACTTGTCACTTTTCCTAAAGCATCTTATCGGGCAATTATACCAATTTTTGACTGAGGATCACTTCGATCTTTAAGAAATGTCTGGAGGTTAGAAATCTTAAAATGCGTTTTAATTTTGTGAATTCAATTTTCTTGAAGCTACATAATTAATGATTTTCCATCAATCCCTATTTCTGGGATAACACAATTGCAAAGTATTGTAGAATAATTTATGCTAGGAAAAAAAATTGTACAATAACTGCTAAAACGTATTGATATAGCTGATCAGTATTAGAGTTCAGCGAGCCCGAGAACATTTGGTTATTGCAAATTCTTTATCATTAAGAGATCGTTGCTGGATGAATAGTATAGAAAAAAAAGAAGTGATGAACAAGGAAGAACGAAACATTTTAACCTTTTGACCGCTAAGAGCGACTAGCTTCAAATTTCTCTTCATAATATCATCCTCGAAGGTCACGAGAATAAGGGAAATTATCAGTAACTAAAGAGGTCTGACTGTTTTACTTATTCCCCTTGTTAGGTTCTTAGGAAATGGGATCAATATCAGTATCTGCAACAGTCAACAACAGTCTATTGATAAAAAAATTAGGGTTAATGTTGGGTTAGGGGAGGGGTAGGTGGGCAGTTGCCCAGATACTGATATTGACCCACGAAATGTATAGAGAACAGTATAAAAATATGCATACTGATGTTGTGCATACTGACAAAGGGTTAAACTTGAGCTAAAGTCGAAGTCTTGAGGTTTCATTCTCTACAAAAGATTAATCAGTTAATAACATTGCTAGCTTTCTTTCCGTGAAGACAAATGGTAGGTTTGAGATTAGTGACCAGACAAGCCTTTCTTCCTAAAGGGTAAACATCAGGGTTTCTACAGAGGAGAGATGGCTGAGGTGCCACATCAGTCGGCTGAGTTCAGGCCTTCGACTCAAAGGAAGAACGGCATGCCTTTTGCTCTTTGCGCTTACCTTTACACCTTTTTCCAGTAAAACCTTTTCTGCAAATACATTCAAATGTTTCACCAATGTTAACACATGATCCGCCATTGTGACAGGGTTTCGTCAAACAAACACCTCCTAGAATGAATCGTCAGAAAATTATTCGCTCCCATTGTAATAATAAATTATGTTAGAAAAGAAAGATATTTGCCTTGCATTTGACGGCAGTTTGCTCGCTCACAATGCTTCCTTATTTACCGTTATGGCGGTCACCTTTTTGCTCCAAAACACAGTAAATTTTGGTGCGGATTGCAGTCGAACAATGATAATTTTGTTATTTATCACTTTGAGAAAATTGTTTGTCTGTCTCAACTGAACCTTCTCAGAAGAGTCCTCTCATTGTAGTACATTGCGACAAATACCGCCTTGGACTTTTTTAAACATTTGTTTATAGCCAATGCTATTCTAAACTAAGCTGGAGTCCCAAAGGCACGCTATTATTCGCCTCTGTTTCCTTTATCCAAGAACTGTGCACTTAATAAGGTTTAGGGCTTTGGGAAAATCTTGCCCTAAATTTTTATTCCTTAATGCTTGATTTTAGCGCCTTGAAAAGTCTCGTTCAAATTTGTATACATAGCAACGAACTGTGCTTAGCAAGTGCTAAAATAAAACAGAAGCCTGTTGTCACCCTTAGAAGATTCTTGGATCAAGATTGCTGGTGCTGTTGTGATAAGATGTCATGCTTTCAACAAGGCATGAACGAGGGTGTTAAGGGTGACGTAACGTGTCTCTTAGACAAAAATACCTTCATTATTAGCATATCGTTTTCGTCATAACAATTTATTTTCAAGTAAAACACAAATTTCTAGCGAAATGAAAATCTGTCGTGGATACGAATATTGAACTAAGATCAAGGGCAACTTTGGTTATTAAACAAATCATAAAGAGCTCAGAAAATAAATGAAAATAGGAAAGAATGAAAAAATGTGGAAATGATAAATAAAATCAATGTCATGTCTGGTCTACCATTCCATTAAAAATGCGTCATGAGATGGAAGTAATTTGTCGAATAGACGCTCAGCGCCAATAAAAGGGATGGTAACAAACAGCTGAAAACTGAAGAAAAGTCAATAAATTGAGCCAATTCCCTAATTAGTTGTTGGTGTAGTAATTAATTGTCAATGCTCTGAAATTAAAACGCAAACAAATACTTGTTTTGAAAAATAGCGTTTTCGTTTGTTCTCAAATTGCGATAGTATGGGACACTTCTCTAATAAAAAATATCGCTACAACTGAGACCCAATGTAACGAACACGGATTTCGATTAATTTGTGAACTGCTTTATTTTCTCTTAGTTCTTATCGGACTACAGAAAAGGTAGACGACTTTTAATTTTCTCTAATGTTTGCTATGTTTTTATTTCAATCATCTCCCAAAACTTATAATGAAAAGTTCACAAGGTGTGATCTTTTTTTACCCTGAAAACTCCGCTTCCTCCGTGTTTGAAAGTTTGAAAGCGTATTTGTAATAAATGAAATAAATTTTTGTGGGCCGTGAAGATTACTTGGGAAGGGAAATTAACGTCTTTAGGATCAAATACTTTGGGTCACTTTTCATTTAATAAGGATTATTGAAACGGAGATTATAAAACCAATTCGACCAGAAATTGGCATCATTTTGAAGTCATTGTTAACAAAATTCCTTTCAGGAAAAGTTGAGCCAAGAACAATTATAATTAATTCCAGAATCATCTCTCAGACATCTCCAAAAACCGGTGCTCCTTAGTCTTCATTTGAGGAATTGTAAATTGGGCTCTTGAATTGGTGAACAAAAAGTTATGCACTCAATCAGAGAAATAGCGGGAGACATTCTTCAGGGTGACGCGCATGTAATTTTTTTTTTTGAAGCACCTGAGGCCATAAGGAAATGAGCTTTATTTTCGAGAGAGCAGATATTGAGTTATCGCCCATTTTTTAGAGAGAGGAAATGTAATCAAATCAAATTGAAAGTGCCGTGGCAATAATACAAAGCAAAAGATATGACATACCAAGCTCGTCCAAGTCAGCTTCACTTTCATCTGACAAGTCAGAAAGACCCTGAACCCCAGCGGAGCTTAGCTGAAGCAGGGCAGGTAAACTCAGTCCGTTTCCCATCAACTCCTGTTGCTCGATGGAAGGTTTAAGAGGAATCGAATCGTATTTCAATCTATTAGGATTTTTGTAAACGTGCACGTCGGCAGCCATACCTCCTGTACTAGTTGGCAGTTGTAATCTATTTCGATAAAGATTCAAAGCAGGCAACAGCCTGGCGAGTTGAATTCCGTATGGAAGTCTAACAGCAGCTGGGCTTTGGATCAATCCACCAGTGGTTGGGACTAGCTGCTGCAAAGCAGGGGTTTGCTGATAACCCAAAGAAGCCAGCCTTGTTCCATATGGCACCGTGAGAGGGTTGATACCAAGAGCTGCTCGGTTGAGTCCCGCAAGCGTAGCTAATGAAATACCTCGATTTTTCCTCGTTTTACCGAGACGTTTACCAGAAATGGTTGCGTTCGTTTTGAACTTGTTATTATGATGTGCAGATCCATTTGTAGAAATGTTTTGAGTTTTCGTTGCGTTCAAAAACTGGCCATGTTTTTGTTTGACATCTCGTGTGCTGCCTTGTTGAACAATAATCATGAAAACAACCACAAGCAAGAGACGGACCAGGTCTTGAAACATTGTCGCCGATCATAGCCGAATCCACATTTTATCCCTTAGTTTAACCCATAATTGTACGTCGGAAAACCTTGAAAATCCAAAAAACGGACGATCGCATTAGTCACTCCGATGAGATTGTGTCGCTGGTAATAATAAATTAAAAACGGGTTCTCGGTTACATCATCTGGGTACAAATGCCTCTTGAATGACGTAAAAGATTGGCTCAATCGACATATTGATCTTTTTCAATTGAAAAATCGTACTATTCAAATTCGTTTCTATATTGGTATACCAAAAAGAGATCAGAAGGACATAATCTTTTGCAATTTACCATTTTTTATATCTTGGACAAACTTTCACACCGTATAACCTGTTTCAACCTGTCGTCTTCCGGTCAACCCATTTCAGTCTTGTGAGTGTGCCCTTGTCAAATTACTACGGGGGTTCTTCGATTACTGCAATGTTACCCAATCCTCACTTACGTTACATTTCATTGCATAAAATTTCCTAAAGAATATATTTTCGACTTAATCGAGTTTGTGGTCTAATTTTCGCTCCAAGCAAACTCATAGATTCTAAAATACATATTTGTCCGCTAATTTGGATCGCTTCAATTGGTTTTTACCCAAGAAGCATGACCTTGAGATTTATTATGGACAAACATCATTAGCATAAGAAACGTCAATTTTTTTCCTTCATCCTTACACATAAAGATGTAGCGGAAGAATCACAGAAAGATTTTCAACGAAATGATGGGTGTGTAGCTACTTTAAAGTCACCTAAGACGTTTAAGGTAAGGTTATTTCTTTGAAGAAGAAACTCCACGGTCAACTTAATTATGCAGGTATTTTGATTGCTCAATAGACTATCCAAAACGCTTTCAATCGTGAAATTCAGGTGATGACGATAATTCTAAGTGTCTCGTGATTCGGACTGATTCGTTTATCAAAAACCACAAGCAAAAACAAACCACTGGCACGAAATACAGGAGAAAATATTCCCATAAGAAATTTCTAGAGCAATCCAGGAAAACCAAAACGTTCCAATTAGTTTCGAAATTCTTAAAGCTCAGCTACTTTAGGAGGTATTGAGCCAAATTCAAATAAAAAATTGTATATATATATATATATATATATATATATATATATATTCATATATATATTTGTACACATTGAATTAACTGTTTTTAAAATGCATGGCAAGTGTGAAACTGCGACCCCTAGTTTTAGTCGCCAATCAGCGCAAAAGTTTATCCACATCTGACTCTTCAGTTGTCAGGTACCGTTACAATTGCCCTCTCTTTTTTCAAGTGACACTTCAAGATCTTTTCATAAGTTTTTTAAGAACTGTATACTTCATATACTTCATACTCGGCGGAGTGTTAACAGTTGGTGTGAATACACGATATCTATCGCTTAGCTGAACAAAGCGTTCAGATTTCTATAGTGATCGCATACGAACAGCCCTTATGTCCCATCTCCTTATAATGTCATTTACGGCATGTTTCGCTTCGCTGAACTTAGCGTTTAGTTTGATACTGTAAGTTATCACATACGAACAACCCTGCGCCCCGTCTGTGTCTGTATTTTTGAGATTTTGATCTTAAGTTCATGGGGACCTTTAACGCAAAAGTAGAAGTAGTTTCGAGAAAACTTGCATTTGATCTTTTCTTTACCTGTGTAGTAAACGTGAGAACGTAATTGTTTGAGGCAACAGGTGATTACTTTGTTCACAGGATGACCTCTCTTCAACCTGTTTTCACACCTCAGTAACTTGCAATTTGATTAGACTGTGCTCAGTCAAGCGGAAGGCACCTTTGCTGACACACCCAAAGCTGAGCTGGGCAAGTCTAAGGCTAATCTGGGACAAAAAACTGAGTTAGCGTTCATTTTTCATGAAAGGGAAAAATCTTCCGACCCCATAAAGACCACCTTGTGTGCCTTTTTCGCCTTTCAACCTTAACGAATAAGTTAGGACGTTCGCTGTACGGCACGCTAAATTTAAAAGTTTGTTTCGATCGCCAAAATGTCTCTTGAAGAAAAATTTGAAAGAGACGCAAGCAAAATACGCAAACGAGGAAAGAGAGTAAAAATCTGAACTGTAAGTTCCGAAACCTCGTTTTCAGCTTCCGCTCGAATTTATGGCCTGTGCGCTTCGCTCTTGGGACATAATTACAATTCGGCCCTCGAACTCGGTTATTAAGAGCTATCCAAACAGTTACCAAATTGTTCACGGTTTCTCCGTTAGAATTTCTTTGTACTTTGAAAATGCAGGATTAACCCTATGATTTCTTTCCCTTGAGTCTTAAATAACAAAACTTTATTTTCATTTGAGTCTAAACGTTTTTCATTTATTTAATTCCTTCGTATTTCCTTTCAAAAATTTCTAAAAGCAAAAAAGCTTCTGCACGGGCGCTGAATACTCGAGGTTATGTTTTTTAGATCATTTTTAACTATGCGAATAAATACGAGACAAGTAAGAAAATTGAAGGTTATTTTTTTATTAATAACTTGCACAACGTGTTGTTACACAGTTTTGTTAATTTAAGAGTGAAGATTAAATTTTTTTCTTTAAGGCGATCTGTTTTATACATCTCAATGACCTCCTGCAATATTCGTTTTCGACCAAATGATGTTACTGAGTTTACACTCCCAAAAGACCAGTCCAAGATACTTTGAAACATATAGAGAGCGATTTGGGAAATAAATTTATGGAATGCATGCATAGCGTGTAAACTTGGAAACATTTTGCAATTATAATCTAATCGAATGTACTCCCAGTAAAGGGTGTTTTTTGTCAACGAAATTTGGAATTTTAAACTATCATTTCGGCTCGACCTCTTGTAATAGTGAAGGCCTGGCCGCTTATTGGTTCTTAATCTTACGAATGCGGTTAAAATAAGAATTTGGTCACCAGTGATCAAGTAAAAAAATCAGATTCTTACAGTCATCGGTAGGTCCACCGTTGCCTTAAGATGACTACAATTATAACAAATAACTGCTAAGCCTAAAAGCTCCTTATTATACCAAATAAGGGAAACAAAGATATATCGGTCAAGGAAAGTAGAATAATTTTACTGCTAGGGTTCGTAGTTATCTTGTTGATGGACAAAAATTTTTTTCAAATGCATATCTCTATAAACAGCCTGTCGACACAGAAACTAGCCCATGAACTCAAAACACGGCGACTATATTTCATTCTTAGTAACTTGTCTGTTCATGGTAGATTCAGACTTTGCAAGGTCCGGTCCTTATGAATACTTTTTTTCCGGATGCATTAATTCAAAAGTCATCATTGCTCTTCATCTCTGAGATCTTAAAATACGCGAGGTATAGAAAATTTCTTTCGTCTAGTGTTCTTTGATTGCTTCCATCAGATAATCAAAACCCGTAGCTCAGGTGTCCGACGGCAAGCGAATTCATTTGAGAACTTTTATGAAAGAAGTGATCACCCAAGTATTTTAGTCCTCTTTTTCACAATACGCTTGCCAAAAGCTTTAAAAATGGGTTTTACAGTTGGCGTCTTAGCTCTCCTCACGACGCCGAATTTTTTCCGTAGATCTTTATAACCACGTCTTTTCAAATCTGGTGTTTCGCTTCGTGGCAGGCAACAATCATGATGACAATAGTAAAGACAATTGAACGGTCTGCAGTCGGACGGACAAGGTACTTTTATGGTCAGCCGGGAAGAACCACCGACCGGTTTTGAGTGAAGCACCCTCAAAGCCTGGGTCGATGCTCGGCAGCACGATTCGTCACAATTTGGATAACAAGATCGTGAGCAACCAGGATGACAAACGGCCGCTGGAGGTGGAAGCGGAAATAACTCAGTTCTTGAGGGAGGTTGATGTTCTCTTCTTGTTGGACTTAGAACAGGCATGTTAAGGTTTGAACTGCTCTTTATAAACCCAGCTTTGCAGCAGCTGATTGTACAAGCAGGGAAGCATTGCGAAGCACAGCTACCTGGACAGAGAGGTGTATTGATTGACGGAGAGGGCGCTGCCGGTCGTGATGTTGTTGGTGAAGAAAGAGGGCGATGACAACATCGTAAAGGGCATGAAGGACCACAGTTGTTTCGACAAACCACTGGACAATCTTGGCTAGGGCCATTAGGTTCCTTAGCAAAGAAATTATCATATGATTGCTTGCCTTGAGTTTGGGCTTTTAACTCCTTTGATGGCTTCTTCTTGGTAACCTCACCTCTTTGGCAGCAGTTTTCCAAACATTGAGGATAGCAGTAAGCTGGACAGATAGGCGTACAAGCAGCAGGAGGCCTAGGTAGAGAAGGAGGTGGGGCTGGAGGTGGAGCCGGTTCCGGACTATGTAGAGGTGGAGATATGGATGCCGACTTGGCAACGTTAATTCCCCCGGTTGGGTGCTGCTCTGATATCCTTTGAGGGTTGCTCTTCGAGCAACAATTTGAAGGACAGCTTTTAGAACAGTACACCTTGCACGATGATTGACAAGTCAGTGGGACTCCAACCGCTTTCAAAGACTTTAATTCTGGCTTGCCTTCACAACATTTCGGGGGACAATCATGTCGGCAGCTCTTATTACAATAATTTGGACATGACAGAACGGAAATCGCTGCACTCTCTGGGACGCCAACCTCATTCACTTTTGAAGGGTTTAAGATGCCCGAAGTTTTGGGTTTTGTAGGTTTTAGTAGGTTTAACGTGTCAGTCGGTTTGAAAGGGATTTTAGTGAAATGCTTGGTGCCGTAAAGGTCCCCGTACATGTTGTACATCATATTGAAGAAATTCATCATTCCAAACCAGCTCATCGCATTTCTGAAAGAGTCGGTGCTGTGCTTGCCCTCAGTTTTTAATTGATGAACGTTTGTACTCTTTATGCCTCCAGAATCAGACGAGTTACGTTCACAACAAATGGGCGGGCAATTTGAGTTACATTTCTCTTTGCACGCTTTTGGACAGAATTTTTCGATCATAGTTTTCATGAAGTTTTCCTGAACCTTTGGATCCAACACTGGTAGCATACGGTTAGTTCCTGGGGAATAACAGCAGTTCTTAGGACACGACGGGTGACAGCTCCCCATGCAACTGAGAGGGCATTTTCCTAAACAACATCTTACTGGGCAAGAGTCGTGACACTCCGTTTTACATTCGTCTGGACACTCTTCTTTTTGGAGAAGGGGTCTCCCTTCCATTTCTGTTACTGAAAATCCCCCTGTAGGATTTTTCAAGTTGATTGCTTCTAGACTAGCAGCCTCTGAGTCATCAGGACGCTGCTCAAAATCTGGTGCAAAGTTTGCTAGGTGTTCGTCCAATTTGTTTTCCGGCCTAAGAAGGACTGCTGTTGGGTTTGGAGAAGAGGCGTTTTTGTGAAGCAGTTCATTTGGTGTAACAGTCATCTGCTGGAGATTCCCATCATTATAGTGTATTTTAAGAACTCTATGATGTTTACAGCAGTTTTGTGGACATCTCGCACGGCACTCTGTGGCACACTGAATGGGACAAGTTCTGTGTGTTATCTTGTATGCTAGAAAAGTGAAAAAGGAATGAACTTAATATTCATATGCTATGCGGGGTAACATAGCATACGGCAAACCTAAAAACAATGTCCTACGACGAAATCAGAGGAAGGCACAAACTATAAAAGCAGGGGCAATCGATGCTTTTGTACTGATCAATGTCTCATAGAATAGTGCATATATTCTGAACATGTTTTGTCACAATTAGTTTATCACGCCATCTACATTAGAGCTAAAAGACGCAACAGGCTTGTAAAGATTCAATTGTTCTGCCAATTTTTCTCGATGACAGATGCGCAGATGAACGCTTATCGCTTGCAAAATCTGGCTTAATATGAAGAGAACGTCCCGTGGTTGATTATGATCCAACTGAGTATGTATATGCCATGTATTTTTTAAATCTGGAAATCTAGCCTTCCCAGGTTGAAAACTTGTTCACATTTGTGAAACAAAAAACAATTTATACTGTATACAGAGAAGAAACTTACGTGCACACTCATATCCATTAAAATAGTGGTGATGATCGCAGACGCAAAAACCCTTTATGCATTTGCCATGTTGCTTGCAGCCTGGTAGGCAGGTGTCAGCTGCGAATAGATTGATTAAAAAGATAGTGGATTGAAATGGTGACAAAACCGATACGAAATAATTAAATGCGAGTAATGAAAGGACCTCGTTTGAAACTCTTTACAAGACCTGCGGCCAATTTTTTTTATCAGCAAGTAGGAAATCAAACGTCATACGAATAAAGAAAGCAGTTATTCTCTAGCAAGCCTGTTTATGAAACTGATCTGAGCCGATAAGCAAAAGTCCAGTTTCTTGACGGTTGCCATTTATACGTGGTGAGAGATTGCAGCGTGACCTAATACGAGGATTTCAAAAACATATTGTGGGGGTGTGGGGATGGGATAAAAGCACTTCATCGCAGAAGTAAATCGTGCTTACGTCTACAGTCGAATCCGTCTCCTGTGTAGCCAGCTTTACAGACACATCCTCTGTTGATGCATTTTGCATTGTAATGACAATCTTTGCATTCACTTGCTTGAGGCTCTTCTTCTGCAAAGGAACATAAATATTTATTCCGTTTCGTTCGTCTTCAAAAAAGTGCTTTACATCAGAGTCTTTAAACCAAAGTAGATTTTGATTCGTATGCGCCACAAGCGAGCATCTGCATTCAGACATCAACTATATTGACTTGTTAAGAATAGAGTAAGTCATTTTTGTACTAGAAAATAGTGTTTTAGAGTGACCAAGCCCTTATTGGCTTAGATACACTAAATTAGATATACATACAAAGAAATTAAATTCCTATGATTTTCCTATGTCCTTGTCATACACACTGAGCCCCTGCGTCCGTGTTTTATAGAGGTAAGGTATTAATCGTTATAAGGTGAACTGTCGAATCACCCTTCATAGCGGGACTCAGTATGATAAGACGTTTTGCAAAATACAAAATATTCTCTTGAAACACCGTAACGATAAAATGCGTTTCCTCATATTTCCTTCTTACGAGAACAACAACAACAACAAATGCCCAAATTGGCAGACCAAAGGCAAAAACTATTTGAGTGTTAAAGGGTTACTGCTGTTTATATTAGGAGTCTATTCGCATGTTACCTTTACCTTCGTTACCGAACATTTCAAATTTTTGCCATTAAAATAATAGAGACTACTATTGGGCAATACAAATTGTGTTTGAGGGACTGAATCGTGAGAACAAATTGCCCATTTTTTTGTCGCAATTTCACAAAAATGTTCACCGATTTATGGAGAAAGTGAGCCTGGACGACATTACATGCATACCTGGTTCCGAACCGGATAGAGCGTTCAGCATATGGGCCAGAGGCTGATCACCATTGATTATGCACACTTTGTCTATGCACTTGGCATGGGGAGGGCATCCTTTGCATCCCTTGACTGCACATGATGCACAAAAGAAAAATTATTTTGCAACTGCGCATATGTTGCGAAGCAATCAGGTAAAGTTGGGAAAAATTTCCTTATGGACTTATTCTATTCCAGACTTTTTTCTGTGTTTGTTGGAGCATAGGTAAAGCGTTAGAAGAAGTTGCAATATAGATTATTATTCTTGTTATTGCATTAGAAAATTAAGCCTTCTTGATGCCAAATGATTTACTTCAAAAGAAGAATTATTGTATTTTACTGTTTGCTTTCCATTGCTACGGCTTTGGAAGAAAGTCGTATTTAACTTTAAACGGAAACAAACGTATATTCAACGCGGTCTTAAAAAGAACTCACAAATTTGGCGGAAAATGTTAAGAATATTATCATGTAGACCACGACGTACGCTATCATTTTTTAGAGCGTCCACCTTTCCCTGTAACTAAGACGAAGGGCATATTTACCTGCCGTGGGACCATTTTTATTTGCAATGTTGACGATCTTATAAAAATCGTCTTCAAGAGAGGGCACCTTCGGTCTTGGACCTGGTTTCTGAAATTGTTGTTCAGCAAGGCTGAATGGACCCTGCCCCTCTGGAGAGGAAGCGCTCGGTGATGGTTGATTTCCGTCGAAACCCGTTGCCTCACCGTTTGAGGTCTGATCATTTTCGGACGTGTATGCGTTAGCCTCAGATGTAGTTTCTGGTTGTACGGTGTTCCCGTTATCATCAAAAGCAGCAGACTGATATGTGGACGGGGCACTTATAGTTCCTGCTCCTATATAACCATTGGATTCTTCTTTAGAATCTGAACCTCCACCGATGTTAATGACATTCGCATTTTCCATTCCTCCGAGGCTACCCTGATTTTCTCTTCCATCGTTAGTACTTTCCTGGGGATTCTCTCCAGGCTCTTTAAGTGCTTCCTCGATCGAAGAGGCGTACTGAATACCAGGAGGTGTACCTTTCCCTCCACCTTCATTAGGCTGTTCATTTGCGTAACTTACTGTTCCCTGTCCTTCTTGCTCTGCCGTTTGCTGAGCTTCTGAACTAAATAAGCCACCAAGAGAACTAGAGGACGTCGGGAGAGTTTGCGATTCTGTAGATGCACCCTGTGATTCTTGGGGTTCCTCCTGCGCTTGAGACTGGTACCCTTGTGACTGCGTTTGTTGTTGAAACTGCTGTTCAATGCCTTGAGACTGTTGTTCACCAAGATTTTGTGCCTGCTCCTGCTGATAATCCCCTTGTTCAAAACCTGTTTGACCTCCGCCCTGTTCTTGAGCTCCTTCCTGACCACCTTGCTCTTGTTCCTGAACTGTTTGCTCACTCTGGTATTGTAGCTGCCCACCATCAGCTGCCTGGCCTCCTTCTTCTTGTCCTCCCTGCTCGGTACCTTGCTCCCCCTGTTCTTGCTCTTGAGGCTGCTGAGTGAATGCCTCTTGCTGTAACTGAATAGCCTGTTCCAGACTGGAAGGCTGCTGTCCTCCTTCACTCTGACCAGCGTCATCGTTGTTAAGGCCCGCGAAATTTGTATCGGGTGACTGACTGCCCTGTTGATATCCTGCACTGTCGTACTGAGACATCGAATTCGAATAATCTATCTGCTGCTGCTCTTGGGCCTGTCCCTGGTCTCGAATCTCACCTGTTTGATCACTTTCAGCCAATGAACCATATCCCTGGTCTCCACCACCCGCAGCAATCGGCGGGTAATCTTCAGAAGACTGAAGTGGAGAAAATGACTGAACCAAAGCATATTTTTTAAACAACTTTTTTTTCTTCTTAGGAGTAACGTTGTCCTTCTGATGAAGTTTGGTCGATTTTTCAGAAGGCAAGTTTTTTAATAGTTTTGACTTTTTAGAGTGAGTTACCTTCCTCACATTTGTTGGGCTACCAATAGACTTGCTTCCAAACTCTCTAGATTCTTCCTGACTTGGAGAAGAAGTGGGTGAGCTCGTTGATTTGTCAGCCGCCGTAACTCCATTTTGATCAAAACCATTCTTTTTAGTATTAATATGAACCCTGCTAACAATTCGTCCTCCAGCAGAAATCGAGAATGCTTCTTTACTTTTTACCGTTGAACTGTCTTCTCTCTCTTTGAGTTCCACAATGTTATTATGTTTCAAATCCTTTTCCAAATCGTACTTGTTGCCATGTTTTTTAAAAGTCGGATTTCTCTGTGCGGTTTTTATGTGGCTGTCCTCTAATTTAGCATCTGCTTGACAAAGAAGAGTTGCCAACAGCTGTGAAGCGTACACAAGGAAAACTGTTCCAAAATATCCCAAAACTTTCATATTTTGACTACATATCTTCATCTGGTTACGGAGAAACACACGTCTACAATTAATAATACAAACAATTGTCTTCAAAGCAAAGAATATAGGTAACACGAAAACAATTCGGCGCCTGGTGGTTTTTATTTGATTATCATTAGATATATGTCAATCGAAGCGTTCTACCTGTTAAACAGCTAGGCTTCTAAATTCTGATTGGTGTGAAGAAACATTAAAGAGAATAGAGCTGGTGGTTCAATGGATTCTCGCTAGAAGTGTCATCTCTTCATGCAGGTAATTTTTCTTCAGTGGAAATTGCTCGAGTCAGTTATTGTTATGACACATATCAGGTGCTAAGGGTTCTTTGTTTAGAGTCAAAAGCAGCTCATAAATATCACAAAAAACGATTAGTCTTCCAGAATTTTGATACCCCCGCGGGATGAGAACACTTATAAGGATACGTATTTTGTTTGTAGGGAGCATATCAAATTTGATTTGGTGCTCTAATATTTACAATCAATATCACTTAAAAGGAAAATGGATTGAGCCATGAACCTCGAGAAAGAGCTTTAGTTATGACACTATTACATCAAGTTTTAATGGAAAAGCTAAAACAGTTGCAAAGGAGAAAAAGTGTACGAAAAGCTAATTGGGTAGTACTTTAAAATGCACCAAACAAGTTTATTTTGAAATTATTTTTAGATGTCCTCTTTCAGTAATTGTTTTTGTTTACTAATTTGATAATTTGAGTTGGTCGCTGTAAAGAGTGTCTAAAGCTGACGTCTCGTTTGTAAGCCCTTCGTCAGAGCGCATGCGTAACGACTGTATAACAACTTTTATAAGGTTGTTTCTCATACGTAGGCTATGAAATTTGGAATAGAATGGGGATCCGCATAACGAAAATGGCTGTCTCTAATGGTAACCTTAACACTGTGACTCGAACACTAACCAAAGAAATTCGAGACTTGAATCTGTATTCCATATTGAACCCCCCCCCCCCGCGTGCTGCTTCCTACTCCCACGTATTCCATAGAATACATCATGGAAAGTTTGTTCGTATGCTATTTACGCACGAGATGGTATAGTACCGTAACCGAACAAGCGAGCGCACCGGTCGTGTGATTTTTCTGATACAAACCCACTAGTGCGTAAATAACGTACGGACAGACTTTCCATGATGTATTATGTTTATTATATGTCGGGAGATTCAATTCTTGTTAAGGACAATGTATTGTTCAACAGATTCAAGTCAAACTCTCATAAATCGGTCACGAAAGATGTAAACGATGTAAATTGCCTCAAGTGAAAAAAAAAAATACCTGTCAATAATTAAAATTAAACTTCATAAGTTTGATGGTTCATAATCTCTCTGCCTTCTCGTCGAAAGGAGCGAATCTACTCCTCAAGATACATGTTTACTTTCCTCGTTTTTCCGTGGAAAAAATTATTCGAACGGTTTTAAATCTTGCCGCTTTGTATTCTCATGGTTTTCTTCTTTGAGTTTTAGTTCTGCATGCTTTCTATTCCACATTATCACGAACAGAAGTTCCTCAGTCATCTTTTATAGGTAACTTGACGTAGTAAACAGCACTGGGAGCTGCTCCTGATTAGACGTGTCGTTTTCCTCACTCGAGAAAAAAACGATACGCGCCATTTGATTGGCTCTCGGCTGCCTCGACCAGCTTGCGAACGTAGATTTATTTCGCGCCTTTCTAATTTGTAAATTTCACCATGTATATTATAAATAAAGATCCAAAAACTGTTATTTCAGACTGACTTATATATTACTTAGATGGATGGAAATCTCTTACGGCGGTTTGTTTCTGTTTTTTTTTTAATGATTGTTTCTTGAATGCATGCTGTTACATAAACATAAACATCTGAGAATAAAAATAAACTCTACATATACGAGAGACCCTCACTCACTGAGGCGATTTTTTTTTTGGGGGGGGACGGGGGGTAATAGTGATGCATGACAGAAAAAGAGGTTATCCATCATCAATTTCCCTATTTAAAATTCTTAACAATGGGCGTTTTTGAAAGAAAAATGGAGATCTTCCAAACATTACATGTGATTTAGAATCGTGAAACATAGGATCAGTGTTGTCTGTTATACTTACCTGCTTTCAAAGCTTCCTTAATCAAGACGTTTTAAACGGTTTGAAAGGCGCGCTTAAGCTGTTTTTCTTTTCTAATTGATAATTTCGTTATAAAACTTTAGCACTCGCATCACGTGTGATTTTTGAAACTAACGTGTTTTATTAATCCTGAAAACATTGGAAACAAACTTCGATGCATCCTTTATTGAACAATAAGAAACAAGAAATCTTTTTCGATTACACCGAGTAGTGACATGCTAGAGGTAGCCAAATATTCCACGGTATGCACTAGATTTTCATTTATTCTGTGAATCTGATGCGCAAGTCTTCTCCACTTACCATCCAGCTGTTACATGGAAATGATTTTATAAACTTATTCTCTGTTTAAAAAGTAGAGTACTTTTCAGAGTAATGGTTGCAGCTTTAAAATCATCGTCATGATTCCAATGATTGCAAAGGAAAGTACTCGGAAATGCAATAATTAAGTTTTAAAAACTACTCCTTTTTCTCTCTTTGAGAGAATGCATCGTTTTTTCTATATGAAAATTGATTCAAACTTATGTAAAAACTTATACTACCGCACTTAAAAAGCTCAAATTTTGCCAGAGCGGTGTTTTAACTGTTCATTGCACCCGTGCCTAACCTGCAATTTTACTTTGGATAATGCAGGTTCAGCCTCCTGTATGATTGCTAGAAGGCTAAGGTGCTTTCCCAAAATAAGAAACATTTGCAATCGTAACACTCAGAGCTTGTAGACGTCGTTGGCCAAGGGTCCCCCTACTCCGTCACCGCAGTTCTCAGACGATCCATACCTCTTGTAACTATTGTCATCAGCGCCACCAAAACATTGACCTCCATTTTGTATGGCAAAAACTTTAAGACCCAACCTCTTGGCTACGTCAGCACACTTACTGATTGGCTGTTTTCGCTCGTGGTAATTGTCGGCCAAATTGGGATCTAAGCCTTCCATCACCATCATGGCGCGTTTAGATGGATCTCGCCACTCGGAGGTGTCGGCCCAGCAGCCTAGACTACGGTATTCTGTGACAACAATGTCTTCTGTTGGGAGGAGGGAGACAAGGTAGTGAAGAATGTTGAAAAATTGGTTACGAGCTCAAGAATTTGTACTACTCTGCACCAATTTCGATTTCAAGGGTAAATGCACTTACAAGCTAAGCCATATGCTAAGTTCATATTTGATTGTCGCGAATTGCTAAGGGGTACTTTGTCCTGGAATGTTAGTAGCTTCGGTTGTTGTTATGTCATTAACGTATTTAAAAACTGTTATGCTAGCAGAGTTAGTTTTAACATATAAAAAAGCTTATGTTAGAAGCGTTGTCATTGTAACACAAGTTGGTTATCAGAAATCGTAACTTGAAAAGTAGTTGTGTTTTAATTATAGTACGTAACTGGAAATTGCGTAGCTTCAGCTCCACTACCTTAAGATATATTTCAACGCGTAATGTTACGTTAGTGGGATCGGTAAGGTTGTAATACTCTAGTGTCGTAGAATAGACAGCGAGTTAGTAAATAGATGAATGGAAAAGTTCAGATGTGACAAGCACTCTACAAACTGTTAATTAGTGTCAGTAATCATGAAAGTATGTTGAGAAAGAAGTTAAAGTTGGTCTAAGAAATGCAAAAATAAGTTTGCGCTATATTTGAAAACTTTTAGATATGACCATTTGGAAGATTACGATCTCCTTATGATGGGACCTCAATGAGTATGTACCAAAGTTGTCGCAAAGGTCATTTTCGAGTCCGTATTACACAGTTCAGTGAGTTGTCATACGTCTAACATAACTTGAATAAAACAGATTGAAATAGTGAATGTGCATTCTAGTCGATTTAACAAGGTGAGCCCCGTGTAAAAACGCGTATATGTCAGTCGATGCTCATTATCTTAAGAGAAACTTGCTGCCGCATTAGTACAAATTAAAATTTTCCTGCATCCATCCTCGAATTTTTCTTTTTTTACCTGACCACTGTTGTCCACCTCCAGTTTCTGTACTGCCGAGTGCTGGTGGAGGAATCTGCAGCTGAGTCCCATGCTGCATTGTTGTTCGAGATGTCGCCGTGATCGCTAGCATTGGGGAAAAAAAACAAGAGTTTAATATTTAAGTCACAGTGATCTATAAACTTTTTACTACACTGCATTATTTGTTACAGAAAATTACTTCAAGGGTAAAGCGGTAAAGAGTTTCTTAGGCCTGCGTTGATAAGCATTCACGTTGAGGCAAAGATGAGCGTCTGAAGTCAACAACATAACCTTTTTTAGTTGCCTCTCTGGTGGATTTCCTCTCCGTGAGCCACATCGAGCGCCTCAGATATTAATCGAATTCAAGAAGGATTATACCACTTTTCAACAAAATTACTAAGCTCCTCTCCTGACTAAGCCTTTATTCTTTCTCCCTCCTGTCTAAGCCTATCTTCTCAAAACTTAATAACAAATACTCACTTTGTTTGACCCGCGATTAAACCCTGAGCGATGGGGTAACTGATCAATAAATGTAACGTATGTCTTAAGGCTAGTTTTACATGTTATTGTTCTTTTCGCAACGCTTGATTGAATAAAGAAGCATCACAAAATTATTTTCTTCCCTCTCTGAGTGACTCATGACGAATACTTACGGATACATGCGCGCTTCCCAGTATTGTTCATGTAGTAACCTGGGTTGCAAATGCAAATGTCGCCGGTAACTGTGTAGGAATACGGTGGACACTTTGGTTTCACTACGAACAAAAATAAATGACATAATAGTATCATCATTTTCATCGACTCAATAGTGACAGTTAAGTACTTACTAGTGTCCATTTTCAATCAAATCAGTCCTCATAAGTAACCATAATCATTCTTTCTTATCCCTAATTATTGCATTTAAACAGTCTGATAATTAAGGGTGCAAAATAGAGCGAGATACTAAAGGTATAATTATTCATTCTTTAATCTGCGGAGGACAGTACATTGAAGGTTTCACTATGCAAGTTAGCCATCGAATGAAATGGGATAAAAATACTGAGTGGCGATAAGTGGTGATTTCTTCATAGCATTGTACGCGCCCAAGCATTTCGGATTCACGAAAATAATTAATGTTCGTCTATCAGTGATGAGAGACTTCTCATTTTCATTAAAAGGCACAAACCTACCTCTTTTGCACGAAAAGCCGTCGCCAGAATACCCTCTTCTGCAGAAACACTTTCCATTGATGCACCGAGCATGAGGATCGCATTCGGCACACATGTCCACTGTTAGGAAATTAAAGATTATAATCAGATTCCTTCTCGAGAAAGAAGTACCTTCCAAATTGTGCCCGCTCTCAGCGTGCGTCCTCGTATCTCAGTTGATAGTAGCGTCCAACTATTTTCTGGGAGGCAAGGATTCGACTGAATCCTGACGAAGCGTGACGTGAATTTTTTTTATCAGACTTCTTTTTGCAATTTTTTAAATTGCAAGGACCATTGCTTTACTCGGTGTAGAATGTGTTGATAGTCATCTAAGCATCAGTGAATCGAAAATGTACTCAATTAAATTACATTCTACAAATAGGTCTTTTAACAGTTGTGTACTTAGTTGCCTAGCCTTTGATTTGGAGTGAGGCTGAAGGTGACCTTGTTGTGATAGAGACTAGTATCTAGTTAGCATGATAACAAAGTAATTTGCATTTGGAAAGCAGCAAGGTTTGTATCATAGCAAGGTCACCCTTAGCCTCACTCCTGTTCAAAGGCTTGGCGACCAAGCATGTAACCGTACATCGAACTATTGGAGAACGAAAGATATTTAGTTTCTTACACCCTCCTCCTGTTGAAAACTGATCGTGATCATGTAAAATGTAGATATTATCTGACAGTTTAAATTTACAGTTCAGTAAATTAGTAATTTGAACGTATGATTCTCACAATGAAACATTCTCTCAGCCTTTTGTCAGAAGGTTTATTTAAACTTATTACAATTTAATGGCAATTAGCAAAATAAAATAATTACCTATAACAAAGGAAATGCCATAAGGATGGTCTGTAAAAGAGTCCAAGACCCCATCCTCAGACAGAAAAAGAAAGAAGCTCTACTTTCTTCACTCACCGTCACAAAACCTCCCTTTAAACCGAGGGTTTGGACAAATGCATTCAAAATCCTGGTTGACCCCCGTTTCTTTGCACATTCCTCCATTAAGACAAGGGTTTGGATGACACGCTGCTTTGGGTGGAGCTATCATGAATGAATTTAAAATAAAAGTTTCTTCAGGGTCACATATCGTCTTCATTACGGGCAATACTTAGCTGCGCATGCTTATACAACTATCATCAAACTAGAATAACAACCAAATCACCAACCATTAATGATGCACCTAATACATGATAAACTCAGAAAATGTGTTTACTATTGTGATCGTATTATGACAGTTTTTAACAAATCGGATTGGAAGGTACTTTCTTAAAGCTGAATACTTCAAATGCCTCTTACACGTTTCGTCAATGCATTTTCCAGACTGGGACTCTGCAATTTGGGTGCAACCGCAGCATTGTATGCGGTTACGGTCAGGTCCTTAAATAATTAATATCACTGTTTAACGACTATCCTAATTGTCTCTTCAGAAATTGAAGCCCAACAGTTTTAGCTGAAAATGAAAGATATGCAGAGAGGGGAATGTCAAGCCGTCATTGACTATACTCAAACAGGTACATTAATTCAGTACCACGATTAATTGTTATTTACTATCATCATTAGTAGCATTATTTTGGCTTTTTTCGGGAGAAAGGGGGGGGGAGTACGCAGCGGCCTTGCAAGTGCAATTCATATCAGTATTTCTTGTTCGAGAGATACAGAGGGAATTTGGAAACTGTATCCGGCTACCGTTGGAGTTATTATTTTGATACATATATCATACGTGTTGTGGGTGTAATCTTCTTTTCACACAGCCTGCCGAAGGTGCCTTCGGGACAAACGCAGAAAAAAGTAGACTTTCCTTCGATGCATTCAGCTCCATTTTTGCATTTGTTTGGATTGCAGCCGTTTGCCAACTCAGACGGATTGGTAGGCGCCTCTGAAATAGATAAAGGTGTTACCAACAGTCAGTGTTATTCCAATAAAGTGTTTCGAACTACTCAACTTTTAGCCTAACTAATTCCATATTAATTCCGATCGGCATCAAAATTGCAACATAGGACAAGGCCTTCAATCGACGGTAAAGTCGTTGTATCTGTTGAATTATACTTGTCGATTTCACAAAGGTTATTTCTATATGGAAAGGGAGTGTTTATTCAGTCGTTCGCTATATGCTTCCGAATATTTCCTACAGGTTTTGACGTTGTTTCATCAAGAAAACTAAACGTTGTTGCTCTCACTGAATAAATCATGTCGAGTTAAGCCTTGACGCGAATATTTCGGAAAGCAATCTTTCCCTAGGAAAAAAAATTCTAAAAACTAATGATCTTCTTCTAAGTTAGCATAAGTGAATGACCCTTGAAAATATTATCGCTAACACTCAGAATTTTAACCTTTAAAACCTAGGTAGAAGACTTTATTTTGTAATTTGTTCGCTGAGTTCCTAAAAACCGTTTTTCTCTTTTTTTGCATAAGGTATGAACTTAAATACATGAGGCTTCTTGATCATTAATTTTCCTTCTTTATGGGAGTTACGTTAAAGCCGTCAAAATAAAGTCTGTTCGCAATGATGCATTCGCAAAAAAAAAAAAAAGAAAAAGACAAATCCTGTCAATCAGCAGGATTGACCAACTACAAGCGCTTAGGAATAAAATAATTTATCTTAATCTAACTTTTAGGTTTTTCCTCCTCCGGATTCGTGCAAGTGATTCCGTCTCCTTCGTATGGTGGGCGACACTTACAAGCTCCATTTTCGCAATATGCGTTTTTGTCGCATTTAGCGCATTTGTCAACTGTAAAAAAGAAGGAATGACAGGGCGTCATAATTAGATGCTTATAGAAATGGTTCGATTAACATTTAATTAATCTAAAGCGGAATTGAAATGGCACGCCTAAAAATGAAACGAAAAAGCAGAACAAAAATACAGAGTAAACAGAACAAATAAAAGCAATAAAAGAAGCCCAAAAATATTAAAAAAAAAAACCGAACAAAAACGGGAGGAACGTATCTTTTTGGCGTACAGAGTAATTCTCGAGTTTGTGCCAAAATGAACCCGAGATTGCACTGGTTTTCCTTAACTTTGCACTGTGATTGGTCCAGAAAACTCGTACCACTCTCTCAACCAATCAGATGTAAAACTAAAACTAAAACGCCCGTGTTTTCCCGCGCTTTAGAAAGTTTGGTTGGTTTTGTTTTAAGCTTTCACTGGCTTTTAAAAGCATTTTAGTTCATTTTGATTGGCTGCCGTGATTACTTCGGTCTTGGTTTTACGACACTCAATCGAAAGGTGCTCTATGAATAACAGTACGTTTATAGAAGTACTCACGTGCACATGTCGGACCGTCATACCGAGTCGGACAAACACACGTTACTTTGCCGTCGGTGAATTCACATTTTCCGCCATTATTACAAGGGTCCCTCTTTTCGCCATTCTTTGGTAAACAAGCGTTATCGACTGAATTAAGACAAATATTTGTTAATTGTACCATAATTTAAACGTCTTCTTTGATGAAACAGCAGGGGAGCATCATCAGGGTAATACAACAATATACCATCATTCAAGGACTACATAGATACACATGTAATAACATAAAATTAATTGTAAGTGAGACAGCTAATGCCTAATATGTTATCAATGAATAACTTTTTGAATGAATTATAACTCTTCCAAGAGAACAACTTTGTATAGGTTATGAGATGGTTTCGAATGTAAATTGGGAAAAATGAGCACGCCGAAATTTTTCATTCGTATTTTCAAGGGTGATACATTTTCAAATCATGGCGTGAAATTGCTCGCAGGACGCTTTTTTCTCTTAGTGATCTCTGATTAATGTTAAAATGTTCAAATGAATTCAATGTCTTACGCAGACAACTCTCTCCTTCATATGGCTCGTCGCAATTACACTTTGGTTCTTTATCTATTACTTCACATGTTCCTCCATTGTAGCACTTCTTTTTCGAACATGGATCGAACTCTGTAGGCACGAATAGGTAAAATTGCTATACAGCTTTGATTGTGAATTTATATGCACTTAGGTTACATTGAGACGCTGATATTGTATGTAATAAATCAGTATATAGTTAAACAGTAAATAGCGATGAAAGCACGCTCTGATTAGCCACTCAAACACCGAATATCTTTTAGTATTCACCTCTGAACAACTCGTACAAGATATGAGCCCGATAATATTGTAATTGTTGCGGAAATAAATGAGTTAAGGTCATTTTTTTTTGTATTGTACAAGCTAAAAAACTGTTTACCTCAGTATTGGTGGCTAGCACTGGATATTTTTCTCGCCGGATCGTGGCTTGATAAAGATCAACAACTAACCACCTCCACTTCGGCGAAAGGTTGTTAATTATACGCAGTCAGCGGTAATTGTAATAATAATATTCTGATTGTTTCCCTATCTCGTGCTATTGAACACCATAATTCCCCAGTTGGTTAAAAGTGCATGGTTTTCAAACCACAAACGTAACGGTGATTCTTTAACACATGGAGTAGAAGCAGATACCATACCGTGGCAGCGTTTTCCGCTGTATCCCTTGGGACATTCACACCACCAGTCCGATTGAGATGATTCAAAAGTATCGTTCTCTCGACAAGTACCTCCATTCTCACATGGGTTGGGATGACATGGAGAGGTTTCTTAAAAAAATAACAAAATTGCTAAAAAGTAAAAAACAAAATTTCTGAGATATATGTTGGCCTAACCTATTTTCTGTGAAATAAACCGGTCAACTTACTTTGCCTTTAGATGAAGTGCATACTCGCAAATTCCCCCGCTAACAATCGTTTCATTTAGTAATATTTGTACTCGGTACACGATAAGCAAGGTCTATCAACGAGAAAACGTTTCATTTATTTCCTCCCTTAAATGTTCACGCTACGTGAAGTCGCTCGATGTTTCCGAAAAGACGTTTTTCATTTCCCCAAAAAACCCCTACAAAGTCGTTTACATCACCGTATTAAATTTAGGGGCTCGACTGCCTCACGTAAATTCGCAACGAAAATACTTCATAACTTACTTGGTCTGCATCTATGTCCGTCACCCCAGTATCCCTTTCGGCATGTGCACTGGCTAGAGATACAAACAGCGTGGTGATGGCAGCCATTACAGCTGCTCTCGTGAAACAAATCTGGAACAAAATTTAAAAATATTTCAATAACATTAAAACAGTGTTGAGGTACCGTCTGCATATACTTAGGAGGCACGTATGAGGATTTTGGGACGAACTTGCAGAAATCAAGGTGGAGAAATATATATGTATATGTATATGTATATATAGTTATTTATTTATTTATTTTTTTAATTCCGGGAGGCTTACGTTCGCAGTGAGATCCTCCTCGATCAGCAGGGCATAAACAAGTGTAGTCCTCCCCGTCCGGAAGACAATGTCCACCAAAAAGGCAGGGATTAAATGGCGCACAAGGTGAGTTGGAAAGCGGGTTGGAAAGAACGAGAGATTGAAACCCTTTTTCTGAAAGAATAATATAATAGTTTAAAATCATTTTTAAAAAGCTTAAATCTCTTTATCCTTAATTCAATTTTTCTATTTGTTGTAGGCATTGCACTGTTTTGGTGAGGATAAGTACGCCCCAAAATTTGGTGAAAATCACTATTTTAATTAAACGCTTAAGTATAAGTGCCGTATATTGATATCTTCTCATCGCTCTTTTTAACAAATAGTGATACTTACTTTTCATTTTTAAATAATAATAGTTAGCGTTTTCCCAGGTGTTTCCAATTGAAAGAATTCAAATTGTGAGCTTAAGGAGGCGAAAAACTAACCCTAACTTTCGTATCCTTAGCCATGTAATAATATACGTGAAAAAAATAACACTCTTCTAACTAGCTGAAAACGAGTGAAAATAGCTGCGCACCATTTCAAAATTTCGTCTGTCTTGCCTCTCTGTGATGTATTTTTTTAATGTAAACTATTAATAACATCACGAAAAAAGTCCCTATCTGAGCTCATCAGTGACCATTCCTCCAAGGACAGGACGTACCTTGGGATTGGATACCTGCTTTACACACTCCCTTGATGCATATTCCTGGGCAGCTGTTACATGCAAGTTCTAGTACCATGCAAGTCATGCACGTGTTGATAAAAACAATGGATTTCAAATTAAGGACGAGAAATGAGCTAAGAGGGATTGTAAAAGCGAAGTAAAGCTTGTTGTAGCTTCCGAAGCGTACCTCGGTTTCTCGAGCGTGAAGGGAACAAGGGGACAAGAAATTCGGCGAGTTTCCTCGAGAGGTTAAATGCTCATGATCAGAGAAAGGCAATGACAGTGTTTTGCTCGAGAAAGCATATTGACAATGACCACGTTGAAACCTACGTCTTTTCATCAGTTATTCAATGCATCCACCATCATGATTGGGCCACAACGTGTGGTCTACTTAAGTTGATTGATTGGATAGTTAAATGAAATAGTGAAATAAGAAACATTACCGGCTAGACCGGTCATTAGTCAATAATGAGAGATAGAAATATTCTTAAATCTGTTTGACTAGGATTGCCATTTCTGACTACTGACTAAAAAATGTGGGTCACTGCAAACCAACAGTCAGTGCATGAAGTATGTTATTTTTGGATAAGATCTAAAGTTGATTTTAGGTTTTAAATCTATCGAAAATACCTTCACAGCTTAATCCCGTAAAGCCAGACGCACAGTAACATGAAAATTTTGAGAAGTCGTAGATATCAGTGATGCAGGTCCCGCCATTCAAGCAAGGAGTACTGTCACAAGAAGTGCTTGTCTGGCGAACTACAAACACCAACAATATCATTAAAATCCTACGTAATATAAGTTTATTATGGCATTGGTCAACGGAGATGGCCTTTCAGAGAAGTCTCCCTCAACGAGATAAATTTGTTTTATCACATGAGTTGATAATGTAAATTGGCCACGGTAAAGAGTTTATAGATGGACGTTTCGAGTATTAATCCTTCTTCGGAGCGAATCTTTTGCAATTCAGTTGATAAAAAAACTAAGTCATTTTGTTACACCCTCTCCCCCCTTTTGACGAAGCATCACAATTTCTCTAAAAAATTACCCTAACAAGTCGACCGTTTGTGGTACCCGCTGATTTTTACGTACATATACATGTAAATAATCCTCTACCAAGGTTTTTTACATCTGCCTTTGACATGGAAATAATAACAAAATAGATGATTGTGTTAGATTCTGGGGCTATCATACCTTCACAATTGATTCCGTCAAATCCATCTTTACAGTTGCATTTGTAACCGCTCAGGTCTTCCGTGCACATGCCGCCATTTTTACATGGGTTGATTGGTAAACACTTTGATTCCCCTGTTGATATGTCACATGTTAAAAAACAATTTATCTTACCGGTGAGGTAATACTTTATATATGATGGCTTAAACCTTTATACAAAATATATAACATCAGACTTTCATACAGCTATAAAAGGTAATAGTTGTAGTGCACAAGGCCAAATTCATTCGTATCGAAATCTGTCTTTTCTTTCCACAGGTCTCCTGTATTAAGTTCGACGAGGTAGCACAAACTTATAACAACATCAAATCACTCACGTTCGCAGTTTTTTCCCATAAATCCAGCTGCACACGAGCAGATGTAGTTGTCAATGTTTTCCGTGCACACCCCACCGTTTCTGCAAGGATTAGGCTCACACTTACTTTCAACTGAGGAAAAAAAGCGAAAAAACAAATGTTGGATGAAATCATGAACAATAAATTAATATTTTGCAGCTCGGTTACTTAATTCTCGCAAAATGTTTCCGACTGTTTGTTGTGTTATCGTGATTATTACCAAAACCAAACACTTATGTGCTTCTTGCTTGTTTTGTTTGGTATTCTCCTATACTCAGAAAGTTAAGATTTGGTAATATTTTCTGACTGCGGGGCTTATCACTCAGCGACACTTAACACTACATTTGCCGGAAAAGCGCGGGAAGAAATAGTCATAGAGCAGTCAATGTAAGTTTGAAGACTGACACTAACAATTAACATGGTTGTAACTGTTCAGTATCTGCTGGTCAAACTTATACCACAATGAAGAGGCTGTGCGATCAATTCTTGTTAAATTGAATTATTCAATGAGGGATGTGTTTACAGCCAAGATGTATTTAGACACTTTCTAAATGCAAGCGAAAACCTCTACAAAATCAAAACAAAAGAATAATTTCCAACTTACGGTCACAGGTTTTTCCATGGAAGCCAGTGTGGCAGGTGCACTCGAAATCTTCAGGGAGCTCAGTACATTTTCCAAAGTTCTTGCATGGATTTGGCAAGCATCTGCTTTGAACTGGAATATTAACATAAAATTAATTTATTAGGTAAATAGGTCAGCTTTTAGAATAGTTTAACGACTTGAGGAAAGTCAATGAACGTAAAGTAGCGAAAGGAAGGATGGATTAATGTCTTTCTCAAGCATTTGCCTTGTGGTTTAAGTGATATAATATTAAAGCCGAACGATACTTTTTCTGTGCTCAAATTACGGAAAGGACTAACATTCATTAAATGGTATAAACAGATATATTTTTTGTGCAGATGAGTTCACTTAGCTTCTAAAGGTTTGTCAGTTAACAACGAAACTCTCGAAATAATCGTGAAAAATAATTTAAATATAATGTAACATGGTGTAAAGCGCCAAAATTGGCATGAGAAAAACCTTGTTCTATTCACGGCAAGGTTAAAGACTTGAATTAGGGATTCACGGAGGAAAAAAACGAACAGAGTTAAAAAAGAAACTCCAACTAGCCAGGCAGATGCAGTCACCAGTCAGGTAAAATATGGAGCATGATGGATAAATTAATTATTGAGCAAACACGCTAAGCCATAACTGATGCGCTACCTTCACATCTTTCTCCTTTGTATCCCACCGGGCAGATGCATTTAAAATCCGTGATTACTGCTGTACAAGTACCTCCGTTTCTACAAGGATTGACACCACAAGGGTCAATCGCTGGGAAAGTAAAATCGAATAAATAAACAAAACAAACATACGCAACGATTGGGATGATATTCAAAGACGGTTTCTTAAATCTAAAAACACACCTGGTCTTGAAAATTCTCTGTGTACAACGATATATTGTGGAGGCCTCGGCCCGGGGATTGGAACAGGAACAGGGACCTGTTGGGGTGGTAGTAGTACTGGATGATGGATCACAGAAATCCTTGGAGGTCCGTGCACAGGCACAGGAACAGGAGTATGAATGGGCCTATTTAAAATGATGACGCGATTACCATGGCGAGGTGGACCTTCAAATAGAGGTGGCATCGGTGCACCTTCAAAAGGTCCGTTTGAATCGCCCCTGGTATCGAGAGGGGCGAAACCTTCCCTGTCTGCATCCTTAAATAGCACTGGAGATGACAGATATCTGTGAATAGGTTCACCAGAGAAACGATGTTCAGCTGGCAAAAACTTATGCACTGCTGGGGAAAAGAAATGAGAAGAATGGAGAATACGTTGCTCTGGTTTAGCAGCCAATGGATTGGCAAAAAAACTATCGGGGTTTTCATTCAGCTGCATGCCCTCATTGAGAAACTCGTTGGGTTTATTAGCAAACATGACTCCATCTGAAATACGCTGTCGTTTCATTTCCATCGAAGCATTAGTATTTTGCGGTCCTTTTGTGTTCAAGGTAATGTTTTCCTTCTTTGGAAGCCACTTATTTGACGATTCCATATTTCTAGCCTGTGTTTTTTTATTTTTGAGTCGCACTCTATTTCGAGACCTCTTTAAAACTCCATCCTCGTCCCGGCGAGCCACTTTGAAATCCAGGTGTGAGGGGAACGACGGTGGCTTATGATACGCAATATTTCTCCTTCCATGATACACATGGTTTTCAGTTTCCTGTGGAATTTGCTTCAGGAAGCCATGTCTTAATTTGCTTATCGCAATTACTCCTCTAGATATGCCAGCAATTTTTCCGGTATTTAGTCTAAAAGCTTTTCTTCTCTTAATTATTTTCTTCGGATTGTGCATTTCACTTGATAAATGCTGTTTTAAATGAGTTCGAATGTTGCTCAGTCTTTGATGAGATTGTGATGATTTTTTGATCATGTTTCGACCGCGGACTGTCGACTTTCCCTTCTCAGCCACAGGGAACGACATGGCTCTCAGGGACCCAACGCACAACCCTAACCCTAGCCAGAAAACCACTATCGTCAAGTGCCTAAGATCCATGTCTTCAGCCGTGGGTGAAAGGTGCAACGTTACATTTGTCGTGTGATTTTCCGAGCCATTTTCTCAAAGTTGCATTTGTGTTTCAACCAACATCTCGAAGCGCCATACATTATGCATTGCCCACAATTGTTCCAAAATCCCTATGACATCATTTCTCTGGACATGCACTATTAACTCTGAGAGGGTACAATACTATGGGATTTTTAAAAAAACGACAAGATGATTGAGCAACTTTATGAATCTTAAATTTAATTTAGATAGCTGTTTTATACAGGTAGAATTAATTTGAATGAGATTTCGGTAGCCGCTATATTTGCGTAAAAGCTGACTGTTTGTTTCTTTTTCATTTTAGTACAAATAGCGACTTCAGCACCTGCCTGAGTTTAAAAGGCCTATTTAGTTAGCAATTAATAGAAAACGTAGAGTTAAATAGCGTAGGTCAGAAAGTGATTGCTTGACTGCTCACGAAGTTAGAGATTAGCAGGTTATTGTGACGGCCAAAGAGGAAAGTGAAGCAGTTCTGGTAACCACCCCGTATAGGAACTTTGCTGATTCAAAGTGTGATTTCAAAACAGTATTCCCTGAATCCAATCCAGTATTACTGTTTTTTCTTTTTTTGTTTGTATCTCTGGTTATAAGTACAACCGGAAGTGGTAAACTCTGGCAGGCTATTTACCTCTTGACCGAGGGGTCTAAGTGTTTTTTTTTTAACTCCGGCGACTAATTTGTGATGAACACGGATACTACTTTGAAAGATTACATTTTACACAGATGTCATGTTTTTTTGTCCTTTTGACGGAAGGTTTAGACCGCATAATGATTCGCTTCGTTAAGGTCTATCGCCATCGACTAAAGCATTTATGCGTAAAAGAAGGAAACATGAAAGCGCCAGAGTTAACTAATGCATGTAATTAACAAGCCGGCAACTTTCTTTCAAGAGGACCTAAAATTTCCTTTGCTGGGGGCAAATCGCCATTTGAGACTCCAATGTGGTGGTAGATTTCATTTCCTCATTCAATTTTTTTTTATTTCTGTCATTAAGCTGCTTTAGAGTGAGGAAAAGACCGAATTTAGAGTAATTAACCCTGGCAATGACCACAATTGAGTTAATTTAAGCCTATCGGTTGTTATTTACCGACAAAATCGCAGTATCTGAAATATCAAAAGCTCTAGTCTCAAATTTTCACTTTGCTACGTACAAAAAAAAAATTCAGTGGTGGCTGTTTCTTTATCTTCAACCTAAACTCCCTTTGGGTTCATTTCACACTTCTATATGTTACAGGAAATATCGATAACCCTACAAACAAAGGTTTCTCGGATTAAAGGAAATTGCACATTTAATATCGTAGACAAAAATCGTATATGAGCGATCTTAAGCACTGGGTGGAGTATTGCAAGTTCAAAACGGGGGGTTTATTTCAAAAAATAATTTTCCTTTGGGGCATTTTTCAGGGGATCAACAAATCTTTTCATTGAGCCTACCGACAGTGAAGAAAGAAATTCAGACGTTTGAGTTAATTTTATTCTTTTATCAAAGTGGGGGAAACAACATCCTTCTTCCACATAAATTTTGCAAATAAGAAAATTGCTTTTAAAATGTTTTGTTTCATTTTATTTGACAAAAACAGTCTCTCCGTTTTCATTTTGAGGACTTAAAAAGGAATGCCCTAAGGCTTTCTTAATTTACATTTCTCGAGGCCGATTTATCTTCAACAAGGCGGCACCGGAATAAACTGTGAAAAACGTTTACTTTAGTAGGATATCTCTTCGCCACACGCACGCAACCTCTGTTTTTTATTAAATAACCATACAGATACGAGGTTTTAGAAAGCTGAATTCACGCTGTTGTCGATAACTTGATTAAAGGAGCCAAAATATACTATCGTAAATATTAAAAAAAGAATTTTTAAAAACGTTAATGTCTGTTAAAGGAGTGAACCAATATGTTAGGCAAGGAATTGTCTGTGTTGCCCGTATGCCTCCTTTTTGGACAGGTGTTAAGCACTTCCAAGTTAGTTTGTGTTCCCCGGTTCACGTGGTATGCTACTTGATCGTTTTCAGATTCAATGTGCCTCTCTTCATTTTCCTCATAAATTGTTACCACTCGTCGACTTGTGCTAAGCTGATGGATATCTCCATAAGATGAGGCTTCTCCAAGAAACTCCCGCGGTTTTCCTCGTATGGGTCTTTTTCTTGATTTTCTAACCTCCAAGACTGTTTGACCTCTGAATCCATTTTTTCGCACAAGATTTGTTTGGCCTACAGAATTTTTTTTCCTCCATATCGAACCCACGAAAATGAAAGGATTAGCAAGGTATTTAACAAGAAGTAACAACTGTAAATAGATTCGTACATCGTTGCATAATACACAGTTTTTGACACCTCCAGCGCGCAAGCCAAATGACCATAGAGTCGCTGGAGCTACGGTAACCAAATAGACAGAAATAATTTTCACTGTCAAAATAATCATCTTCTTTTCTGAACGAGCATGGTTTTTCTTAGATGTGTTGAGACTTCTAGCCAGGTTTCTCATCGATCTTACCGAGGACCAGTTGTTTGTCACCACAAAACTGCAGGTTAGTACCAGGATAACTGAGAGCAAGACTACCATAGGTTCGGAGTAAGGACCTTCCGCGGATGAGACCAGAATACAATTTTCTGTGTTGATTTTTATCACAAAATTGAGAAGTCCAATCACAAAAGGTATTGCCCAGATTGCAGCAATGTAAGTTTTTATATTCCGTTTCGTTATCCTTCGTCGAAACGGTCTTGTAATAAAGTCGTTGCGATCCAAACTCAAAAAGCAAATGTTCATACTGTCGGTGAAGAAGAAATAAGTCAAAGAAAAATACCTTATTCTGCAAAGGGCAGCTGGTACAGAAGTCCGTTCAATGAACGAAACATATATAACTGCAAACAGACTGGGAATCCCTATCAAACTGCTTAATGCGCCTGTTAGACATAAGTTGTAAACCAACACTCGATAAACTGACATGCTTCGATTGCAGTAACTTCGTAGAGTGGAAAATACAGCTAAATTGGCTACAACTCCAAGGATAACTTCAAGCCCAAGAATTATCAAAGATATCTTGATTGTTGACGGGGAATAAATCAAATCCATTTGAGTAGAGTTGTCTCGTTTATCTTGATGAAGCTGTGTCACAGGCCGCATGTTAGAAATACTGGTTCGATTTGAAAACATCTTTCTGTAAAGCGACGAGCACTGTTTCGTTTTTTATGGTCCTTTGGAATAAAAAAACACCATTTTTAATTTACACTGGAGCCACTTCAGCATTAGTTTATTAACGATTGAAAAAACCATTTGTAGCAGTGTGAAAAAACAGCAATAGTTAGCAATCTTCCGATTTGGCTAACGTTATATAACTCGACCTATAGGAAAACTTGAAATATAATTAACGGAAGCCGAAAAGTAAATATCCTAACATTGAAAGAATATACACTTAAAATTATTTGTTGATAGGTTACATTATGCCCTCAGGTAACTCACCACGCGGAGTGTTAAATTGAAATAGTCTTTATTTCTAGAGTCTATGTTTTAATAGAGTGAATTGTTCATTTTTCAAAACGCGATACAATAAAACACGCGCTCCTCTTAGACGGCTACATTCTCTTATTCAAAGTTTTGTTACTTTCACCATATCTTGAATAACAATGCCTATTTTAATGTAGGCATAGTATTTGTAAAAGATTTTAAGAGCACTCTGTTGCTATGTCTAAACAGCGATTGTTTGATGTGGTAGTGGAGATAATCTCTCAGTCGCATAACATTAGTCGGGAATTTAATTGATTTCTCATTTTTTTCCTCCTTTTTAAGATAAAATAAAAAAAGCCAGAATTTAAAATATGTGAAACAACCGACGTAGATCACTTAAATCTCTTAGGGTTAGTTTTAAATGATTTAATTTAAAAATTCTACTTAATGATCTTCCTCCTGGTTCAAAAAGATGATTAAAATGGATGTAAATATTGCGCGATTAAAAATCGCCTTATCTCCGGCCAGAATATTGAAATATGGCTCAAGGGGAATGGAGGGGACAGTAATCAGTGATTTCTGGAAAGTCATCCGACTTTATGTAAAGACCAATATGTTTATTATCATTTTAGCAAAACCCTATATTTATGCACCTCCCTTAACAGGCCGAAATCATTGGCCTCACGAAGTAATTCCCCGCGATGTAGATCGACGACCGGATATTGCTTAACTTTTCAAGGCCAAGAGATCGACTGGTCATGCGTCAGCCCTTCAAAGTATTATCCTCAGCTGTGATTGGCTTTTTTTAACAGCTTTAATCGGCTTATTTTCAACAGCTTTAATCGGCTTTTTCTCTCAGATATCGGCATTGGTCTCAACACGTCAGATTTGAGCTCTTGCATTGCCAGTGAAAGGCTAATGATTTAACCAAGGCGTCATCCTTTCCCTCTGCAACCCTTGCCAAGATTTATTACGTGATTTGTGATTTACCGTCTCCATTTGTTTCACGTTGGTTATTTATCTCATTGAGGCCAAAGCTTCTGTTCGCTGGCTTCATTAATGATGTAGAAAATGTAAGCATACATGTTCGTTCAATTTAAGAATGGTTGACCATGAATTATAGGAGAAATTCATAAATAAAAGATCTAGGCTTACAATAAACGAAGAGCGGCTTTAATCCAAAATATTCCGATAAATATACGGGTCTTGCTCATCTGGTTGAAACTGTACTGGCCGATAAATTTATCAATATTTTGAGGCTTAAGCTAAAATGCATATTGATTATTCAAAGAGGAATTTGTGTTTGGGCTGAGAAGACAAAACGTTTTTTCTTTTCATAAACTTATACTTGAGTGTTTTGTTAGTCACGTACTTATTTAGTAGACTTTATACATGAAGGTTCGCCTATTTGCTGACAAATGTATAAAATCAACACTTCATTATGGTTACCAATTAATCAAACCTATAACAAGAGCATTTGATAAAGAAGCTAGCTATCGCTTAAAGGTTTTCATAAAAAATAACAACAGGTAACTCAGCCACAACAGCGACAACAGAGCGCGCACATCACGCTTACTGTCCACTTACACAGGCATAATGTGTCAAACTTGCTAAATGTCCTATAACACTGTCCAGTTATAAGCATGACGCGTACACTATCCTATCAGTGCTCAAATCGGGCTGGTGATAACCAACCAGGATTTTTTATAGTCATAAACAGCGAAAAAGAAACACATACACACAATCACGTTTATTATGAAAAGTTATCCACGCACTTTACTAATGCGCAGAAAAATCACGTTTTTTATCGTATTTCTGCAATGTCAATCAGCCATTCGTTCAAAATAAATCAGGTAATAATTACATCTTCGTTTATCAGTCAAATAAACTGCTGAGAATGCTGAAAAAATAAATCAAGTATCAACTGGCAGACTCCTCACTTAAGACCCTTAAAATGAGTTATCTGATAATTTCTCTATGGTCACACAAGACCCTGCAATTACTCTATGGCTACTCAATATCTTTTGAGAAACCTGTATTACTACTTCACGATGTGGCTTGAATGCTTCTGTTTTCGTTTCCAGATTATTTAATCGAAATCCTGTTTAGTTACATTTATATGAAGTCATCTGATAACTTTTTAGGCGGGAGAGATTTAGATTTAAGTGTGGCTTCCCGAGTGAGATGGTTCTTCATTTTGTAACTGGATGCATACCCTCTCATTTTTTAACCACATCCAGAATATTAGAAAGCAGAACTTCTTAAATGTAATTTCGTGCTATTTACAATCTTGATATAGACAGCAACAAGGATCTTGTTGAATGTAGAAGGTCTAAGGCTTTCCAGGAAGCGTTGTCTGTTAGTTTTCTTCGTCGTTAATTTTGTCTGTTAGTTTTAGGTCTTCGTTGAGAGTGTCTTCAAGCAAGTGTCTTCAAGCGCTGTAAGTGCGAAATGAAATCATGAAAGCGTTCAATAAGTATGAAAAAGACACCTTCACTGCGCATCGTCGGTGTCAGTTATGAGATATCGTTACATTGCTTATGCCCATGAAGCAGTTGCAGTTTACTGGTGCAAAAAGGGCTAGTTGAGAAGTTAAGAAACTTTGATGTTGACTTCTAATAAGCTACGAAGGGTGTGATATTTATCCGCATAATTTGAATGTCATCAATAAGCTTGCATGCAGGATGATTTACCCTTTTTCGTTCACTAGCTTTGTGTTAGTTATGCTTGTGCGATCGGAAAGCTCTGTGGGCCATGCTTGAACTTTTAAAAAGTAAGGAATAATCTTTACTAAGGAAATATGCAGCTTAATTTTCACTTTTCCACTATGACGAGTGCTGATTCCAGCGCTGACCATGCTCAGACCTCTGGAGCTTCGCGAAAAAAGCTTGCAATGGTGTCTAAGCTTGATAACTTAGGTGCGTCAAGTAACTCGCTTTTTGTAGGAGCAATAGACTTAGGTTTATTGTCATTACCTTGGTTATCCTTTAGTACCTTTCCATTTCTTTATTGCTGTCAGTCTGTGACGCAGTTTATTTCTTTGCTCAATAATGTCATCCGAAGTGTGACAATTATCGCATATTACTAAAAAATTTGCAAAGAATTAAGATAAGTTTTGAATCTAGATGAATAAATGTCTACAAGTTAGTTTTCTGAAAGTGTTCAAAACCTTTGTGGTTTAGTTTGAAAACTGTAACGTTGATAAGTGATGATAGCACAGGTGGGTGATAGTAGAATTAGAAGAAGAGAAAGTGGTATCCCAATTCCCATCAAATGTTGTGGTAAAATAACCTTAATGAGCTTAAGAGTCTCAGTGTCTGTTGCGTTTCAGATCGAAAATGGCAAGAGGATAATTAGATCACTGGTTCACCTTTCGGCACACCTTTCGAAGAACTTAAAATTCCTCGCAAGATGATCAATTTCGTTTGTTTTCTCACGAGGAACTGAGCTATTCAATGCTCAATATGCATACTACAGATAAACTGAAGTACCTCTTTGATGAAGGGTTTCCGGAGCTGACACTGTAAGGAAAAAAGTTTAGAATGGTCTTTTTTTGCATAAAATAAATACCTTGGGTCTCACTTCCCACTCTGAAGGAAACCATATTAGCTACTTATCAGACTAGATAAACGTATAATTCTTCAACGCTATAATTTCATAGAACAATTTTTGTTAGCAGTTGTCATTCTCTCCGTTACCTTCACAGCTTAAGCCTGACCAACCGGGAGTACAGTCACACTGGTATCTTCCTTGTGCCTCTGTGCAAGTTCCACCATTTTGGCATGGGTTAATTGGAAGGCACTTTGATTCAACTGTGGAAAACACGAAATAGAATAACAATTGGTATAAGAAGATACAACCTGGGGTCAACAATATCTAAAATAGGAAGTATGTAAATTGCTTGGATTTCTCGTGTAAACCGCGACATATTAATTTTTTGACGTGGACCTTTCAGATAACCAAATGAAGATTTCTATACAGAGAGGTAATCAGGGGAATAGCTATTGTCAGAACTGACATCATCTCAGCGCTCAAAAAGTTGTTTCTGTATCGGAAAATGCCACAAACACTCCTTGTTACATGATCTTATATTATGAAAAAACCTTGGCAATTCTTTCCTATCCAACCAATTCTGCAAGTGCAAGAGTATGACGATCCGTCTGATGAACAGGTAGCCCCGTTTTCACAAGGAGATGGGACGCATGGGTCTGCTCCTGTAGAGGGAAAATTTTTTTCAATGTCATCAATATTTTTCTTATTGAAAGGGGGAGAAGAAGAAGAACGACATTAATGCATTTCGCCACTGAAAATCGAATATTGAAGGAAGAAGTGGATATATAGCTGTAGTAGGAAATTCACATTGACCTTTTTATTTACTTACTGTCACAGTTCTTTCCAATAAACCCCTTAGTGCAGGTACATTCGTACTCATGCTCAACTTGGGAGCACGTACCAAAGTTTTTACAGGGATTTGGCTCACACATGTTTTGCTCTGAAGAAGAAAGAGATTCAAAGTTAGCTTGAACGATTTCTCCTTACATCAAAATGCATGCTCATAAAAAAGCTAAAAACAAGTTCACCTGAGAAGGAACAATGAGGACACGTTATACCAAACAAAGCAATTTCTTAAGAGTTAACATAAAAATAAAATTAACCACATAAAGGAAGGGTTAAACGTATATCAAGGAGAACCTTGTTTTAACAAGTTTTAACACAAAAAATATCAACTAATGTTTACGTGATATTTTTTTCCTTTGGTCGTATCAACAAGAATGCAAAGTTGTTGCTCAAACATTTTTGGAATAAGCCTCTCGCTTCTCACACCTTCGCAATGCTTTCCTTGAAATCCGTTTGGACAGTGACATCGGTAGGTGTTCATGTAGGCTGAGCAAGTGCCCCCATTAAGACAAAGATTCACCAAACACTGTCCATTACTTACTGACTCTAGAAAAATGACACAAAGCAAACATATCATAATTTGTATCACAAGCAGACTTTGATGCTAAAAATAGGGTCATTTTATTGTACTTAAAGACAACTCTTAACATGTTTTTATCTTTCAGTATCGAGCTTAAACACAAACAACTTACCTAAGATTACCAGATTCTATGACAGTAGATCCACTGTAGATGTGAATTATAAAAATCTGGATGAAAGAGGTGTGTGGTAGAGATATTTGCTCTCATTGAAAAAAAACAATCTGTATATAAAAATGATGAAACAGAAATGTACTCACCTCTTGTATTACCGACGTCCTCATGGATGTGATGATGTTGAACAACAAGCGGAACAGGGTAAGGAACTTTTTGCGGAAACATGACTGGATAAGGGACTCGATGGATAACGTAATGTGGCGGTGAAGGTACTGGAACGGGAAAGGGCTTTGGAGGTAAGGCAACAGGGAACGGAACTCGTCTTATTTCTGACGGATAGCGAATGTAAACAGGAAACGGAACATGGTGAATCTGAGACGGTTGAGGAACTGCTATGGGATAAAATATTTTTTGAATTTCACCTGGCTCTTTCACGGGGAGGGCGACAGGATATGGCACATGCTTTATCTGAGGAGGAGAAGGAACGGCTACTGGAACAGGGACAGGTACATTCTGAATCTTAGGAGGAGATTCTACCGGAACAGGCACCCGCTGAATCTGGGGTGGTGATGGAACTTGGACGGGCACAACTAAAGGCTGAATAGATGGTGGACCTGGAATGGGAACTGGGTAAGGTACATTCTCTATTCTAGGTGGTGATGGAACCGCCACAGGAAAAGGGACGTGATGAACATGATGAGGAAGTGGCATCGGTGGCTCCTCACCTGGCATAGAGATTCCTTGTAAAGCAGCCTGAAGGGGTGACATAGGATTTCCTTGCGGCGGTGTCATGTGAAGATTACTTGGCATTCCAATAGGTGTATCCATCGGAGGATTTGTTTGAATAGGTGTCTCTGGAGGTGGCATTATCTGAAAGTCAGGCGGAGGCATAGGAATTCCTAGTGGCGGCGTAATTTGAAGGTTACTCGGTGCTCCAGTTGGTGCATCAATAGGATGATTTGTATGAACCGGGATCTCAGCAGGTGGCATTATTTCAAAGTCGGGTGGTGGAGACTCAACCCCAGAAGGAGGTCTTGGTGGTAAAACGGGTGACAAGTCTTCAGGTGGCATACTTTCCGGCAAATTGATAGGAGGCGGCGGCATGGGAATGCCTCCTGGCGGCAGCATTTTGACGTCCCCAGGCATAGCTGCGTCATTTCCGGGTGAGTGGGGAGGTTCAAAGCCTACCGGTGGATTTAAAGGTGGCATTGGCCCACCTAATATTTCTGGAGGTGGTTGAGGAAAGGGAGGGATGTTTTGAGGCATTAGATTAGGGGGTGAAAGAGGAGGCTCTAGTCTGGGTGGTGCGTTTATGTGGATGGCGTATGGTGGAGGACCAAATTGATGGTGACGTAGATGATTATGGAAATGGGACGGACCAGTCATGCGATGGGATAAGGGATTACCGACGATAGTAGCTGGTATGTGCGGAAAGTGGACAGGATGCTTTCCCACGTGTAAGCCATTATTGACTCCTTTTAAGAATTGATTCATCCCGTGCAAGTGGGCAGGTACAGGTGGCCCTGCTCTGGTCTCTGGAGGCAATGCTAAATTATCTGGTCCCGGACCAGCTCTCAAAGACGGAGGTTTCTGCTCGACGTATTCTGCGGGTGCACTATTGAAAAAGAAACGCGGTCTCATCTCGCCCGTGGGATCAGACCATCCCTGTCTTTTATCTCCAGACTGGTTCATTGTAGGCTTGTTAATCAGCGTAGAATTTTTTACTGTAATTTTGTTTGTGTTGTTATTAATGGTGGTAATTGGCTTGAATGGCCTATTTGCCGTTGCGCGAGTGGCAAAGTTGCTATCTTCCCCAGGTCTAGCATGATCCAACATGTCAAGTGCTTTGGCTAAGAAGACAGACTGTCTTCTTCGACGGCGATTTACCACTGAACGCCTCGGTTTGGTTTTGAAAGGCTGTTTTGCACTCCATAAGCACGAATTTCCCTTGCATGGCTTTGAATTACTGTCATTGTTAGCCTGCAGGTGGCTGTTGTCTCGTTTGATCCTCCAACTTTTTACAATGTCGATGATAGGACCGCCCTCTGTTTTAGATTGGCGACTGTTAGACCTTATGCTTCTTAACCCTTTTGTGCTACGTCCATCCCGACTTGGAAGTCGATTTACATGACTCCTTTGTAAACTCGTGATTCCATTTGTGCCGATTAACGCCAAAGCAGTAAAAAGGTGAACAAAACTTAAACATGAAAACGGATTCATATGCAAGTGTCATCTGAGGTGGTCTAAAAAGTTACCATTTTCATGGGATGATAAGACTTGAGGGATTACACTGGCTTTAACCGGAAACCGTTCTGAGTGAAGAAAAGAAGACTAAAAAGTTTCTCTGTGAAATTATCTCATCTAACTCAACAGCCATCAAATATTTATTCATGCCCTTAATTTTAGAGCTGATAAATTACTCATTGTGGTCAATCGCCATGGGTAGCAGATCAAAAGGCGTGAGATGCATGAAGAGCACTTTTTAAGTCTCTGAAAGAAAAAACAAAAGAAAACCAGAGAGGTTGCAGTGACCAAAACGATCTAACATCTGCTGGAAAACTCCTTCCTCTTATCTACGTTCTCATTTTTTTGTTTTGCCTAGTAGTCGTTCCAATTGGATCAAGTTAGATCGTTTTCAGTTTTCAGTTTTAAGAACAATCATGACCTGCGCGTTTATGCCTAAATTTAAATTCATTGTCTTAACAATTGCTCAGTTGCCTCCCATCAATCTTTTCACTGACAATTGCTGATGGGGATGCGAAATTCCACAGATTTTCTCACCCATGATCTCACTCCTGGAGTGCAAAATCTATCATCGACCAAAAAAAAGCTTGATTTGATTTTTTACAAAGAAAGTGCCATGAAAGCAGGTCGAATTAATCGCTCAATTCATTTTTTTTTTAGTGCACTTTTCCCGCACAGATTTCGGCTTGTACATTTACATTTACAAACGCTTTTAAATGCTTTCATGCTGAGATCGTGACATAACGAATAAAACGAGCCAACTGGTTGCTAATTATTGCAGTGGTGTCTATTGACTTGCAGCTATATCTAGGGGAAAATTAACCGAGCCCTCGGTATCGAAACAAAGAGAATGAGAGAGACTTGGCTTGATCAATTTTAAAAGGTGCTATTCTAAAACAAATACAGTTTTTGCAAGGACAGGTTGTCCTTTCACGGTCAATTTGGCGTAGCGATCGCAAACAAAGGAAAATGGGTCAAAGTTGACAAGTGCGGAAAAAACGTTCAATCTTTAATGATCAGAGCGCCTCGGAACCGGAACAAGTTGTGTTTCTTTGCCTTTCCTAATGGTAGATGCAAAAGACAACCGTTGATGGGATTATCCTATGAGCTTTTTGGGCGACAGAACTGACACCAAGAAATGTAAAAACAAGTCATCGTCATGCTGTTGTGTTGTATTTTGATAACCTTTCTAGATATTTTGACAATACTCTCTTCGATGATATTTGTTGAAACAGCGATGATTTTAAAGAAAAGTCCAATCTGGAGGAGTATCGGGAAGAAACAAACAATTGCACAAATGGATTATGTGTTGTCACAAGGAAGTGATGTTGTACTTAAACAGACGCAGATCCCAGGCAGCATAAAACTACGCACAAAGCGCCACCAATATTCTACTTCACTATACGGTAGCATGAACAAAGCCAGCTCTTTAAAGAGAAGGCTGAAGAAAGGTAACGATGCTAAAAAAACTGTTAGTTTTAACAAGAGGGACTTCTTTTTCGCACCAGCTCCTCCCTATGAACCGATGTCAAGGCCCGTTGACCGAAGGATGTTCCTGGTTCATCGAGGAGAGAGAGGTAGCTATTGAATGACCTTTGCCTTTTACGTATTTATTTTACTTTCCATACCCTCTGTCGCGTTTTCTCAAACACAGTTCAGAATTAACAAATATTCCAAAAGAAATTAATGAAAGACTACCTAGTGTCACCGAAGTGGAAGATTGATATCAACTGCCTCTCACCCCAAAACACTGAAAACAGTTTTCTGACAATCGAGGATGCTAATCGTTAAGAGTCAGTTGCCCGGGAATTAAAGGTGTAAGCACTTTATAGAAATATTTTGTGAGGCTATATTAACAACTTTGGTCCTAGAAAGGCTTCAGTTACCCCTCACGGTCGATTTGACAAGTGAAATTGTAGTTTTTCGCTCTCAGGGTCACTGCATACACCAATGCCACCAAGAGAAAAGTAAATATATACAATATACAATGAATATTCAAGTGCTACTTAAAATTACATTATATGTCTTTAACCTTTTGATTTCAATGCACTTTTTTGAGTAGTCCTGATAGCTGAGTTGAAGCCCTTTTTTTCTTATCTACTCAGGACCATGTTTTTTCCATGCGTGCCACCATGGCGGAATGTGCGTTCCAAGGCGCCATGGATTTTATTGCGAGTGCCTGCCTGGTTTCATTGGAACAAGATGCGAAGGTTATATATGATGCAATAAAAAATATACGATGAGTTAAATCCTTTTATGCTCTACGTTAGCCCAGCTTAGAGAATTTGTTACAAAGGCTCGTGCAAATTGGGATTTAGCAATACATGATGATATAAATTTGTAGGCATATTCATTTAATATTGCTATGTTTGGAGTTTGTTGCATTTTTTTAACTCACGTCGCAAAGAGCGACTACGAAGCTTATTCCCTTGATTAGATTCAACTCAGTGTGCTGTATTTGGCGCGGGAACAGATGCAATTGCTGCTTTGTTTGTTATTCGAGGTGAAGGTATATGAATGTTCTCAAATGTGGGTCTTAGGATTTGAAAGTGACGATTTGATAACAAAATCACAAGAAAGAAGAAATAAGCAAACAAACAAACCAAATAAAGCGCGAAACCTTGGAGTAAAACACTTCCACGAACTTCACGTTTCCAGTTAGAATCTTAAAATGAAACCTAAGTGATTAAGTGACACGTTTGTCGTGCGAAGAGTGAAAAATTGAAAGTGAAAGTGAACTTTCAATGCTATTCATGCCAGATGCTAGTTAGCTTCAGATTTTGCTTTGCACAAGTTGCCAAAAAGGCTTAGGACAATTATTTTAATTTGATACTTGGGAAATCGCTTATCGAAACTGATTTATATGCTGTTGAACGTACAGTTAAAAAAGAGTGCAGACCTTCAACATGTAAAAACGGAGGAACATGTACCGAAATTGCAGTTGGAAGACATCTGTGTACGTGCCCTGTGGGGTTTCTTGGAGAGAATTGCGAAAGTAAGTTGTTGATTGTCCAAGCAAGGAAGAATCCCTAAATTACGTCTCCTATGCATAATTTCTGCTGCCTTAGCACGTTGTTAGTACCTGACCAACTTTTAGCTGTAATTCTTTTCAAATACATATAATTACGACTACTTTCATCCTTGTAGCACGAAGTCTTTGCCACCCAACCCCATGTCGTAATGACGGCACATGTAGCGAGTCTGAGGATTCATACACTTGTGTATGTCCAGAAGGATTCAAAGGGAAAAACTGTGAAAGTGAGTATCATCAAATTACATATTACTACTTTTAACTTTTTGTCGCAAGTACCTCTATCTTCGATGTACGCAGGTCTTAATAATGAAGAAAAGAGGCATAGCTTTGATACAGCGGTGTTTCAAGCAAATAGTTATCTTCGCAGGTGGACTGCAATTGAAGCAATTGCAGAAAAGGTTCAGGCTCCGACGAGATTCGAACCTGTGCCTCCCAGATGCTTGTCTAGCGCTACTACAACCCGAGCTTCGAAGCCACACGCTGGGGGTGAATCTCGTTTTAGAGGGTTCTTCTTTCCCGTGGAGGAATTTGGACCAATATCAGTATCTGGGCAACTGCCCACCTACCCCTCCCCCTAACCCAATATTAACCCTTACTTGTTATCAATAGACTGTTGTTGGGTTAGGGAAGGGGTAGGTGGACAGTTGCCCAGATACTGATATTGATCCAGGAATTTTATATTTATAAACATTGGAGCTGGCTCGTTATAAAGTACTTTTAACAGTAACCAAAGTTCGGTTATTATATTACTAAGTTCACTTCTTAAAAAGCTTATATGTCCTCCATCTCGTAATTTTTACTTTTAAACGTCATTTAATTTGGTTTACTTTGTGTTTTCCTTCAGTTGACAACAAGTGCCTACCAAATCCGTGCAAGAATGATGGTGTATGCTTTGAAATGGGCAATAGTTATATCTGCAATTGCCCACAAGGTTTTAAAGGAAAGACTTGTGAAGGTCAGTGGTAATATAGCCTGATGATAACCTTGCCCATGCGAGAATAGTTTATTAAGGATTTATTGAAATATATTTTAGAAAAAAGGTTGAATTTTGCAAAATAAATTTTAAAAAGCATTTTTAGATATCGGCCAATTGTTGCACATGCGGAGCTGTATACGGGTGTACAAATTTGATAAACAGTAACTTAACTAGCCACAATTTTAACCAAATTCGATGAAACCCGTCAGTCATTTTGCCTCACAAAGGCAGCTCTCGTCAATAATATCGGTGGCTTAAAATTGCCCCTCCCTTGTCAGTGATGATATAGGGCTCAAATTGCGATCTAAAAGAATAAAGTAGACTGACCATTTGATGCGTATAGAGTTTAACCTGCTGCTAGAGTCGCGAACTTCAAAGCTCGATCAAAAGTTTTGTCTGGACACCAAATAGAAAAACTCTTTCGGCCTATGTTTGACTCCATTCTCGCGCTATTTTTTCATTCCTTTTAGTTATCAGCGAGTGTAATTCTGTTTATTGTCTGAATGGAGGAACATGTAGAGATGAAAGCTCTGGGTACAGGTGTGACTGCCGCTTTGGATTTTATGGAAAGCGGTGTGAAGGTAACTATCATTTAAATCAGTCATTTCCTGAAAGCAGATCGTTTTTTCGTCGTTTTGTAGTAATTTATGTCTAAAGAGAACAAGAAAACAATCAGACATAGAACCTTGACCACGAATACGCCTTTTTCAGTCTCCTCTTCACTCGAAGTCAGTAAAATTTGTAGGTTTGTCTGTAATATGAAAAAAAGGAAGGCATGTTCCCATGTATGTTCTTTTTATGGTGTACTCGACTTAAAGGCCCATGATCCAATCATACAAATCCGCAGAGTTATCTAATATAACTTTTATCATAGTATTGCCTGTAGATATCTGTCTTTATCTGCTTAAAAAATAACGCTAGATATAAAGATAAATAGATCAGTTAATAATTTTGTAATTAAAATGCATAACTCGATGGTATAACATCAATTTAAAAAAGCTCAATCTGTCCCTTCACAAACCTACCTCTCCCATTCTTGGCTGTGTGGCCGTATCGAATGGACATTGCCCGAATTAGGAAGGGACATGGATATTTGAAATACGGCTTTATAACTGATTAAATATTTCTCGAAATAACGTTTATTTTAATATCGACAGCTAATATATTTAATCATCGCACTTAAACTTTTCACTAACCATAACACCGACGCCGTATCTTTGTATAGCCTCTGCATGCCACCCTAGCCCTTGTCATAATGATGGGGTTTGTCTAAGATTTGGTAATCAATACTCCTGCCAGTGCAAACAAGGCTTCTCTGGAAAGAGGTGTAAAGGTACGGAGACTTTGCAGTTTTACTTCATTATCTGTGGAATACAGGTATGTTGTGTTGTCCAGCGTTAATTCGACCCTCTCAAGGCAGAATAAGTATAATTTTCAGAATATTTTTTGTTTTAGGCTACAGTTCTCAGCTAATTAACAATTTCTTCATAAAATTCAATAGATACTAAAAGCTAAAGGGAGAGAAAAAGGCACTCAATACGTGAACTTCGTGAAAGAATAAACCTAATCAACTAGAGCTGCTTATTGATTTTATCTTTTGTGGGCGCTGGATGTATTAACTGAAGTGGTAACAACAGAACTTTTCCGACTACCCAGCAAATAATTCCAAATAGTTTTTTCCATGTACTGTACTCTGTCTGTTTCCCTATACAGTCTCAAGACCGTGCTCCCTTGGTATTTGCTTAAACGGCGGCACATGCGTAGATGGACCATACACCAATAGTAAATATGGATTTGCATGTGTGTGTCAGCAAGGGTTTGACGGTATCATGTGCGAGAAACGTCTTCCTGACAACTTTGGAGAAAGACTTGCCATTTTGTGAATTGGAAATTATCTACAGTGCAGCAAGTCGTGATGTAGAAAAAGAGCTCAATTTCGAATCAATGATTTTACCTGTAGAAAGTAATTCTTAAAACAATCTGCTCGCCTGACTGGTAAACAAAGCATTTTTAATAACCACTGGCAGAAATTTCTGCACGATCTAATATGAAGTAGACATATTCAGAATGAAGGACCCCCATGATGTGAAAACTTTTTCGGTGCCATTGCTTCTAAGAAAGGGAAAGAATACTCTAACACTTGCTATCAAATTTTCTATGAACTGACTGCTACCAATTAAAGTAATTAAAAACAAACAATAGAAAGAAATATATTTGAGTAGACAGACAATGTGACAAAGCTAATTTAATGTTAAAATTGTTGGAACCGAATTAGTGTTTGCACGTAGTAATGAGTGCTGGAGAGTGGTTTATCAGTAGAGATGAATTAAAAAAACATGCTGTTAGAGACTGAAAGCATGCGAGGGTATAATTAGCCATCTATTGTCTAACGTGTAAGCGTGCAAAGGAAATTTGTCAAAAAATAAACTGAACAGCTTTATTTACTAGACCACTACACTCCAATCTTTACAAATTTGAATACTTTTTTTAAAATTATTTCCTCTGGCAAAGGTTGAAATCGAGTTTTCGAGGAGAAAGTTTGTTTAAAAATACTGCTTGGCATTATTCTTGCTGGATACCGATAACAGTAAATATCAGTTAATCGAGGACTGTTGAATTGTTCAGTGAATTTGGATGGATTTCAGAATTCATTCACAGGTCAGCGCTTGATCATTTAGAATTCAGACATCACTAAAGACCGCCCATCTCTGACATTTGACTTGTAGCGGGTTGTTATTTGGTAGTACTTTGTTGTTAATACTTGCGTGATATCATCATATCGGTGAAATCACTTCGACCGTGAAAAGCGATCGAAATAACCGTGATGTTTGAATTTAAGCGGTTACAGGAAATTTAGACAAAACAAATGGCGGGATTTGTGGCAATATTTAGACAATGCGTCAGAAGTTCGCAATGAAACAATTTTTACATATCGCGATTCTATGGTTGGTCGTCCTTTCAACTAATTACTCGAATTGTAAACGTCTTCGAAAGAGGTCTTTGAGGAACTCGTCTCGTTCCGTGAAGGGATTTCATCCAAGATATAGAAGAGACTTAACTTATCCCTATCACACAAAATTAAAAAAGCAGCTTTTGAAATATGGACAAGAAAGTATTTTGGAAGCTTATTCGCATTCGACAGGACGACTTAAACGTGGAAGCAATAATATCTCTGGCAACAAAGCTTCCAATGGAAAGGCTTCACATGCATCGTTATTACCGCAACCAGCAAAGCCGTTACGAGTGGTTGCAACTTCTGCTGTGATAAAAAACCGACTTAAAAAGACCAAACCTCTGAAGGCTATTCACATATGGGGACCGACACCCTTCAAAACTGTGATGGAAAACCTACGGAAACTGAACGTGAATCTTCAAAAGCAAAGAGGAGCTGTTAAAAGATTATTCCTTCCAGTTCAACTTCAGCGAAAGCAACTATTGAATGCTTTAACCGGTAGATCGCCTTTTCCAGGACCAACAGGGCCTTTTATACGGCAGTTTCCCCCTTTTAACCCAGAAAGAGAGTTTCCGGCTGTGTCTCCTCCGATACATTCCCCCAATGCTATTCATCTTGAAGAAGGACCTCCTCCCGCCTCTCTCGTACCAGGTCCTATTGGACTTGGTCCTCCACCGTTACCATTTCCACCCCAGCCCGTTTCCCATTTACACGAGATGGAACCTGTGCACCTACGAGAGGAAACCCCAGACCACGCGTTCCTACACCCCCCTGACTTTGCCCCTGTTCCTGAAATAACTCCTATGCATGAGAGTGCTCCATTACCACCTTTCCCTACGACTATCGGTCCACCACCCGACGAATTTCCAGCTAATTTCGGTCCGCCTGATATACCTGCGAATCTTCCAGCTAACTTTGAGCCACCGCCAGGTTTGTTTGAACCGCCACTCCCCTTTCAGATGGCTGGGGAAATACGTCAACATGTGAATCGTCACGTCCACAAAGGTAGGTTTTCAAAGGAAATAAGCTGTAAGGAAATTGCTCGGAGACAAAAATGTGAATGTGTTATCGTTTGTACATGCCCACCTTATTTACCTCTTAAGTAAATTAATGTAGGGATCCCCGTCATACGGATTATTTCCCTTGACAAACATAAACTTACCTTTGTATTTGTTAAGTGTTCTGTCGAACTTGATATGCGGCGTTAAAAACGTATCCCGAATCGTAGCGAGAACATTGTCCACGAATAACATAAATGCTAGTTTCGTCAGTAAGTGTTTCTCTACAAGCATAGGTGAGAATAATGTACAATGTATTCCAGGTGTTTCAAAAGCGAAATGTAGTCCTAATCCGTGCAAGAACGATGGTGTATGTACAGCTTTTGAAAAGCACTACGAGTGTGAGTGCCCTATGGGATTCATGGGAAAGGATTGTGAAGGTAAGTGCAGATTCTCAAAAGAATCGGCACTCTCCACTAATTGCTTGACTAGCTCTATTTGACAATTACTTTCTGAGCACATCCATCTCACGCAGAAATCGAAAGTGAACAATCAAAATGCTTTCGTCCAAATGCACTAGTGGTACAAAACAACGACAAGACAAGTTGGTGTTGTTCTTTTCTTTTGTTTCATCTGCAACCGCACACCCTTAAGCTTCTCGCTTTACCTAATCTCTCTCACAGATCATCAGATTTTAGTATTTGTAACAGAGCGCTAATAGACTTATCTGAAATACGGGCAAAACTGATTGTATCTTTGATACAAATGAACACTTGGGTACTTTAAAACTTTCCTTGGTTGAGCAAATCCATTTTAAGGCGCGAATCACTTAAGAGATCAAAATAGTAAAAGTATCTATTAACTTTCCCTTGAAAGTATGAAATCGAAGAAATTTTATCATATCGTGATGGGACCTCACACTATCATCAAATTCTTTTGAATTTGTTACCTACGAGGTAGTTTATTCAACAGAAAACAACTGAGAGAGTCTCAGAATTGATTGCAGATGGCCAGAAGTCTCTAGCAGTGACCACACCTCAATGTGTTATAAACTTACCATGCGCATAGATCAATATTATAATTATTTTATTTAGAAGTCAACCACTGCCTCCCGAATCCGTGTAAAAATGGAGGAAACTGTTATGCAACGACAAGCGGCTACCACTGTACATGCGTCAAAGGATTCAAAGGACCGAACTGTGATAGTGAGTGACAATTAAAAAAAACCTTAAGCTTTTCACTACATTAACTGTTGTAAAGTGAAAAAGCATTGCGAATAAAATCTGATCATTTGCCTATTTTTATCTAGAAGTATATCGTGGAGTTGCGCATGCGCCTATCAGTAATAAAAGTTGTTGAGAGGGATAATAATGCTCAGCAAAATATATGCCTTATACGCTATGCACTCGATTCGAGTTTTGCACGAAAACAAGATAGATAAATAAATTATAGTCTACTGAGAAGCAGTTGACTTCTTTTCTTCGCTCTTCTCGTGTCGGTTTGTCATTTTTTTCCGAGTTCTCGTTCAATGCGCTTCTTAACAAGCAGTCATGTCTTTTACCGGGCACATAATTAGCACGACTAAAAGAAGGGGTGGGTGGGGACATTTGATTTACGGTAAGGGACGGAGTATAATTGTTTTTCTGATTTCCACAGTCACTAGCAAGTGCATCCCCAGTCCATGCAAGAATGGAGGCACGTGTGAGGAGAACGGTGGCTCTTACAAGTGTCTTTGCCTTCCTGGATTTGAAGGCAGTAATTGTGAAGGTAAACTAGATTAATGATGTACGCCATCGAATGGGTAGTGCTGTGTCAATAGTGGTGTCGCAAAGAATAAGGATGATAGATGATCATGAAGATATCCAGTGACAAGTATACATGTCTGGCTTACTGGTCCCATGTTAAAAGATACTAAAATCTTCTATTTGCCTCGCTTTTAATTCATTGTTAGCTATCTATCATTCCGAACAGGCCTAAGATGGCCTCAAGAGATCTCTTTGTCCAAACGAAAAAAAAAGGTTGCGTGTAAAACGTCTGGAAGGATAGCAGAAATCATGTTAGTGACGAGATAGTTCATTTCAATTTCACAGCTGCTGACCATTGTGCCATTGGAAACCCCTGCAAAAACGGCGGGACCTGCTTAAATGGAGAAAAGAACTTTGAGTGTCATTGCTTACCAGGATTTTATGGCTCAGATTGTGGAGGTAGGTGACACCTGATAGCTTGCAAAATCAGCTGGTCTGAGCAGAGATGTCTAGAATTGATTGTCAATGAGGTTCTTTTTCTGTGCAGTAGGCATGATGTTCTTGTCAATAAAAGTCCATTGAAACTCATATAACCATGTCTAATATCAGGGTATGTGAAGACTTAAAACAGTAATTTACATCACTATGGACATAAACGGGTCTAAAAACTACATAAGCTATAGAGTGCCAGATTAATTGAAAGATTAAAAGGTACAAAATCTCGCTTTGGGTTTCTACGCTTTAACCGTTTGTCATTGCGTTGCTCTGGAAACTTCCGGTAACGAAGGATGATTACTGTATTCTTCAATTTCTGATGTATAATTCATTTATTAACCACTGTCAAAACTCTTGATCGTGCTTACCTCAGCAGTCGTTTCAAATTTTTAAGTCTTAAAATTACCACCAGGATCACTCCTCGTTAGACCGCTGGTTACATACATACTGCGTTCATATTTGTTCGGAAAAAAAAGTCTGAAATAGGAACACTTTTAACAAACTGATAGTAATACCTCGTGACTCATTACTCGTTTTGTTTTTAATTGTTTCTTTGATTTTCCTCAGATTTAGACATGTGCTACGCTAATCCATGTCAAAATTCTGGAACTTGTCACAACACCGGTGCTGGGCAGTTCATGTGTTTATGTCCTGTGCTGTTCAGAGGAATCACGTGTGATGGTAGGACGAGGGACACTTGGTCTGTTATTCAAATTTCCATTATTGAATAGTTGGTGTTATCGTTTTGACAATATATGTTCAAAACATACAAGCATTTGGAAATCTGGAAGTGTCGCAGCACACTATATATCTTTTTAGTATAAGTAAAAACCATTACAGTGTTAATACCTGCGAACATTTTATTTAATCAGTCGGTTTGGACGGCCTGAAATTCGGCTTTTCTTAGGTAAATCTCAAGTAGTGTTGAATGCCTAATCTCATCAAACAGGACAAAATGCAGCAAATGTAGACATATATGTACACTGTGCTATAAATAAAGCGGCAGGCTGAATTAGTAATTACAATAATGGTGCAAGTTGTTGAAGGAGTAACTTTAGTCTCTAAAGGAATGGTGTTTAAGTAAAGTACATACTATATTGTACATTTTCTTTCCAGAAAAATTTTCTAAATGTGAATCTCAACCATGTCAAAATGAAGGAACGTGTGAAGAGGACGAGGAAGAAGGCTTTCACTGTATCTGCTCCAGCAAGTATCAGGGACGGCATTGCGAAGGTATT